TCTCACAGTACTGTGAGAGCCAATGGTTCCTTTGGGGAAACAATGCCTGGCTCTTTTAGGCCGCGGGTTCGCGCCAGAACCAGGAAAATTCTCGTGGAATTCTTGCGCGCCCGGCGCAGAATTCCGCGAAATTTTTTGTGGCGAGATTCTGACGCCGCCACCACTTTTGACGCCATACCGTCGTAGCTGGACATCCAGCTTTGACGGTATGGTTGAAAATGTGACATGGGGCAAAAATGTGACATGTACCCACGTCACATTTTTACCACGAGGGTATGGCCCAAAATGTGCCATCTGCCCACTTTTTGTGACATTTCGCGAACCACGAGGGTACGGTCCAAAATGTGACGTCAAAGCTGTTTTTTATAAAAAAGAAGAAGTAAGATATCTCACTTCTTCTTTTTTATAAAAAACAGCTTTGACGTCACATTTTGGACCGTACCCCCGTGATTAGGCAAATGTCACATTTTTTGGTCAGATGGCACATTTTGGACCATACCCTCGTGGTAAAAATGTGACGTGGGGACATGTCACATTTTCCCCTGATGTCACATTTTCAGCCATGCAGGCGGCAGTGGGTGTCGTGCGCCGTGGCTTTCCGCGGCCAGAACAGCGCCGCCATTCGGGGCGAAGTCCCGATGCTATTGGTGGAGCGTAATCGCATAGCAATGCGACTTTTTGGCTTTTTTTTGCGTAGAGGGCCAGGGCCGGGCGTGGGCTTTGGGGCCGAGCTGCCTCGGCGGCTTCGGGGGCCCGCTTCCCAAGGTGCCGCCGCGCTGCCCCGGCGCCCGCATTCCCCGGCGCCTCTGGGCCCCTGCTTCTCGGGCTCTTCCGGGGCTTTCGGGGCCCGGTTGCCCGCCCGCAAAGCCCGCGGAGGGCGAAAAAGCTGTCTGTCGTTCTCCCCCGAGCGGGAACTGGAACTTTCGCAGCTTCAAGGCTGCGAAGGTTCCAGTTCCCGCTCGACAAAACTGGGGCAGGATTTGAAAAGGTGTGGCCTTCTCGCACCTCATCACTCACAATTTGGCGACCACCCCAGCAAAAACAGCGCGCCCAGTTTTGCCGAGCGGGATCTGGAACTTTCGCAGCTTCGGGGCTGCGAAAGTTCCAGCGCCCGGTCGTTAGAGAACGCAGAAGCTGCTTTTCATTCTCCCCCGAGCGGGGGCTGGAACCTTCGCAGCTTCAAGGCTGCGAAGGTTCCAGTTCCCGCTCGACAAAACTGGAAAAGTGCTGCAGCTTTTCGAGTTTTGTCGAGCGGGATCTGGAACTTTCGCAGCTCGAAGGCTGCGAAATTTCCAGCCCCCGCTCGACAAAACTGGAAAGAGATTGCCGGGCGCCGCAGTGGTTCCAGTTTTGTCGGGCGGGAGCTGGCGCTTTCGCAGCTGGAAGGTTGCGAAAGTTCCAGTTCCCGCTCGACATAACTGGAATGAAAAAGACTGGGAGTGCTGCAGTGGCTCCAGTTTTGTCGAGCGGGAGCTGGAGCCTTCGCAGCTGGAAGGGTGCGAAAGTTCCAGCTCCCGCGCGACAAAACTGGGAAAAGATTGGGAGTGCTGCACTGGGTCCAGTTTTGTCGAGCGGAGGCTGGAACTTTTGCAGCTTCAAGGCTGCGGAAGTTCTCGCTCCTGCTCGATAAAACTGCGAGCGACGCTCCTTCGGGCTAGGGCGCCCCGCTTCTCATTGTTGCCCCGCGCCGTTTGGCCGCGTTTCTCGATGTTCTCCGAGCTTGGGGGCCCCGTTCCCCAGTGTTGCCCGGCGCCTTGGGGCCGCGTTTCTCGGTGTTTCTCCAAGCTTGGGGGCCCCGTTTCTCAATGTTGCCCCGCGCCTGGGGGCCCCGCTTCTCAATGTTTCCCCTTGTTTGGGGGCCGCGTTTCCCGATGTGCCTCCGCGCCTGGGGGCCCCGTTTCTCAATGTTGGCACGCGCGGAAAGGAAACTATGCAAACATTGAGAAACGGGGCCCCCAAGGCGCGAAGGCACATCGAGAAACGCGGCTACCAGGCGCGGAGCAACATTGAGAAACGGGGCCCCCAAGCGCGGAGGAACATTAAGAGACGGGGCCCTCAAGCGCGGAGAAACATTGAGAAACGGGGCCCCCCCGCGCTGAGAATCATCAAGAGACGCCCGGGGCCCCAAGGCGCGGAGAAACATCGCGAAACGGGGCCCCCAAGCGCGGAGAAGCTCGGTCTGGGCCAATTTGCATTGCAGGCTTGCCCGGATTCAGTTTCGGGCAATTTTGCAATGCACATTGGCCAAGATGAGGCCAAGTTGCATTGCAGGCTTGCCCGGATTCAGTTTCAGGCAGTTCTGCAATGCAAATTGGCCAAGATGAGGCCAATTCGCATTGCAGGCTTGCCCGGATTCAGATTCAGGCAGTTTTGCAATGCAAACTGGCCAAGGTAAGGCCAATCTGCTGGATTTGTCATGCAGATTGGCCCAAAGAGCCAATCCTCATGACAAATCTGCATCACATTTACTGGCTCTTTTGCTGGTCCGGGCTTCGATACAACTCCAATCTTTTGGAGTTGTATCGAAATCCGAACAACCAGAAGACCCAGGCGTTGTTTTCCCAAAAGAGCCACGGGCCCTCATAGTTTGTGAAATCTGCAAGGCAAATCTGCCCAGATTTGTCATGCAAAGTGGCCACTTGGGGCCGATTTGCATCGCCCGCCCGCGGTGAGCCCTTTCTGGGGGCAATTTGTGTTGCCCCTGCCCACCCGACCGGATTTGGGCATCGGGCGCATTTGCAATGCAAATGATCCCAGATCTGTCATGCAAATTGGCCAACCGGGGCCACCCGGGCCAATTGGCATGGCAGCCCGCGGGCCGCCTCGAACCATGGGCGAGTTTGTCATGCAAAACCTCCTTTCGGGGCAATTTGCATGACAAACTCGCTGGGCGGGTGCCCGCGATGACAGGTTGCATCGCAAATCCGCCTCCTCGCACGGAGGCCATCGCGAAGTTGCAGCTCAGCCTCCAGGCTGAGCTGCAACTTTGCTCCCGGGGAGCGCAAGTGGTCGGTGCTAGAGCCAGTGGTTCCGGCACGGGACGGATCTATCCGTGCTTCAAAACTTTTTGACGCGCGGAAAGATCTTTTCCGTGCCGGTGCCACCAATTGATTTGTGCTAAGAGCCACTGGCTCACACAGTCGGGCGCCTGCCTCTGGGGGTTCCGGATTTGTCATGAAGATTGGCCCAGAGAGCCAATCTTCATGACAAATCTTAATGACAAATCTGAGTCACGTTTACTGGTTCTTTTGCTGGTCCGGGCTTCGATACAACTCCAAACTTTTGGAGTTGTATCGAAATCCGGACCACCAAAAGAACCACATGTTGTTTTCCCAAAAGAACCACTGGTTCTCACAGCTGAAAAAAATCAAAAATATCGAATGTCCACAATAATTGGAAATATAGTGAAAAAAATGGCCCAAGTACGTCAGTCCCGCGATATTATATGGACGCTCTCCACCTCCTCTCCAAAAATCAGACACACCACAGGTTTTTTTTGTATTTTTTCTGGTGCCCACTTTTTTGAAAAATTCAAACAATGGAGAACACATGCAAAAAGCCTTCCAAGAATCCTGAAAAATTGCAGATGTGCAAAATTATAAATCATCCTTTTGGTTATTTGACTAACGAGCTTTCAACTTCCATAAATTTCTATGTTTTTTTAAATTTTTGAAAAATTTCGAAATTTTTTAAAATAGAAAAAAACGCCAGTCATCATATAAAAAAAAGGCTCATTGTCTATATATGTTTTGACGTTCCTTAGTATTATGCATGGCCCTATTATGTCCGTCATCATGTTAAATCCGCATAGGTATTTTTTTTTCATTTCGAAATGTTTGCAAAAATTTTCACAATTTGAGAACATAGGAAAATTACAAAGGCGAGCAAGATGAAAAGTGATGCTTTTCTGACAATCGCGATTTCTTAAATTCAGCTGGTGCGGGCTAATTTGCCAGCTCTAGGGAGGTGCGGAATTTTCAAAAATCTGGAGGGGCCCCTTGTGCAGGCCATTCCTGGCCCTTCTAGTGGTCAGCTCCCCCCCCTCCCATGGACGGATCCCCACGCTACTTGGAGAGCCCCTATGGACCGCGACGGCCTTTCCCCGGCGCGGAGGATGCATGGAATGCGCCCGACCCTGCTTCGGTACCGCCACCGCCTGGAATCCCGGCGCCGCTGGCCCCCGACTACCGGACGGCGCGGCGAAACGCGAGCGCGCCGGCGTTTACAGGAAGGACAGGGCTCCGAGCGGGCGAAGCCCCGCGCCGTCCCGCGTTCTGGCCGACTGCGATTGGCAGCCGATAGGGCTTTAGAGCGCGTCCTGCTGCGGCGCGCGCTAATCTTTCCCGGGCGGGCTGCCGCGATTTTCGCGCTCGTGGACCGCGGCTTGCACATGCTTTCTGGCGCGACCCCGCAAAGCGACCGGCCCGGATCTACACCTGCCGCGCAGCAGTGACGCACCCGCCAGATTGCGGTAGCGCTTTTCGTTGGTCCCGCTCGAGCAAGCAGTTTCTTTTGGGGGCCCGACGGCACACATTGCCGTGGGAATTAGTGGAAATTGCTGGTCGGTGAGTGTGAAACTCCTCTCCAATTTCTTCGGTCTACTCGATATCTGCTCGAATAGACACATGCATACACTCGGTACAAATGCGCATCGGTGTCACGGACTCGCTGGCTTAGCGCGCAACTGCGTCGTTTTGTACTCGCAGGGCCAGAGACAACTACCCTCTATTACACCTCCCCAAAGAGTATTTGCAGTGCGGCACGACTCAAAGAGCAGCTCAACGCTAGGTCATCAGTCGTTCTCTTTTTCGCTCAATCAAACTTAACCTCGATTTTGATATATAGATCTGGTAGATTATTTAGAAGGCACCCGCTGGACGCGCCGAATTCTAGCCATGGAGTCGATTCTAGTCACGCCAAGTTATTTCTATCATTCTTGTGACATATGCGGTTTCCAGTGCAAGAGCGGCGCGGGGCTGGCGAGTCATAAACGCGCACACGCGCGTCGTGGTCAATTTACGCCCGAGGATTTGCCCGTACGCGGCCCGGTGAGATTTTCTGCGGCTCCGCGTCCGGACGTACCGTGGGTTGCCGCTACGGTGCCGCAAGTCGCTTCGGATCGGCAGCCCACGCACCACCCCGCACGATCCTTGTTCCCGCCAACTACCATCGGCGAAACCGCGGTAACTGATGTCGCATCGGAGGCCGCCCCGGCGGAGCTTCCGGCGCGCGTGCCCGCGAGCCCCGCCAATCCGCGACCGATCGTGGAAGAAGAGACCTCGGCTCGCGCGGAACCAAGCCCGTCCGACCAGAAGCTCGAATTGGTGGTAAAGCCAACCCAGGCGGGTAAGACGTTTGAAATGATCGCCGGCATCGTCGGCGACATTCGTGTTCGGGGGCAGCACCAGACACACTTCGTGTTCGCGATGAACACCAAGATGAACAACGAACAGTGCGCCAAGCGGGTGGTGGATGGGGTCACGGAACACCTCGGCGAAGCCTTTACGCAGAAGGTCGTGATGCTGCAATCCGGTCCGGCGCCTGACTGCGGTTGCCGGGCGGTGCAAACTTTCGAGGAATTACTTGCTCTCCCGGAGCCTCCGCTCGTCGTTATTTGTTGCTCGCATTGGAAGCGGCTGAATGATGTTTACCAATTTTTGGAAAACGTGAAAGACGCCCAGCTAGATCCGCCTGCGTGGCCGGCGGAACGATTGCGATCCCAACTGGGTCGTTACTTTGGGCGGTACCTCCAGCTGCAGGATTACAAGTTCATCCTGCACCATGACGAGTTGCACCATTACTGCAGCCGTTGCAACGTGGAAGTGAACGGGATGAAGAAAAAGCTCAGCGTGCGCATCCAGGACGCGCTCGCCTTCAATCCTAGTGTGCTCCGCGTGTGCGGTTACACCGCAACGCCGGAGCCAATTTTTGCCGCGTGCGGAGGTCGGGAGAACGTGCAATTGCGTCCGTTGCGAGCCGAGCGGCAACACATGGAGGACTACAAGGGGTCCGCGCAGATGCAGTTCTGTATCGTCGAGCCAGAGCCGGAGATGCACCCGACGGAGTACAGCAAGATGGTCCTGACCAACCACACCCGCGCTTTTCTCTACCCTGGCGCGGCCCGGGTGTTTCTTCCCGCCAGCACGAAGGTTGACAGTCACGAAGAGCTACGGCAGTTTGTTTTTCGTTTGTTCCCGAACGCCGCGGTGGCGATGTTGAACGGCAGGGAGAAGTCGCTTTCGTGGTTCCGGCAGGACGTGGACGTTGACGCCGTGCGTCACGACCCTAGCGTCGATTCGTGGGTCAAGTGGGACTTGCAGCAGGTTAGATCCCCGGACGGCCGCCCACTGGAAGTATCGCAAAAAATTGCCGAGGTCATGCTTCGGAATGAGTTACAGGAGCGCCCGCTGTTTATCACCGGGTACCTGTGCCTCGGCATGGGACAGACCCTGATGGATCCGCGGTTGGGAAATTTCACCCACGCGGTCCTGCCCGACCGGACGCACATGGAGAAGATGTTTGGTTCGCCCACACCGGAGGTGCTCTACCAGGAGGCGGGGCGCGTCACCGGTCGACCAGATCTTGGTTTAACCATAGTGTACTGCCCGGAAGAAATCCGGCAGAATTTTGTTCGCGAAGAGGAAAAAGCCTTCGCAGTGATGCAGGATGCCTGCATATCCCGTGTAAACACAACCCCACCCCAGAGTTGTCATGCAATTCTGCATGCCAAAAAAGTGCTTCATGCAGAGCCCCATGAGAAGCATTGCCTAGTCGCGTTTTGGAATTGGTGATGCTAGAATCAGCATGCTATGCTAGGTCTGTGATGCTGCTGACCTACCTAAAACAGGACTACACTACGAGGGCAAACTTGTCATGCCAAACAACCAAAGCTGGTCGATTTGTGTAGCAGATTTCCCATCTTGACTCTGGTGTGGGGACGTTTTTAATCAGGATACTGCATCGCCGGGGCTCTGGCGCGCCTGCAGGCGAACGCAGGCGTCGTTGGCACTGCCCGGATGGAGCCAGCGGAGGTCCAGCACATGACATTCGCGAGGACATACGGGAGACGACGAGCGGCGGCTACGCTAGTGAGAAATTTTCTTCCTCGCCCTCTTCGGCGTTGGGTCGGCTATTGCTAAAGCCCATAAGAAGTAACAGTACATCGGCCTACCTGCATAGAACTCTGAACATGATTTTTTTGAGCATATTCTTCTCTTCAGGAACAGCAGAAGCAACGTGACTGCTATACCCGGCAAGGTGGTGCACGGCGCCAGATTCAGATGGCGACTACGGCACCGGCATTTCCTCTACGTGCGCTAAGGCGCACGTCGCAACAATACAACATAGAAAGTAGTTTGAAGCTCTAACACGGGTAGTAGTTCAGTACATAGATGTAGCATGTCAACATACAACATGTATTTTCTCGAGTAACGCGATCCGATAATCAGTTCGCTGAAGATCTACGTCCATTGCCGACCGGCCTAATGCTCGTTGATCTTTCAAAAACCAGGAGCTATCGACAATTTATGATTGCTTCGCTTCTAGAAAGTCCATCGCCACTACTCGACCGCCGCTTTTTATGCCGCGACTGCTGCAAAACTTGACGCGTTGTTCGCTCGGCTACGCTGCAGATTTATTGTAGTACTATTCGGTACGATCGTGTTGAGTTTAGTGTAATTTTCTGTGCTTAAATAAACAGATCTTTGTGCAGCTCCGGGTAAGAAAAAGTGTAGCGCTTTACTCCTAGTTCGAGGAAGATGATTTCTGATCCGCTACGGCCACTACACAAGATCCGTTCCGAAACCACCTATATAGGATCCGTTCAAGAATGACGCCGCTGCCGGGCTCTCAGGCAGACGCCTACCATTGATCCTGCTGAGGTTCCCCATCGAATTGATCCTGCTCTTGCGATCCATTTAGATCCATTTCCGGCACTAGAGTGCTTATCGGTCCCTGAAGAGAAAGATCGTCAAAATTTGCAGCCCTCTGCGGGGGTTCAACGGTTCAATGAGCGCGTTACCATGATGAATGCTCCATCTACTTCATCCCTTTCATCGAGCCAGCAGGTTAGAACGCTAAAGTTTTACGTCAAGAACACCATCAGATACAAAATCACGGAATAATTCTTATCTCAACATACCACCTGAGCGTTATTTTACCGTTCATACAAAGCAATAGAAATAAGTCTTACTCCCGCTTCCACCAATCGAAAGAAACCCCATAATGTCCTGCCGCCGCGTAGCACTTTGTTGCTTGACCGCCCTGGTCAGTCTGCAGCAAGACTGCGGCACTAGCTGCTTTGTTGCCGCTTACCAGGAGGCCCTTTCGACGCCGAAGTTCCTCGTCGGCCGTCGCCACTTCTATGATGTGCCGTATCGATATGATTATGAAACGCCGGATGGAAATGGCTATGGCACTGCAGTCCGCACCGCCGGGCTCGTGACTGTGTATTTCCCAATCGGTTCTCTTCCACGAGCTACGACCAGGCGAGGACGCGCAACACGCGAGGCCAGGAGGGGTGCTGCCGGCGCGGCTCGTGCTGACCTTGCTCGCCGACTGCCTTACATGACGAACAGCGGTGGTGCAACCCAGCGTCAGTCTCCGTCATTCCGCTTCACATCCATGTACCGCGGGGCGCTGCCAATAGAGAACATCGAAAACCGTGAAGAAGGAAACCTCCGCGGCACGCCGATTGACAACGCCCTATCCATGATTTTGCTCAACGACGAGGGTGCCTACCCGACGGTGACGGGTAAGGTTCTGGCAGGGGTCGCGCGACTGCTCAGCAACCTGGCGTTCGTATACAAGGGCGCGGAGTCGGTTCTCGTCGATGAGGAGAACAAGGTAAGGACTGGTGACGTGTTGTTCTTAAGCGGTTTTGAGCTCTTCCAAGACGAAGATGGGACGAGCCCTGACACAGCAACGGGTGGTTCGTCTCATCGCTTTCCGCTCGTGCATTTTTTGCATGGGGATTCTGCGTCTCACGTTATGTACACACCGCTGCTGGAGCGCGTCGCCGCGGCCGGCTACGTCGTGGTCGCAGCCGACGCCGGTGGGCATAGCCTCTCCGGAAAACTCGCGGATAAAGAATTTGTTCAGAAAATTTCTTTATCAAATGCAAAAATGTCTGGATCTGGAAGAATATATGGTTGTCATGCTTGTCTGGCATGAGTCTTAAATCTGTCATGCACGTTACCCAAGAGCTCCGCTTTTCTGTTGCGCAGAAGCGCATTTTGTCATGCAGAATAGGCAACACCTAGGAGCTCAGAAACTTGTCATGCTGCGCCAGCATTTGTAGCCTCATCATGAGACGCCACCCAGCATCACAAGTTTCCAGACCCAGACACTTTTACTTATGATATCAGTGTCGGAGACGCGCGGGACGACAGGAAATCGCCCCTCGACCGGACGAGCACGAAGGTGTGATCCTCGCGAACTCCTTGCGCAGTTTGGCGTCGGGGGAGTTTGAACCTACCGCAGGAGAAGACCCGACCCGATCCGGGCATAAGTTGGGAGAGCTACTGCGGGCGAAAGTAGAGGGAGCCGAGGTGGCTGTTGCTGATGCGCGAAGCGGACGCCGGGTTGACATTCCGCATGCCGTTATTGGACACTCTCGCGGAGGCATGGAGGCCATGTTTGGGGAAGCTCCGGACCGCCGACTGACCATGGCAATAAACAAGGGAGCATACGTGGCCACTCCTCAGTCTGTATACTATGCCAATGAAGTGCCGGTCAAATTGGACCACTCGTCGGTGGTTACAATCACCGGGACGGAGGACGAAATTCAAAACAAGGATCGACAGGGGCGACTCATGACTGAAGCACTGTTTCCAAGGCAGGGCCGGGCTTATCAGACAAAGGACAAGCTGGAATACATGAAAGTAAACAAATTGTATGGCCGCCACATCGAGATTCAAGGCATGCGCCACGACGTCTTGTGTCCAGTCCTCTGCGAGGCGTTGTGGAAACTCCCAGAGGAGGTGAAGCATTCCTACAGAGTTTGGGGTTGGTCATCTCTGGTCAGACCCTTTAAGTCCGTGAAAGAGGTGCAAGCGTATTTTATCGAGCAGCTTCGTAGCAGTCAAGGCTTCGCCTACGAGTGCAGTACGGATACGGCGCAACTGGCAAAAAAAAGTCGCGACATCACAAGTGAGCTCGTTCTAGCGGCGCTGGGGGATGCGTTTAGTCGTCGTTCCCGTAGAGGTGGTGACACATTGCAGATCGACAAAGCCATCGCGAGGTTTAGACCACAGGCTACGGACGAAGGGTTCATCAGCACGGTTGTGAGGGAGAACGGAGGACCTAAGTTGCTTGGATGAACAGGTTGTCCGACCCAGTAATCATGAACGACGCGTGGCATCAAATTCCGGAATAGATGCGGAGTGTTCAAGAAGCAGCTGCAGGAGGAGGACCAGGATGCCACTACTGAGTTTCCCCGTTCAGCATTTGACAGATAAGCATGCAGAAGTATGAGGCGACTTGCAGGGTGAAAAAGAAGCCACGCCACTGCAATAGCCCACACACAGTCTTCTACAAAGAAAAAAAATCGTGCTATAGACTATTCGAACTTCGTAGTTAAGTAAGCCTACTCACCTCAAGTATGTATGATGCGAGATTTTGACTTTTGATGATGACAGGCAAGGTAGGATTTCGCTTTCTGATGTTAGCCAATGACCCTCAAGAAGTTTTTTAAAAACTATCTCGGGTCGCTGCGCCGCTATAAATTTTCTCACCAGTAATCGGCCAGCGCTTCCGCCTGGTTCGCTAAAGCTGTGCGCTATGTTCGTTCGTCCCGTATAGCTATGCTCGTTCGCCCTTATAGTTACGTGTAAACTTTTCAGAATTTTCTATCGAAACATAAGACGGACACGGTCCGCAAGTTTGAAAAAGTTAAGAACTTTACCAAGATATACTACCTAAAAACTATAGCAATTATCCAACTGGGAGCTCAAACGCAAAAAAAAGAAACAAAAACCAAAAACCTAGAGAGTACTGCTAAAAACCTTACAACAGACTTTCTCTGTTCTGTCGTGCATGTGCCTTCTACATGATCGATAAACACTACTGTGCCGAACTGAGGATTTATTGATGAACAAATTCCATACCAGGGGTTTTGAATATTCCCGTTTTGACTATTGCGCTGTACTATACCAGGGGTTTTGACTATTCCTGTTTTGACTATTGCGCTGTACTATACCAGGAGTTTTGACTATTCCCGTTGTGCTGTACGCACTTCAATCTCTTATATTCAAATCGATACAATTACAAACATTTTGACAACGTAGTATCTGTGTTACCCTCGCTTGTGTTCCATGTTTTGTTGCGTCACACAATCTGGTATGCTCGAATGTACTTCTTGCGATCACAATCAATCTTGTGCACTACGTCCCATTGATCAACTGCTGCGAGACGAGCCGGACTCGAAGTTGCTCACAGAGAGCGAGAAATAAAAAGGTTGATCGGTAGGCGGTCCTTCAATGAGTGAGTCTTTTACTCTTCAAAAGATGAAAGTAGTGCCTGGAGGTCACTTGTCCCAAGCGGCAGGCACCCCCGGGACCCGATGTTTTGGATGCTTGCAGAATGTGGCGGCGCTGATGCACGGGGACGACGGTAAACTACGGCATTGTACGGGATAAGCATCAATGTCACACCCGTCCCAAGTGCCTTCGTTTCTGGTTCTACTATGGTGAGCCTCCTCAGTGTTCCAGAGCCGTTCAAGAACGGCGCTGCGGCCGGGATCTCGGTGGGATGCACGGTTGCGCTTTTTAACCAGATCGATACGCTCAAGATCCGGTGGCAGGTCTACAGCGGCAAAGACACGCTTGCGGGCTTGCTCCGCACGGTGCTTCGCGAGGAGGGCTACTGGAAGGGGCTGCACCGGTCCGGGTTGATCTGCAACAGTTGCAGCATGGGGTCGGCGAGCGCCATCCGCATGGGCCTCTACCCCTGGTTCCGGGAGCAGGCCGTCCGGCTGTCAGGAGCCGAGGAAAAAAATGCAGCGCACATGTTTCTTGCCGGGCTGCTACCGGGAGGCATTGGCTACTTCTTCGCGTCGCCGCTGTACCAGGCGAAAAACCGTATCCAGGCGGAGAACGGGCTGCTTTGCAGAGAGACCGGAATTCTGCTCACCGGCGCGCGAAAAGGGCAGCCACCGCAGTACCACGGCGTCGTGCACTGCCTCCGCTGCATTATCCAGGAAAAGGCGCTTTTTCGCGGTGCGTCCGCGATGGTCGGCCGCGGCGCGGCACTCACAGCGGGGCAGATGCTGGGTTACGATGGATTGAAAACGTACAGCTTGCGGCACGACCTGGCTGCCGAGGGCCCGGCGCTGCACGTGGTTGCAAGTTTGTCTTCCGCGTTTTTCGCTGCTGCTTGTTGCATGCCGTTTGACCAGGTGCTAGTGCGGTACCAGACGTTGCGCGACAAGCACAGTTCCGGGATATCAAACTGCGTCCGCTCGCTGTGGCGCGAGGAGGGTGTGCGTGGTTTCTACCGTGGGTGGCTGCCGCTGTTCTCCCGCTTCGGGATCATATTCTGCATCTACATGCCAGCGTATGAACAACTGCGTGCACGAGTTTTTTCTATCGGGTACTTCAAGTAGATGAAGCTGAGCAGACGTCCGAAAAAGCAACAAGGAGCGCGCGAAAGGAGACCGACGGGTGCGGAACGGGGCCACTCCGCGGAACGGGGATGTTGGGAGCGAACCCATGCCCGACGACGCGGTTTGGCCTTTTGTGGTTCAGGGACAAGAGTTTGGCAACATTGGTTGGGCGCGCGGGGTTACATCTGATCATGTACAGGTGGATCGCATGGATGTGTACGGATTGAAAATTCTGCGCAGGTGGAAGTTCTTCTCGTTGCGCCACTAATTCGTTCTTGGACGTGCAAGAAGCACTGCCTTATTTTAAGATTGCCTTGTAGAAGATCGTCAACGAGTGCTGTTGGTTCAGTTGTTCTATCTTTCTAGTTCAAGTAATAGTTGTGCGTTTGGAGTTTTGCGATCTTGTACAGTGAGATCATCGTGGTCTTTGTTTTCTTATTCTTTTGCGTTTTTTCACCTTCTTTTGTGTGGTCCTACATGCATCTAAGTGCTCATGCGTTTGCTCTGTCGATCATGAAAATTGCGCTACTTCTGCTTGATGATCCCCGGGCTCATTATGAAAATTGGGATCGCAATTTTCAAAGCAACTAAAAGTCAAAATAGACACGGGGGCACCAAAACTTGTACTCCAGTTTTGTTTCGTGTGCGGGTTTTTCGTGTGGCGGTGTGTGCTGTTTCTTGCGTTCTTTGCGTGCTTTTTTACAACAGCAGTAGAACTTGAGCACAACTATGTGGTCCTCGTCCTCGTCAGTGCAAAGTTGCTCTAGAGGGCGAACCGGCTCTCGCCGGACGTCGACCCTGTTCCGTGTGCTGCTCGGGCTTGGGGCCGTGGCTGCACCACATGGTGGACCGAGTGTCGTGTCTGCGCAGGAGACGTCTGCACTGAAGAAAATGCAGCAGTTGCGCGACGAATCGTCGGACGGCGTGATTCGGTTTGACAGTCTGCAGGAGTACAAGAGTCTCGTCGCGGGAAGGCCGGACGACGAGCAGCACACAGTCAAAAACTACCACGTGATCCTCCTGTTCACGCTACCCGAGGGCAGCAGCCCCAAGTCCTGCCCCGCGTGTGGGCCGTTTCTGGAGGTCATGCGAAGGGTGGCGCCGTCGTACCTGGAGAAACCCGTGTTCTTCGTGCTGGTCCCCATGGGGCCAATCTCTCAGCTGCACTCCATCATGAGGGTACTTTTATGCGTCCATTTTGTAGACGAAGTTGTTTTCGGGACTGTAGACGAATTTTTGGCGTGATCAAGGTTTGATTTATTTCACTGAAGTATGTAGAGCGACGGCCCGAAGAATCTATCAATCTTATTAAACAACCACCCTTCTTCACAGCTTCCGCAATTTGCGCACATAGGGACCACGTACAGTGGAACGTACGACGAGGGGAAGAACGCGAAGCCCTACACCCTTCAGCGGTTGTGGCCGGGATCCGACGAACCCAGCAAGTTTTTGCACTGGGTACAAACTAGTGTTGATTTCTGTTTCATCAAAGTCTTCTGTTGAATTATACAGGAAAAAACAGGCCTTTTATCGGCGTTTTGAAATTCACCCCAAAATGAAATTTTTACAGGTCAATTCAGCTACGGGGGAGCAGGCGCAGCTTGTGCGCACCCTCGGGGACCAGCTTACGAGTTTGGTCTTGCTGTTGTCCTTTTTCTCCTTTGTCGCGGTCGTCGGCCAGGCGGCGCTGAAGCTGTTGCAGCGGTTCCCCGAAATAATGGCGGCCGGGAGTCTGGTCATTGCGGCATTGGGGATGAGCGGGATTATGTACAACATCATCAACCAGAAAATGAACTTCTTTGGCATAACCCAAGCCGGCACGTTCGAACTGGTATACTAGACCGTTGTTGCTGTACGTGGTAATGATGGTGCGCCAAGAAATTTTATCATTTTAAATATCTTTGGAATGGTGTACAACTTTTTGCGACTCAACAGCGCGGCACCGTGTACTACACTTCTACTACATCAAAAACAGATTCTTCCCTCATCCCGCGCGCAACACTTGGGTGAAGGCATGCTCTTCGGGGTGTGCTTCGTACTCACTGGTAGCGGTTTTGCGTTCCTCGCCCGAACGCGCAGCACTATCAACGTGTATCTCCCGAGCCCACGGAGACGGGAGGAGCTGGCTCAGCGGACGCGACAGACGCTGATGGTCCTAAGTGCGTGCGTATTTATCATGTACTTCGTAGAGAGTTCCTACAAGCAAAAGTCCGGGTGGCACATGGCAACGCCCTTTTTCCCGCCGAGCCATTTTAAAAGGGGCCCGGTTACCGTAGACCAGGGAACGTCTTTCTAATGATTTCTATCAATTAAAATTCACCGATTTCTGCGAAAGTTGCGATTGCATCGTGCTACGAATTATTTTTGAATCTAGAAAGGATTCCTTCGGTGGCGCAGTTGCACCAGAACTTGAGAAATAGAAAATAAACTTGCGAAACCGATTCGTTGACCGTGGCTGATGCTAGTTTCTGAAGATTTATTCCAAATGTGTTACCAAGATTCCTGCTCGTGTTTAGCCTTAAAAAGAAAGGCGACAGAGTGCATGATCCCAAAAGAAGATGTACAGTCGCAGGAGTGCAGCAAGGCGAGCGGAGCGTGGTGGTGACATATGAGAAGAAGCGCAACTTACCGATTATTGCAATAGTAGGCTCGTGAGCAAGCAAGCTCGCGACCGTACAAAATGGCGCGGGTTGTCGCGGAAATAAATCCACCATCCTCCTAGAAGAGGCGTTCACAACACGCGCCACACATCCGGCGGCATGACGGGCTTGGGGCGGTGGGTGAGTTTCGCTCACCTGGGCGGGGCAGTGCTGGCCATCCACCATCGCGCAGCGGAGAAGAGACACGAAAAGAAGAAGGACATCGTGTTCCACATGGAACGCCCGACCTACACCATGCACATGCAGCTCGTACCCGAGCCGCCGGCCACGCCATTACCGACTACCAGCGATGGCGCTGTCACGATTGAGGTACAATGATGTTTTGATGTGGTGGTTTTTTCACTTCACGTGGCGAAAACGTGTATACAACACGCCAACTTGGATTTTAATATCAATCGCGATGAAACGTAAAAACGCATAACACGACACAAAGGACGACCCGACCCCGGTCGCGGAGTTCCCTACTGGCGCTATGTGCGGCGGCCTGGTACTGGATGGCCACATGATGGTGAAACCGGAGCTGGACGGAACCACCGGTTCGCTGCGCACGACCGCGAACGCCCTGCTCGCACAGTACCGCACGGCGGCCGGGCCGCAGATTCACCTTTCGTCCGGCCCCGTGGACCAAGGGGCCATCGCGAGCATCAACGCAGAGCTGGTGACGAACGCCGCAAACTTCATCCCCGACGGGTCCAGCAGCGTCCCCACGCACCTGCACGGCATGGGAACAGATAGCACAACTGCAAGCGCTATCAACTGCAAAAATGTCTGGGTCTGGAAGATTGCCAGGTTTGTCATGCATATTTTGCAGGGCCCATGATGCCTTTGATGCATGATTTAGCATCACAGCTTTTTGAAGGGCTTCCTGATGCCTATTCCGCATGAGAAATGGCCTTTCCGCGCAGCAAAAACTGGCCTCCTCTTGCTGGTCATGCATCACAAATTTTTTTGGAATCCGAAGACAGCATGATAGGCTACATCCTTCCAGGCCCAGACATTTTTGCATTTGATAAGCGCGGTCGCAGGCACGACCACGGGGTTCAACCAGGAATACGTCACGAAGAAAACGGTCGCTGCTCTAGCGGGAAAAAAAACTACCGCCGCGAGTCCGCCCATTTCGCGGTTTGTGATTTTGAACTGCGACAAGTCTGAGGTGCTTTACAACGTGTTGAGCACGAGCAAAAATGCCGACGGCAGCGGCGGCCCGAGCTTCAACTACGACATCTACGACGCACAGTTCCGAGCGTTGGTGGCAACAGGCAGGGAGAGCGCGACGGTCCCGGGGATGCTGGTCTTTGCGCTGGACGGAAACGAAATCGCACGAACGCAGACACCAGTATAGGTTTCTGTGATTCTGTGTCACATGAGAAATGATAAGTGTTGCGCTTATTAAGTGTTGCGCTTTTGAAGTGTTGCGCTTAAGCGTTTCGGTTAGGCGTTTCGGTTAACCGTTTCGGTTAGGCGTTTCGGTTAAGTGTTTCGCTTAAGCGTTTCGCTTAAGTGTTTCGCTCGGGTGTTTCGGTTCAGCGCTGCGCTTAAGTAGTCCTGCGCCCCTTCAGAGGAGCGCTTAGGTGCCTCGCCATAGCGCTAGGGGGTCTCGCTCTAGAGCCTCGCCATAGGGTCTTGCCAGCATAGAGCCTCGCCATAGGCCCTCGCCGTAGTGCCCCGCCTAAGCGTTTCGGCTCTGGTTCGCTTATGTGGTCATGCGTGTCGCTTAAGTGCTTCGCCCCAGTGCTGCGCGTAAGTGCTTCACTCAAATGCCTCGCTTAAGTGCTTCGCCTAAGTGTTTCACCTACTTAAGTAGGTGCTTCGCGAAGTGTTTCGCTACGCGTTTCGCTACGCGTTTCGCTACGCGTTTCGCTACGCGTTTCGCTACGCGTTTCGCTACGCGTTTCGCTACGCGTTTCGCTACGCGTTTCGCTACGCGTTTCGCTACGCGTTTCGCTACGCGTTTCGCTACGCGTTTCGCTACGCGTTTCGCTTAAGTGTTTCGCTTGAGACCTCAGGTGAAGTCTTGACTCGTTTAAGTAGTGCCTCGTTTAAGTAGTGCGTCGCTTAAGTAGTGCCTCGCGTAGCTAGTGCCTCGCTTAAGTAGTGCCTCGCTCAGGTGGCGCCTCGCTTATGCAATGCCTCGCTTGGGTAGGCCTTGCGAGCTGCCTCGCATAAGTCGTGCGTCACTTGAGTCATGCTTCGCCTAAGTCGTGCGTTGCTTAAGTCGCGCCGCGCTTAAGTCGTGCGGCGCTTGAGTCATGCCCCACTTAAGTAGTGCTCTACTTGAGTCGTGCGCAGCGTAAGTCGTGCGCCGCTTAACTAGTGGGCCGCTTAACTAGTGCGCCGCTTAACTAGTGCGCCGCTTAACTAGTGCGCCGCTTAACTAGTGCGCCGCTTAACTAGTGCGCCGCTTAACTAGTGCGCCGCTTAGCAGGTGCGCTTAAGTGGTGCCTCGGTTGATTTGTGAAAGCGTCAAACAAGCAAGGAAGCGGCGAGAAACTTTGTCAAAATAAAACAACAGCTTCTGAACACCAACTCGACTCTGGCTCCGGATAGCGGGCTGCTGCCGTTTGAACTTCTGTTTTCGCCCTCAAGTAACAACGAACTGCACATTGTGGCGAACCGCTGGATCATAAGTTTGGTGGTCGTGATGCGAAGCTTCATACTGTCCGAGGTACTTGTTGTGATTCCTGAGATCAGTAGATTGATGTTGGTGTGCGACTGTGTACTGGACAAGAAAAACGATTGATATTGATCCAATTTTCAAACGCAACATTGATTAACAGAGAGCGCCGAACGCGCTGCAAAATTCGCTTGGCGAAAGCGGGTACAGGACTCTGGGTCTTGTTGCGACGATAGTGCTGCTTACAACCGCCGTTGGAGTGTGGTTCGGCACCCTCATCTCGCTCTACAAGACCGTTTACCCGGGCAAGGAGCGAGGCATGTGGGGCGCGAGGGGAATGGTGCTAGAGGAGAACTAGATGCGATGTTGCTCCCTGTTCCGAGGGCAAAACGGGAGTTCGCAAAAGTGCTGGCAGCCCGAGGCACGTAGCGGTAGGCGGGGGAAGGAGGTAATACTTGCGCTGGTTGTGGATTGGTTCAGCCGTGGAACGACTTCGGGAAAGCACCGGCGTACTAACAGCGACAGAGCAAATCGTGTTAGGTGTACTAGCGCAGAGCAAATATACTCTTTGCGCATGTTGGTTCCATTTTTTTTCGAAACATAAGCAGCTTGGCTGTAGAATCTCTGTTTACTGTTTCTTTTTGTTTCGATCGCAACAAAACCAACATCAACATGTCTCTCAACGTACTTGCCGCCTTGGGCTAGGTGTTGCCGTCTGTCTTTGCGGTCACGGGCTGTGATGCTCGTTCCATCTGCGTTGTTCGAAGTACTCGGATTGATCCTAATGCTAATACAGCGAGCAGCACAGCTTTCCTAGAAGGATTCTTTTTACATACAGGATTTTCCTCCTCGGCAAATACATCAAATAGATTTGATAATTTCTAAACTGTTCCGCGACGAGCTATGCGCTAAAACCAATGTTAAGTAATGTCGAGATCAGAGAGGAGGTTTAGACTTTATGCGGGCCACGTTTCGGCCTGAAGGACTGGAGATTGAGATCTGATCTTCCATTGTAGAGAACGATTAGCTTTCGGTAGGAGTGGCAGTTATCTTCAATTTTGACGAGAACTACGGTCATCACTTTTTCAAGTAGCACCAATCATTCATTCTCAAGTGTACAAAACCATCGGTCCGGTGTTGCGTTCGTAGGTCTTTGTGCGTCGTCTCTTGTTCGTACCGCTGTCCGTCCGCGCAGCTCTAACCGTTCGACGAGAGCCCCGGCGCCAAATCACCCGGCAACATGAAGGTAAGTTTTAACTTTTTATCATTTCGAAGGGGGCTACACGACGTTGTGTTGGTCTTGCTGAAGAACAAATGCTGTCATTGCATGAGTAACAAACGCCATTTTACTTTTTTGTCACTTTATGTACTACTCCCCAGGGCGGCGGTGCGTCAACCGTCGGTGGGAACCCGCGACCCCCGAAAGGCGGCGGTAAGGACCACTACTACGGGAATTCCCAGTCGTCGTCGGGACCGCGAGTGAACGAGCTGCACAACCGGAATAATAAGGCGTATGGCGCCAGTTTTTCTGGCGGCTCGCAAGGCAACAACATGATGAACCTCAACAATCCGCAGAACAATTTAACCCCCGGAATTTCCTCCCTCAGCGGAACCACGCACAGTGCCTCGAGCAGCTCGTCGGGGTTTGGCGGTGTTCAGCATCAGGGCGGATACAACGGCGGAGGTGCTGGGGGGTACAACCAGCAGAACTCCGGTGCTGGTGTGGGCAACAACACTATCGGGAATAATGTGAATGCGAACAACAATGCTGTTGGTGGAAACAACTCGTCCAATAACTTCGGTGGGAATAATAACAACAGCAGTAGCGCCGCGCAGAACAGTAGTTCCAGCTCCTCTGCGTCAAGCAGTAGCAGCACGATGCAGGTGAACCACAAGCGTCCTGACCAGCCGAAAAACCGCTTCCCGTATTTGAAGGACGGTCTCATGCTGCACGGGAGAATACGACGGATTTGCCTGAAACACAACTACGGCTTCCTTGCGAGCGAAAGCTGCTACGCCGATATTCTGTTCACACTCTCGGACGTGTTGCCCCCAGAAGCGAATGCAGACAAGGATAAAAAACAGGAAAAAACAAGTTCCTCTTCGTCTTCCAAAGACGCCCCAGCTGCAGAGGCAAAAACGCCCGAAAAGGATCGCGTCAGCCCGGAAGACAGTGTGTTGTCCTCGAAGTCGGCATGCAAAAATCCTGAACGAGCGGAAGAGGAGCAGAGCAGCGCCTGCACTGGAAACAGTAAAATTCTACCAGAAATAAAGGCAGTTGTTGACGCACCAGCGTGTTCCGATGCAAATGCGGGCGTGCTCTCGTTTCGGGAAAGCAGTAAGGGCTTTGCGAATCGTCCAAATGTGATTGACTTGACGAACAAAGACGCGCCGAAGAGCAGTGCTGGGTTTCCCGACGGTGTCGACTTGAAAAAGGACGACGTTGTCAGCTTCCAGCTACAGGTCAGCGACCATAAAGTTACACTGGTGCTGGAATCGGCGCAGCGCCTAGGGGGTTCAGCTCAGACGAAGGATGGTCTTGCCGATGTTGAGCAAACCGAGAGTGTGCAGGCGACACCGAGATCGAACGTGGTTGAAACGGATAGTGCAGTAGTACCGCCAGCCACCGCAGGAGGAAGCAAGGCGAAGAGCCCTGCTGCGAAAGGGGACGAGAATTCCAATTCCGCCGCACCTGCGGATGATTCTGCAGAAAGTACAGTTGCAGACCCGAGTACCACGAGAACTCCGAAGAACACCACCAGCCCGGGTGGACAGGGCAAGCAAAAAGAGCAGGACCCAGCTGCGAAAGCCACGAACACGCCGGCCTTGCTGCGTATTGGCGCCTCCACGAGTGCGGAAGCTGCGTCTTCGTTTCTCGGCAGTGTGGCGCATTCTGTCTCCTCTCCCCTGGTCGCGGGTGCGTCCGGCGCGAAACTCGAGGAGGCTGCTGCGACTGCGTTTGTGATTCCGCCCCCTGCCGCTCCGGCGGTGATCGAAACGACTGTGAGTACGCAGTCGGAGGCGCGAAGCTCGGAGGTGAGTGCAGTAGGAGCGTCGATTTCGGAGGATGTGAAAAATTTCGTCGTGGATGCCACTGTACCTGCAGAGAAAGGAGCGGCGGAAGTGGATGATGTTGAGCAGCCGGAAAAGATCGTTGCTCCAAGCTCCTCCGCCAGCGGGTCGAAGATCGCAGCAACCACCACCGACGAACCGCCCGCCGCGACCAGTTCGGGCGCGGCCTCCTCCAGTTCCGTCGGCCAAGAGCCGGGCAGCGCACGCTCGTCCTCCGCGTGCTCTTCCTCCGCCGAGAGTAGCAGCGGCGTGTCCTCCATCGACATCAGCCGCATCATTCCTATCGGAAGCAAGCAGCCGCCGCCCCCGATCAGCACCAGTCTGGATCCCAGTCCGGCGTTGCAACTGCACCCGAACAGCGCGTCTTCTACCGGCGCAGGTAGCTCGGCAATCGTGCCGACCCCGGGCGGTGGCGCCATTTCCTCCAAAGCCGCATTTTCATCCACCTCGCAGCACCAAACCCCGCGGCTGGCCGGCACCACTGCGGCTAGCTCCGCCTCCTCCAGTGCGGCGCTCACCACCACGCCGAACGGGACAACGATCACGAAGGCTGTCCCCCAGCAGTCTCCTGCGCTACTCACGGCCACCAATGTGCGGAAGTTACTCTCTGACGCCGACGTGCCGAAATCCGATGTGAACGGCGATGGACTGCAGCAAGGGAAAGCGCGCCCAAAGCCGCACTTGAACCAATTGCACCAGCCCTACAACTACGGCTACGGGTACCAGGGCTACCCCCAGGACGGGCGAGGGCACAAGTGGGACAACAACTGGGACAAGAAGATGGGGACGGTGTTGCCGACGGAAGAGCTCTACAGCTGCTCGAATGTCCTCGTGCGGAACGCCGAGCTGGCCGCCGAACCGGCCGTGGAAATGTCGGTGGGGGCGCACCTGACCCGGAGCATGGATGCGAGCTACGACCCGAGGGCAAATAACTATCGCGGTGCGGGGGCTGCGGGGGACAATTCTCGTGGTGGTCAACATGGCGGGGGCTACAACCAGTCGGTACTAAGGTTTTTTCTTGTTTTGCACGCAGAGTCGTCTGCAGTGCTTGTATAGTCTTGTTAGATGCGGTTATACGAGGGAGTACCCGCAGTTGCTCCTCTGTTACGTAGCTCTAGACACCGCAAATAAAGAACTTCTGTTCGTCCAGGTTGGTGGCGCGTCGGAGGCTGCGAGTCAGGTAGCAAGTTCCGAGGCGGATTCCTCACGCAAGGGCGGCGCCTTCGCTGGCTCGGGTTCAAGTGCATCCTCGACAAACAACGTAGAAATACTGTGCCTGCTGTCATCCTGAAGACACATCAGCGTTTTTTGTACGGCCTTGCCACAACATGATGAGCAGAGTACTCTAGCTTTGTGAATTTATTTCAGGACCATAATCCTTGATTTTCTCGATCTTTGCATTATTCCTGTGAAATAAATCAGGCGGCGCATAGCAAGAAGACTGCACTGTCTGCATTGGAAACCGCATCGTCAGCGCCAGCGATTCGACCGGCGAGTGCGAAGAGTAGCAAGCCGCCAGAATTTGGTGAGGGCGAAGGTAGAAATTTGTTGGAACAAGTCGTGATGAATTTATCGTTGGACGGAAGGGAGTTCTTGATATGACTGCTACTTCCCCATGTTTCGCAGCAAAAAGTACGGCAACTGCGCTTTTGCAAAGTGCAAAAACACTTTACAGCAGCAGCTTATAATCGTGGCAGCGAGGCGGGAGGATCCTCGGCCTCCAGCAGCTCCGCCGAATTCGTACCGCCACCAAGGCAGGTAGAGCTTCTTTTCATCAAGATTTTTGTGAAGATAAAAAGTAACATGTGAAAAAGCATCCCTTTAGAATTAGACTTCCACCGAATTATGTACACAGGACGAACTGAAAATCAGGAAAAAGGAAAATAAGCTGAAACTCGCGTAAGTATCTCGCGAGAGCTTTGTGCGATGAAAATAATCTTCTTGCAGGGCATCTCTCCCCAGTATGCGGCGTTCAACACGACAAAGGCGAACATCAGCAATGTCATCAACCAGCAATTCATGCACCAGCAAATGGGCGCGCAGCGGAATCGCGGCTCGTCGAACGCAAACGCCGTTCCGCCGAACAAGCCGAACAGAAGCATGAGTGATCAAGCGCAGGTACTTTTTACAACCTTTGCTGATTTTTTTCAAATGTGTTCTTGGACCCGGAGAGGTTCAAGAACCTGTGTAAGTACATTTTGGTGTTTATTGCGGATGAACAAAAATCTTCAGCATGATTATCATCACAGGTCACCCCCAGCACAGCCGCAATCCCGCAGCAGGATGTTCGGGGCGCAGTGACCCAACTGGTGGATCCCGCCAAGGGAAACTTTGTCGCCCCAGTTCCCACCGGGCCGACGAAAATTCTGTTGCAGGGCCTGCACTGTTTCGTCGATTTCAAGGTTGAGGAGTTGACCATGAAGATCATGAATAACGCTCCCGCGGTAAAGTGATTTGTTACTTCAGATACGTGTTTTAGTTTTTTCCTGATGCACAATCAAGAGCGGATATCGGGCTTCGGAATGAGAAGTGGGATAGAAGATTATGTACGCGATCATTTTTACGGTATGATCTTCATCTTCCATGTGACTAAAAGACTTCCACTTCGTGAAAACCTGTATTATGCAACACTACAACAGAGCGTTAACGCAGCGGCTGCCATTGATCACGATCCCACCACTGAGCCAGCGCAAGTCGGGAGCTTGTTTGCAGTGAATGTGCTACAGCTGGCGCAAGAGGTCCAAGCGCACCGGATCCAGCAGCAAACGCTGTTTGAGGTACGAAAAGCGTTTTCTTCATCACACTAATGCTTCTCGTGATACCAGAACTACAACTACTCTACTTCCTAAAAAGAAGGAAAAACCCTATGAAACCCCAATGAAATTCATTATACCCAGGCCGAGCGGCAGCGCGCTATACAGCAGCACAACGAGATATCCAAGAAAAAAACTGTGTTAGTGTAACTTTCTTTGGCTGACAGCATCACAAATTTGCTCTACATGACAGAGAAAACCTGTCATGCGTGGCTTGTAAGGGAAAATACACACGAAAGAAGGACTTCATGGCTGTGTGGCATGACAGGTGTAACTCTATTGCATGTTCTGCATTACAGAGTTACACTTGCACAGTTTTTTTCTTGCATACGAGAACTTGATGCGGCAGCAGCAGAGCCTGATGCGGCACCATATCAAATGCAAATATGTCTGGGTCTGGAAGAATACGCGATTTGTCATGCACCTTTCCCATGACCCATGAGGTCTGGAATGCAGGACCTAGCATGACAGATTCTGTGCGATGTCTCTCATACCTATCCTGCATGAGAAACTCCCTCCCGACTTGGTCAAAACTGGGCGACTTTTGGTAATCATGCAACACAGATTTTTGCATGCTTCAGATTTGGCATGACAAGTTGCATTCTTCCAGACCCAGACACTTTTGCATTTGATACACCAGTCCATGGAGCAGCACCAGGCGACGACTTCGGAGTGGATTCCGAACACCGGCGCTCCGGACTGGTTTCCGCCCGCCATGGAAAACACATTCTTTGGATAACAGAGTGACACTGCTTATTTCCATCGAAGAATTCATTTTTGGCCACCGTCGATAACATTTTGACAAGGAAAAACGTTCCAAACTGAAGCCTCCACAGCGGAGACGTCTTCTTTGCGGAAGCGTTTCGGTCTATGTAGTGCTGTAGCTGCTGCTAGCACTGCTACGCCGCTGTTGTTTCTTGAGGAGTTCGCGTGCGATGATTTTTCGCCCGGGCGGAAAAATAAATGCCGATGAATATCTACGCAGAAATCAAAATCGAGGGGAGCGGCAACAGGAGACTTTTTCAGAGAAGTAGAGACTGCTTGTTTCCTCGCAGAAACGGCGACGGTTTCTGTCGCGAGCACGCTATTCACATCGAGACTCTCCCTACGAATGCCTCTAGTCCAAAGTGCGCACGGCGAACTTGCCATAGCAAAAACATGGCAATGCGGCAGAAGTGAAGGAGCTGGTTGTCCGTAGACGCAGTTAGCGGGCCCTTCGCCTGCTGCGGAACCAAATGCGGGCTCCTTTCTCTGCGACACTGCTACTGGCCCTCGCAGCGAGCGGAATAACGTCGGCGACGCGCTGCCCGGTGAGCTCAAGCATTTGCACCAGCGACACATCAGCTGCACAGCAAGAGGGTGACACAAACAACTCCGACGGTGACCACAATTCCGGGTCACCAGCATCCTCCTCTCTCCAGCTTCCTGCCTCCCAACTTCCCTACCCGGACCCGAAAGAGGGTCGCGTGCTCTCCTTCATCCCGAAAACCAGCGACGACGGGTTCTCGATCTACAATGTGGACTTCAAGCCAGGAAAATTCACGTGCAGTTCCTGCGACACGACCACTTGTCCGACCTGCAACGTGGTTTGCGACGTGGCCAGTTGCAGCCTGATCAAGTTTTACCAGACCGAGTGCTGGTGCCGGCGGAAATCCGACGTGAGTCTGAAAACCCCGCTGTGGCGTTTACGGAAGAGCAACGATGGGCAATTCGTCCCGGACTCCTCCGTCCACCGGGTGTTTTGCAACGAACAGTGTGGCGGTGGGGTGTGCGACCTCGACGGGCTAGACTGCCAACCCTACAAGACCGCCTGTCGGCCCTGGTGGTTTTGCAATCTGGAGCCGCCGGGGAAAGAATTGAAGAAAGATTCGTGGGCCGGCATGACGGGAGAGGAGTTTACCACGTCGTTTTTGCAGGAGAAGGGAGAACAAGAAGAAAAACTCCCCCCGGTACTCTCTTCTCCGAAGATGTTGAAAACTACTGTGGTCAAGAACAAAAAGCCGAGCCGAAATCCGCTTTCCTTCCTGCAACGCCAGAAGTTCGAAGCGAACGATAAGGGGAAGTTCGTTTTCGAAAACGGCGGCTGGACCTGCAACGACGCGGCGTACCCGCCGCAGATCAAAAATCCGACCACTTATCTGTACGAAAACCGGGGCTACGTGATTTTTCCGAAGCAGAGCTGCACCGGGGCGGCGTACAATGCGAAGTGCTACTGCTGGGACGAAGCCGCGCGGGCGAGCGGTGGGGATCCGATGACCTCGGAAACGATGTGCGATTCGGGGTGTGGGTTGGGCGACTGCGCGCTGAAGTCAAAGTGTAGCAGCTCGCCCCCACCCCCGTACGAAGCGCCGCCGGCGATTATCCCGGATCCCAACGCGGCGGAAGCGGCGCACGCGAGCGAGGTGCGGACCACGCAGGTGCACACCGAGCAGCACGGGAACTCGTGAGGCGTTTTTCGACGATTGTTGCACTCGATCTGAACACTCGAGCATAAGTTTCTGCTTTGTCTACTTTTCTTTTCCTGTTTCAACAAATGAATCGAGAACTACTTTGTACTCCCTTTTATATTCGCGAGCTGCGTCTGTCTCAGTTCAAGTCTGTTATGATGGGCGATTACGAATGTGTGTGTTTTTGTGTGTAGGTCAAGTCGTTGCAGCTTCACCTCTCGCTTTGTGGCCTTGCGTTTAGAGGATAATTTGCGTATCGTTCTTCAAAAGGTTCGACGAGCGCGGAGAGCAAATGGGTCTGCGTATCGGGATCTTTGAGAGACAAAATGTGGAGCGTCGCAGCGACTGTAGCCAATTTGATCGTGTAGTCCCGTATAGTCCTGTTCATGGACTATAAGCTATCGTGCAGACACAGTGTCTTGTCGACCGATAGGATTGCGCCGGAGATTGTTGAACTACGGCTACTCGAATGAACCTTGGTTGAGCTGTTTCAAAATGAACATCTGCAGAAAAATGAAAATGCACGGAAGAGAGCGCTGCTTGTTGTTTCTGCTCGTGTTTGCGGGATGCCGCCTGCTTCTCTCGCCGCGCGCGATCGAGCAGCCAGGCCGGGGAACAGAATTCGAGATCGCTCCCGAGATTGCAGAGCGCGACGAGGCGTTGTCCTTCTACGGCCAGGATGAACATCATTTAGATGTTAGACGCAGTGAAGACACAGAATCAACACGACCACCAACAGACGAAAGAAAAAACGCAGATTCCCGTAGCTTCACAGCCACTGTGGAAGGTATCAACCCGTCAGACGAACGAACTTTCATCGTGCAGAAATCTCTTTCTCATCACGCCCGGGACTCCAAGCCTCACAGTGTCGGTTCTTTTTTGGAAGAGACAACAAGAGACGGCGATGATAGAAGTACTTCCGCACAAGAAGGAACCAAAGCCGAGGCTTCTGGCGACGAGAAGAAAAAACAAGAAGAAGAACCTCCACCCAAGGAGGACGACGGATCCGCGTCCAGCAACGAAGATCGGGGGTTGCAAAAGTTGGAGCAACAGGAAAAGCAAAATGGGGAGATCTGCCAGGCGGACCACCCGTTGAGACAGGACCTCATCGCGGTGGACACACACTTGTTCTTTTTGCAGAACAGCAAGCCCCACGACGACGCGTGCGGGGAGGACTGCGTGTGCGACGCGTGGAAGGGCGAGAACAGCTGCTGCGCGCCGGAGTTCTACACCGCGTTGAAGAAGCTGAAGAACCGGCAGGAAGGGGATATCGATCTGGTCAAGGCCCAGTACGAGGAAAGCGCGTTTCTGGAAATGTTGGTGGACCATTTGGCGAAGAGCGCTGGTGCCGATGGGAACAAAAATGTGATAGAATCCGTGTTGAAAGAGCCGAGCAAGCAGCTGGGACTGACGATGCAAACGTTTCAATCTGACTGCCAGAAGCAGATCTCGAATCTGTTTATCCAGCGGACGTGTGAACTCTGCCGCGTCGGACTGGGCGACCAGATCACGCTGGGCGCCAAAGACTCGCCGGCGAGGAAACGCTGCATGGTGACGGCGCGCGCGTTGTCGCGTGCGCGCGATACCTTTTTCGATCTGTTTAGGCGGAAGGACGGGAAACTAAACTTGATGGTACCACCTCCAAGCGAATCTACTTCCGCGATGAACACGGCACCACCGGGTACCTCCGCCGAAAACCCGGTTGTCATCACGTCCGACGCCTTTAGCTCTGCTTCTTTCCTAGAAGTACCTTCCGTCGACAGCTTGACCAAGGTCGAAACGGCGAATGCGGCTGAGGAGGGAGATTTGATTCCCGTCACGGGGTTTCTGGAGAAGTTCCTCCTACGATTCAACAGCGAGGTGGAGAACATTATCGACATGTTTTCCGAGGACGGGGTCTCTTTCGAGGAGGACGTCCGCGAGGCGGGGCTGGCCTTCCAACTGTACCGGTACGGCAATTTCGAGACCGGGTTCGGGGCCGCCTGCCCGCTGCCCCACGAGGCCTACCACTTCGGGCGGCAGAAGTGCGTCTGCGAGGCCTGCCACTTGTGGCTGAGTCCCACCGGCGGGCCGCACTTGTGCCGCGAGGAGCCCGTGCCTTACTTGCCGTTGACGCAGAAATTCCGGCCTTTACTGTACCAGCAGGTGGACGCGAACTCCGACGAGGCCATGGACCAGCCAGTGAACATTTTGAAACTTCAGTCCTGCGAGAAGGTACAGCGCGAGGTGCAGCGGCGGGCGGTGTTGATGCGACTGGTGGTGGTGCGGGACTTGAAAAAGTTGGACGCCTTGCGGGAAGGGGGCAGGTTCTCCGACGAAGAAGACGGCGTGAACGCGGCGGGAACTATTGTGTACCCCGAGAAGTACTGGGAGACGCGGGCGAGCATGTGCCAGGGGGAGAAGGCAAACGACTTCGTCGATCTGCCGGCCACGCCGCCCTCCATCGCGGCGTCCGAGCGCCCGGTCTTCGCGATCCCGGTGGGATTATCCTCCATGGTGAAGCTGAAACAGCTGGCGGACCAAGTGGATGAGCTGAGTATGGGGACAGCTGCCGCGAGTGCGCCTGCTGCACCTGCTTCTCCAGAAGCTGCACCGGAATCCACCGCGAGTAATTCCAAAGAAGGGGAGAAGAGCGATGCAGGAGCAGAAAAATCCACGGAGAAAATAAAATCTTCCGACGCGGAGGCGGAGAAACCAGAGGAAGCGGCGAAGGAATTATCATCTTCGTCGGAAGATGAAAAAGCAAAAGCTTCTGGCACAGATGACGACATGGCGAAGGACGAGAAGAAAGCGTCGGCTGCATCAGATTCGAAGGCAGAAGAGGACAAGAAACCTGGTGGCGAGGACGAATCATCGAAGCCCAGTGATGATGAAGCGAAGCCAACAGCAGATGAGGCGTCCAACAAGGGTTCCGAAGAGAGCTCAGCAAAGCCGTCTGACGATTCGAAGGCCGCAGACGATTCGAAGCCATCGGATGACTCGAAGCCCTCAGACGATTCGAAGCCGCCCGAGGATGACTCTAAGTCCCCCGCCACCGCCGAGCCAAAACCAGAGGAGTCCTCTGGTTTTGGCTCCGACGAGTCGAAAGGTAAAGAAGATGCCGCAACTGGTACAACTACAACATCATCTGCTGACAAGAAAGACGACGGTGCCACAAGCGACGAGAAGCCGTCTGACAGCAATGATGGAGAGGCAAAAGAGGACGGAGATGAGAAAAGCGCGGATGGCGAAAAGAAGCCGGGCGACGAAGGAAAAGAGGCCGACGATAGCAAACCACCTGGCGACGAGGCTAGTAAAAACACGGAGGATAGCGATAAGAAGGAAGGCTCCGAGTCCGGGGCAACGGCTGATAGCAACGACAAATCAGGAGAAGAGAAATCAGCAGACGATAAAAGCGAAGGGGACAAGACCGAAGGGGACGAGCATGGGCAGGAGGAACATGAAGGAGGGGAGGAGCACGAGGAGGAGGAACATGAAGGCGGTGAGGAGCATGCGGAAAACACCGAAGCAGGCGACGGGTCGTTCAGCAGTTTTTTGCAGCTTCGGTCGGGCGACAGTTCTGTGAGCTCCACAGCATCTCCAACGGGTCTCGGTAAGAGCACGTTATTTCTCGTGTGCGCCCGGATGCCGCACGGCGGCACGCAGCACCAGCTGTGGCAACCCACCGGGCTAGTGAAGTTCCAGGAGCTGTTACCGTCCGCGAATATCATGAAAGTTGCGGTGAAGCAGGAGATATTTGAGGCGCTGCCCGAGCCCAAAGCAACAAGGGACACAGAGGAGTCTCTGCAGAAGCAAGTGGCGCAAGAAGAGCAGCGTGTTTCCGCTGCGAAGGAGGAGCTCAAGGATGCGGAGCGGCGGGTCAAGGAATTGAAAGAATCAGGTGCAGTGGAAAGCAGCAAGAGTCGGGAAGCGGTGGCGGAAGAAGCATTAAAGAAGTACGCCGGTCAGCCTTTAGCGGCCAGCGGTAATACTAATAGCGACGACGACAGTGCTGGTGATAAAAGTAGTACCAAAAATGTTCCGGAAGGAACAGAATCTTCCAAGCCCGCGGTCACCAAGGAAGTGACCAAGGAAGGCGAGGATACCACGGTCTCCAAAGAGGTATCGCACGACGTTATGAACGGCCACAAGCTGACCATCGAGCGAACCACGCGTATTACGGTCGATCCTGACGCGCCGCCGCCAGTAGAAACCGCGGAAGCTGCAGGGGACAGGGACACCGGCCCGCAGCTCGCCGTCCGGACGCATTCGGGCGATCGCGTGGACTACGCAGCGGACGGGGCGATGGACGCATTTGCAGACGAGCAGAACGGGGCGGGGCAGGAGCACCGGGGTCTGCACCCGCTGGAGTCGGGTTACGGGTACGACGGTTCGGCAATCGCAGCAGAGCGCAACGAGAAAAAATCATTGGCGCAGACGGTACTCAGATCCGCTCTTGGGGTCCCAAAAACGATGTTTGGCAGCATACAAAGGATGAAGATTGGCTCCTCGTCTTCCGATAGTGAAGAAGCTACTTCTGCAGACATCAACTCCAGCGGGAACACTGCAACAGGCACCAGTCTCAAATCAGCGTCGGTAACACTAGATTACTCCTCTGCGCACGTGAATCCGGAAACCGGTGCCATTGAGGAGTGGATCGACGGCATCATCTTCAGCCGGTCGGCGGAAACCGACTGCGCTGGCGGGTCGTACGTGCTGCACCCCGGGGTCGGGTTGGTGCAGCCGGTGGAACCGGGCCTGGCCGCGTCGGAAGACTGGGGGATGATGGGCCTCCGCGCGGAACCGGACGTCACGGACGTGCAACCGCGGCTGCCGCAGATGCGGGGCGACGATCCCGCGGCCGGGCAGGAGAGCCTGTCGGATCTGCCCGCGGACATGGAACAGGAGGAGGCGGACGCGCACGTGCGGATCAACAACGAGGAGCCAGCGCCCGCACCCGTCGAGGAGAAAAGTTCCAAACGGTTCTGGCGGATTTTGCTGCTTGTGCTGCTCCTGTTACTGGTACAGAGAAAACAGAACTGTGATTTGTGATTTTTATTTTGCGATCATCACTGTACTTACTCGTGTGCTGGCGCATTGTGAGTCATGACTCGTTTGTTTTCTTGTAAAAATTAGTCGTACGTTCTTGAGTTGAGATATGGGATTATTGGAAAACGCAATCGACACGCCCGAACAGATTTTCGCCCTGATCTCCCGTTGGCTCCGGAACCGCAACACTGTTGTGGCGCCGGAAGAAGGCGGCCTCGCCGAAGAGCTTGCGACGTCCTCCAACCACAGCCAGTCGCCGCAAAGCCAGATAACCGCCGGGCAGAGCAATCTGCGGACGTCGAGCCCGTCGCAGCTTTCCGGCGTGAATGTCGAGATGGGGGGTTTGGTTGCGGCCACAGAACCCGTGCCGCACCTGATTGCGAGCAAAACCAGCCAGGACGGTATCGTCGACGTGGAGGAAGAATTACTGCTGAAGGTCGGCGCCACCGTGCGGTTGTTCGGGTTGCTGGAGGATCACCCGAATTGGGAAGGCGAGTACGCCATGGTGATTGCCGAACCGAACGCGAACCAGGAGTGGAAGGTGCGGATGAACGACGGGCAGGTGTTCCGCATCGATCCCGTTCACCTGAAAAACGTTTCTCAGCAAGAGTTCAACGAAACCGCACACCTGTCTGTCGCCCAGCGCTTCCCACAGGGGTCGTTTGTGCGGGTACTTGGCGCCGGGGGCGCCGTGGCCGGCGCAGCGCCGTACGCAAACCGAGTCGCCATGGTGGGTGGAGTCAGCGACCGGCTCTTGCAGCTGCGTTTCCAGTCGGGCGGCGCCGTGGAGTCTGCGGTGATGCACTTCTCGCTGTGCGAAAGGATTTCGGAAGCGCAGTACCGGGAGGGTGCGCAGCGGTACTTGATGAGCGCGATCGAGGCACGAGCAAGTGGTGGTACGGGCCCGGGTCCGGCCTCATCGCCGAAAACCGCACCGAGCGCCAAGCCAGGCAGTCCGAAACAGAGTCCGAAGTCGGGGTCGCCGCGCTCGAAGACTCCGCCGGCAGTAGGTGCGAAGGTGGGGGCGGCAAAGGCAAAGGTAGCACCTCCACCACCAGCGAAGGCAAAGGTAGCACCCTCACCACCGGCAAAGGCAAAGGTAGCACCCCCGCCACCGGCAAAGAGTAAGCCGCCGGCAGGGGGTGCCGGCAACTCTCCGCCGGGAAAAGCGACGGGCGCTGCCGCAAAAAAAGCTCCAGGTGGAAGGTAAATGTGTTAACAGAACTTGACGTTTCCGAGAAAGAGGTAAATGTATGAACAGAAATACGGTTTCTTTTGAAAATGAAATGCGAAAAGAACTTTGTTGAGCTTTCTGTTTCGTGCGTTTCATAATAGTTTCTACGGTATGATTTTCTCGTCTCGGCGATGGCGTTGCGCGGGAGTTTCGCAGGCTTTTTGTGTTTGGAAACTTGCGATCTTGACTGGTGTATATGGTGTACAGAAGACAAGTACACTCTGTGCCAGATCTAGGTCAGTTCCGGGACCTTCTTCAAGCGAGTAATTTCTATGGCGATCGGTAGTTCTCGTGATGGTTGTCTAAAGTATCGGCTTCAGAATTCGGCCCATTCTGAGTCTTCTGGTACTCTTGCTGGTTTATTATCCTGGTTATTTTTCGCTTTGGTATTTGAACTTTTTGTTTTTCACCGAAACGACACCTCGAAAGCAAATTCAGGTTTTTCGAGATCGCTTTAAGTGTACGCAGATCTCGATGGTGTATTTCAAATGGTTTTTCGGTTTTGTTGACCGCACTCTCGTGCTACATCTTGTGTCTTTCTCGATCCCTTCGAATTGGTGCCTTTTCTCGATCTGTTTCAACCTTATTTTGGAAGCTGGATTTTTTGAAATTTTGACCTTTTCGGATCAGCCAGCTGCTGTTCTTACCAGGAGAAACCAAGTACATGCATCTGGACTGGCTTCATCTTTTCCAAAGTATCCTTAGCGAGTGTTTTACAAGTGAATTTACCGAGCAGCTGACAGCTCTTTGCGACGATGCGTCGCAGCAATACGACGCCCGCGAGTCCGGCAGGAACCGCAGCCCGACCTCGGCAGATGACAAAAGCGGAGAGCAAGGCCATGCGGTTACATGATTCTCAGTACCAACATCTTCCCGGAGCAATATTAACGAATGAACGCAACTACAAGCCGCCAAAAGACCCCCTCTGCATGGGTACTTCGAGCGGAAAGGCGAAAACTCTCAGCACAATCAGCATGGAAAAGGAGCCCTCTTGGTTTTCGGAACGTGAGGCGTGTTCTCGGACGAGCAGTTGGTATCGAGCCAATCCGGTGAATATCGATGACCGGGTGGGCGGAAGAGGGCAGAAACTATGTGGCGCATCATCATCCGCATCTTCTACTTCAAGGGCGTGTTTTCGTGCTGCTCCGCAAACGCATCTGTCACAGCTTCCTCAACATGGAGATAATAGTTCCTGTACGACGCCTGCAATTATGAATCTTCAGCTGAACTACAAAGGGACGTCGTCGTCGAGAAAGAATACATCGTATGTGGGAGGTCCTCATCAGAACGAGTTGCAACATCCGTATCTGCAAGCGAACGGTCAGGGGATCATCTTGGGTCGTAGGTCCACTACAACCGGGGCACACAGCAACTCGCGTTTTGAAGAGCAGCCCTCAACGTACAAGTACAATCAAGAACAACTTCTTCTACCTGGGTCTACTACAACTTCTCATAGGCTCCAAAACCTATCACCGCAAAGGAGTCTGACAGGGTTTACGTCTTCTAGTAATATCTGTTCCTCGTCCTCTTCTTCGCCCCCGACGCCACACATTTCGTTTAGTCAACAAGGGCAACATCAGAACGAAATATATCACAACAGAGGGAGGACATCGAGAACGCTACAGCATTTATCTGTACAGAAAACATCTTCAGCCTCTTCTTGTCAATCAGCCTCAGGGTCTACCGTCACGCTGTCAAAATCTCCGAGCATATACAGCGCATTCAATTCATCTACAGGAGGGCAAAATCATAATCATCTAGACGAGTTACCTTCGCATGAGAAGAAAAATAACACTAGCACGAATTCAACATCGAGAAGAAGCAGTAGGAGCACCACATCAACTTCAAAATTACAACTACCTCAAAATACCACCACGACTGTAGCAGGACCCGGTTTTTTCCCCAATAGAAGAAGTACCCACGACCCGCACCCTGACCCCTCTGGATTTTTGTTTCAACAACTACCAGCGTATGATAAGACTTACCCGGACATCAACCACGGTACGAATTCTACTTGCGCTCATCCTGGTGGACCACTAGTACATGCGTCTTTTTCCTCCACCCCAGAGGCTCCAGTAGTCCAGCGAGAGAGTTGGAAAGATCCGCCACCGCTTCCACCATTGCCCTTTTCAACCGCAGTAGAAGACCAGCACACCACGCCAGCTACTGCTTCATCTTTCGAAGCAGCAGGGCGAAAAATTGAGGACGATGGGTTTGAGGAGATTCTGGACCAGTGTTGGCAGGGTCTAAACAGCGGCACGTACTCGTCCGTCGAAGATTTTGTGGCTAAAAATCCTCACGTGTACAACGGCGGCGGAAACCAGCTTCTGCATCACGAATACCGTGGCGCCCCTGCGCAAGAAGCAAGTCGTGGACCGAGAGCGGAGCTGGAAGCCGGTCCGCACAAAGTAGAACCGCAAGTCGAATACCAGGTAGTAGCGAACAAAAAGACCACATCACCTGCACGAACAAATAAACGCCAGACGGTACGGCGCTTCCGTCCGCCGCCGGGCTTGGAGCATCACTACCAGAAGCTAAACGAGCAGCAGGACGACCGAAACTCGGGCGGAACAAACAGACTTTTCCGGCAGCACCACCAGTCACAATACACGGCTGCGGCGAATAACTTCCTTTTTCCTGTAGCGAGCGCTGTACAACCGGTGTTACCTGCGCGAGCCGCGGCACCCCCTAGTTTCGCGAACTACTTTCCCTGCTCTTGGTTTTATCCACAGCAAAATAAGCATCAAGATCTTTTTGAAGAAGGTGGAAATTCATTTTACCCGCAAAGTAGTCCTTGGACTTTCTCGTCCCTAACGACAACCCCCACTACAACTACTATTGCCAGCCCGCCCGGCACCATGGGCAGGCCGGGCGGAGGAAAAGGCGGGAAGGCTGCGAGAGAGGAAAGGCAGATCGCCGTGTTGGAAAGCACGAAGCACCCGCCGTTTGTGTTTCTCGAACTGGAAAACTCAGCGGCTGCGCGGGAGAAATGGCAGGTGGTACTGTGGAACGAAGCGAAGAGGTGCTTCTCTTTTCGGTTCCCGAACTACTTGCCAGAAAACCGACTTGCCTACTACTACGAGCAAATCAAAAACCTCGCACCCTGGGACGATATTCTGATAGGTATTTGTGTTCGGAGAGGCTGTTATTTCGAAGCAATTCTCCTGTGCACTTTTGCGATTATAGCATCATCACCGAAAGGGAAACTTTAGATCGTTCCGTTCAATGTCGACTTCTGCACTAGAATGAAAAAAACCCGATGATGATCAGGTCCCCGGGACGCCGCGGTCCGCAAGATATCGCGGAAAACCGCGTGGTGGGTGTGGGACCCCGCCTGCACGTGCACCTACACGTACGGGGTCGATACGAGGGTGGATCCCAAGGACAAAAACCGGCTGAAGCAGGAGTTCAACGACCTGATGCACGAGCTGTGGAGAGAGCTGAGGTTCGATACCATGGAAATCGTGCCCAACAGCGTCAATTTAAACCTCTACGAAGACGGCAGCCAGGGCTGCGGCTGGCACGCAGACAACGAATCGCTCTTCGATGGCACGAACCGTGACTGCCGGATTTTGAGCCTGAGCCTCGGCGGACCCCGGGAGTTCTGGATCGGCGAGCTCACAGACGACGACCCAGACTATTTCGCGCATGTATAATTTTAATTTCAACAGTGTTTTTGTTGTGTGTTTATGTGTGGTCATTTGTCGTGTTGGATACTAGCACACATCGTGTACAGCGGGATGAACAAATTGCAATTGTATCCCAACATCATCTATCACAGGTGAAGCGCGACACCATCGTGGAGACCACTTTGAACGCGGGCGACTTGATCACCATGGAAGGCATGATGCAGAAGTACACGCAGCACTACGTTCCCTACGCCCACACAAGAAAGGCATCCACCGCTCCCCGGATCAATCTCACCTTCCGCGACCTGGTGGTGCACAAGAAAAACTGCAAGCTGCACGGGCAGAAAACGAAAGGAACGAAGGGAGAAATAATGCTAACACCAAAACAAGTGGAGCAGGAAGAGACAAAGACTGAGACAGCGAATTTGAAACAAGCGGAAACAAAAATAAAACCAGCAGCGGATGAATCGGGGGCGGGTGGAAAAACGAGCGAGGCAAGTCGCTACGTCGGGTTTGACACCTACCGCCACGCGTGGACAGCAGCGCATCCCGAGGGGAGGGAAACAGTCAAGGAAACCAAGTGGACGGCGTGCGCCAACTGCAACGACGCGCCGCATTTGAAAGGGAGAAGATGCATTTTGATGGAGCCGTCCTCGGATAAGGATGTAAAAATAAAAGGAGAAGTACTGAAAAACACCGAAAATAATGAGGGCAACACCGCGGACGCGAAAGCAAGAGGAAAGTCCAGATCAAAGTCAAAAGGGAAGAGGTCAAAATCCGGGCAAGGCGAAACGGAGACACCAGCGGAAACATCGAAGGACGTCGACACTGCAGTGTCAAAAAAGCCGGAGTTTCACTGCCGGCGGTGCTGCGTCGCGGCGAACCCAGCGTTCGATTCGATGCTGTCTTTGGAAGATTTTTTGCAGAAGCGGGAGCCGAAAATCCAAGACGCAATGTCGGAGATGATTATGTCCGGGAAAAATCCGGCAGCTGCAGATGGCACTGTCACTGAGGAGAAAGCAGTCCAGAGATTACAACTCGATTCGCTGCCCATCTCGGTGTACGCAAACTATCGAGAGGATGTGAAGCACGTTTACGGCAGTGCGTCTCCCGCGAAAAAGAAGCCGCTTTACATGCGGGAAAAGAATGCCAAGAAGTTCGAGCCGGAAGCTCGAACTGCAGAGACCACGAAGAACGTGATCAATTTAGCGGCGAAAAGTGGCGATATGAACGCAGATGATGCAACGGCGAAGGAGTAAAATTTTTTGGTTTGTTTATAGCGTAGTTACATCCCTCCACTTATGTTCAGGTACTGGTTCGAATGTTTCAGACCTCAATTAGCCATTTGCACCTTTCTGATTCAACATCAGAATCGAAAAATTTATGTTTCGAACATCGCAACAATAATTCAACTACAGAACCCCTACTTCGACCGCCACGCCGGGCAGTTCCGCGCGAAACAAGTGGAAAAAAACCGACAAAAAGGAGGAAAGTTACACGCCAAAAAGTAACCGCCACGAGGACCACTCCAGCTGGTGGGGCAAGAACAATTGGGGTGGGAATGACAAGAATTTTTATGCCGCGAAAGACGAGAAATATGACATGGAGAAGGAAACAAAAAAAGAAAAAGACAAGCGGTACTATGAAGAACAATACGACAGTTCTTACGATTACAACAAGGATAGCTACGACTATAATTACGAAGAGTCAAAGAAGAGTAGAAGCAAGCAAAAAGACGACGGGTACTACAACTGGTACAACGCGGAGGAAAATACGTATAAAGCGCCAAATAGTAAAATGCGGTCGGACCACAAAACGGATAGATCCACTCCCTCGTCCACTTCACACAGCAAGACGCCCTCTTCCCGCTGGCAGAACAGAGCCGCAGGAGGTGGCAAGGCGAACAGAAGGGAGTACTGGTCAGAGAATGTGGATGAACGTGGTGCAGGAAGAAAAGCAGCAGGTCAAGAGGAGCAGGCTGTTGTGGATTGGGGTGTGGCCTGGAAACAAACAAAAGCCGCTGCGGAGGATAAAAGTTGGGGCGACGAGAAGAAAGAGAAGTACTGGGATAATTATGACCCCTACAATGGCGGGTACAACGGAAACAAGTATAATAACTACAGTGCTTCTCCCTCGAAGCGGGGCGGAAATTATGACCGGTATGTTGAAAAGACGGGTGATAAGTGGCGGTAGGTCTGGAAGAGAAGAACCTAAAAACTACCCCGACGAAAATCATTTCAAGAACAGCGACGCTTTTATACCTCTTTTTGGAACAACCGTGTACACAGAAGACTGTCATTCCGTGAAAGACTGTTGATATTCATTGGAAATAAACCAGCACGAGGCACATTATGTCATTACAGTTGTTTTCAACATGAAAAGGCTGCAACCTGCGTATGTTGTCGCGAATGTGCGCATGCTTCTCATGGACCGTCTTATGGAGCGGACGTTACTGCTGGGAGGATGTAGTTGGTATCATGACAGGTTCACTCTTTTTTCGTTTTCGCGATTTTTCAGTCGTTTTTCGACAGCGTGAGGGGAGAGAGGCAAATTTGGCTTGCGGATGTGACCTTGAAATACCACTAGATAGAAGCGAGTGCATGGTACGGGGTTCTATTTTCTCTTCTCGCATAATCGCGATTATTTCGTCAGACTATGATGTTGTCGTGGCCGTCGTTGCACTCCTTAAAGGTTTGTTCGAAAGAAGCAATACCGAAATAAATTTTCCAAGCGCGGCAGATTTTTTGCCCAAGTCGCGGTATTTAGCGGACCTATTCTGACTACCCTGGGCGCGCGTTTTCGTCAGCATCATAGGTCGGGAATCTTTTGATTCGCTGCAGGCCACGGCAGCGCGGAGGGTGTACCGTTGCGGAAGAAGTGGACTTACTAAGATTAAATGTGAGCATCATCTGCAACGTCCTCCAAGCTGTGTCTGGAAGCAGCCAATTCCCCTCGCCGACCGGGGGCCCGAAATGGCTGAAAACTATCATTTTCGCTGAACAGACGGAGCAACTACTTAAAAGCCCGCACAAGGGACAGACTGCGAGTTGTATAGTGTCTCCTTGTAGAAGTATGTAAGGCGAAATCTTCTGTGCTCCTCAGCAACAAGGAGTTCCGGACCTGCAGGAGTCGGGGACGATAGTAGAGCCAGATATCGCGGCTATCGCAACTGTTCGTACATGTATAATGGCCATTAAGGACTGATAGGCAACTTCTACAGGATATAGGATCACAAAATGGAGGAGCTTCGCTACACGCCGATGGACGACAATGCGGCGCCCGTGGACATGCGGGGTGCGCAGCGGCAGTCGCAGCCGGGAAGCCTGCCCGGGATGCCGCCGGGTGCGGAACAGTTCCAATTCGAGCCGGAAGTGGAGGAGAGAATTATCGAAATCCCGAAGCTCGTGGAGCAAATCATTGAGAAGGAGGTGGTTATCCCGGAAACGCACATCGTAGAGGTGGTCAAGGAGATACCGCAAATACAGGAAGTGATACGGGAAGTGCCAAAGTACTTACAACTGGGATTGATGAATGTGTTATAGTTCTTTGTGTTGCATCTTCACTGCAGTGCTAAACGAAGTCTGTCTTGCGTGATACGCAAAAATTTGTATATTCTTCTTGATCAGGTACGAATTCAAGGAAGTGATAAAGGAAATCCCGAAGGTCGAGATCAAATACGTTGAAAGGAAAGTGGAAGTGCCGCAAGTCATGGTAGAAATGCCGTTTTCTCTTTATTTGTAGCTAACCGTGTCGTGGACGACGCTTTCCAGTACTTATTCGTAAATGACACAAGCTAGTTTTTCTTTCCAAGCAGCTGACTTCGCGTTTCTAGTTCGATGAATCGATTCGACAAGAAATAACGCAATTATACAAAGGTGCGCGACATCCCCGTGGAAGTGCCGCAAGTGCAGGAGATCACGCGCATGATACCCCGTATCGTGGTCAAGGAAATTCCGGTGGAGCGGGTGCGCAAGGTCGAGAAAGTCATTTACCGGGATGTGGAGGAGATTGAGTACGTCCCCGTCCTATCAGATGCAAATATGTCTGGGTCTGGAAACTTGTGATGCTGAACTGTGGATGACTGAAATACTTCCCAATGCAGCCAAGCATGACATGTTTCTCGCACACTTTCTCATGCGCAGTCCGCATGAGAAACTGCGCTTTTGTATCACAAAAGAGGGTTTCTTTTTGCTTGTCATGCAACACAGATTTTATAGGAGTGCAGGACTAGCATTACTAGTTTTATGCTTCCAGACCCAGACATATTTGCAATGCATACGTCCCCTACATTGTGCAGATCGAGAAGAAGTTCCCCCCCGGGAGCATCGGTCCGGACGGCAAGCCGATTCCCGACAACGGCGGCGGGTTGCTCGGCCCCGACGGCCAGCCGCTGGGACCGGGGATACAGATGGGCGCGGACGGGGTGCCGATGCGCGTGAAGCAGGAGGTGCACTTGTTCGAGAACGTGAACCAAATCACCAAGCCGAAACTCGTGCCCGTGGAGACGGAAGTGCCCGAGTACGTGCCGCAGTACATCGACGTAGAAGTGGACGAATTCGGGATGCCGTTGCAACCCGCACCGACGTTAGACGTTCTGCTCAGTAGAGGGGTACCGATGGAAGTCGCGTGAAGATGGCGGTTTTATTTCGGGGAGGAGTCAATTGATTATCACGAATTGATTTCATCTCGCCTTACATCTCTTTTCCAGTTTGACTTCGAAGATTCTGAAGTACAAGCATGCATTGGCATTTTTCACAAGCTGCAGCTGCGGAGGAGCAACAGCTCTTCGATGCTGTTGATAGGACCACTCGTGCGCGCGACGTGCAACGAAAGAACGAGTGTTCATGTTCTTCATCAGTGAGGAGATAGATGCATCAAAGTCCTGTTGTGATGTCCACTGTAGATGAATTTGCAGGCTTCGACCCAGGCGAACAAGTGAAAGATCCGCATTGCTTTCCATTCAGAGATCCAGCTCGCTGTTTTTTTTCCTTTTTGACGCGGCGTAGAGTCTCATTCGAGTAACCTGAAGCTGAATCTCATGCGTTTTTTCCACGTCCTGTTGAGATTTTGATCTTTAGCCAGTGGCCGCCAGAAGTGTTTTATAGGAATTGCAAGCTGTCCTTTTCGTTCTTTTGCGTGCGCATCTTGAGTAGATCGGGAAGAACAACTCAGATAGTTAGAAAAGGCTCTTTTTGCTGGGCACTTGAGAAAAGATTGCACGTGATTACAATTTTCCCATACTGTGAAGTATTTGTGCACAAGAAATTTTAAGTATTCGTTATGATGGTGAAAATGTCTACTGCAACTGCTACGGCTACATCTCCACACGCCCGCTGCTGAAGACCGCTTGAGTGACCGGGCATTCATGTTCTGCACGAGTTTCTCATCTGCCAAGCCGACCTACATCAGTCACGCCAAAAAAGCCTACGTCGCAAAGCTTTCGCACACAAGCCGGCGCCGTCGTCTGTAACGGTACCGACGTAGACAGATCGTAGAGAAGGGAGTCAGTCTGTCAGCAGGCGCGACACAAAACTACTGGAGAAATTTTCCAATTGCGTAGCTCTAGCGCTTGGGCAACGCGATTTTTTTCAGAAAGCAGCGACGCAGTTCAGACCGGCGACAAAATACGTTCCCAGTGTGGAAAACGCTGAGGACACCAGAATTCACAAATCCAGAAGAAACGGCTTGAAAAACAAGCAAATCTAACGATGTTCTCGGGATGGAGAAGATTCCTGAGCCGAGACCTGGTCCGCCAGGAAGAGGCCCCACCCGTGTCCGCGACTCCAGGACTGGACAGTGCGTCCAGCATAGTAATGCCAAAACCTACCTGCATCCAGTACGACAACTTCTCAAGGGAATGGATGCAGATCTCGCAGCTCGACAACTTTGATGGGTATGTTGTTGTATACAGATGGGCTTTTCATTTCACATTTATCAAGCGTGGTCTTTAAAGCTTGCGTGGCATCCTTCTGAAAAAATTTGCACACAAAGCGCTGATTGGTTCTAACTGTAGTTCCACCTGTAAAAAAATTAACGAACAGATTCCGCATAGAAGTCGGAAAGCCATTAACGAAGAACTTCAATGCGGCACACACTCTGCTCCTGGGAACAGCATCGAAGCAGCAGCCTTACGCCTACCAGTTCGGACCAGTTTTCCAAACGGAAGACGGGAGGCTATTCATGATGGGTAAGTTGCACAAAGAAATAGTGCGATTATCATCTCAGTTATGTTCTTTCATGCGGCGCAGTTACGACGCACAAGGACAGATCAGCGGAAGTTTTCTATCATGATGTCTCTATGATTGATTCTGCGCAAAAACTACATCCAAGGTAAAACATCGCTTGACGGCTTGCTGAATGCGCGCGTCGTGAAGAAGGTGATGGGACCCTACTGCGACCTCAGGGCAAACATGTCCTCCTGCGTGATAGAGCCATCGAGAAATATGTACTTGTTTGTGTTTTTTTTTGCTTGACGCTTTCTGATGCAGATTTTCGAAAAAGTAGGTGGAACGCGTGGATTGTGAGTTGAAGTGTCAGCACATTTGTCCAAATCTGCACATCAGGTACGAGTTTTCCAAGGATTTGAACTTCAAAAGATGGTGCACTTCTACGAAACTTGTGTGGCAAGGCATTTGGATCTGCAACTTCGGGTTTTCTTCCCTCGTCACAAAGAACCTCCACCTCGGCGGCGAAGTCACCTATTTGAACTTGCTCAGTCGCGGCGCCAGCATGGGCACGCTCGGATTCAGGTTGGTTTTTTTTTGTGTATTCAAGAACCTCTTACGCGACAGTTTCTCGTTTAGGTTTTTCTTGTCCACTTCTGTGATGGTAGATTCTGAAGGTGAAGAACTACATGAGTTGATTGTGGTGAAACAAATATAGGTATGAGGACAACGGAAACACTTTGTCGGGGACTGTCGGACGAACGCCGGACTTCAAAAATCCCATGCGGGAGGAACCGCTGCACGGCATACGCCTCCAGTACGCACGAAGGGTAAAGAACTGAAGTTCACCATGATAGAGGATTTGTTTTGCCTCACTTTTCATCTTTCGCAGGCACGGTGAAAAAATTATTGGAATATAAAAGTTCTAGCACCAGATCAAAAATTTTTCGATGAATCACTTTCACAACAGATAAGCGAGCGTGTATCTCTGGGCTGCGAATACGACTGGAGCTACCCAGAGCACGAGTCTGCCATGAAGGTAGGCTACGAATACACCTTCCGAACCTCCAGGGTGCAGGGGCTGCTTGATACTGCAGGTACAACTGTGATCCAGTTCATCTTTCAGGCTTTGATCATGCATTCATACATCAGACATTCAACCCTTTTGCTGCAACAGAGCGCAGGCCGGAATGCACTTAAAATAAACCGGCGATGGAAAAGAGTTGATGTAGTATTTCCCAATCTCCATGCACACAGGTCGAGTATCCTGTTTCATCAACGATTTCAAGGGTTTTGCCCTTTCCGGCGTCATTGACTACATGGCCAACGAGTACAAATTCGGCGTGCTGATGCACTACTTTCCGGCTGGAGAGAATGCGGAGGGCGGGGAGGCACCAATCATGTAGTTCTGTCACTCCATTTTTACCGAGTGTCGTGCTAGTAGGGTGTAAGATAGAAGTACACCCCATTCTTCAGCTTTCACGTTCTTCAGTCCAGGTACAGTCTTCACCAGTATAGAATCAAAGTAAACGAACAAAGCTTGAACCATAGTAATAAGCAGAATCTGTTTGCTGGGCTTCTCATGGCCCAGCTTAAGGGGAGCGATGTACACAACAGCAATTTGGCTCTTCCACCATCCTTCCACACGAGCTTTTGCTTTTGACGAATATTGTATAACAGTGTGATTGGTTTTCTCGAAAAATGACTCTTGTTCTTTTGTACCCAAAGCCCGAATCCCGGGTTTTGGAAGGTCATTTTTTAAGTAGCTAACGAGCCCCATGTTGACCTGCTGAGTTCTTTTGATTGGTGCGCTAGGTTATTCTCAAGATTGCGACTCTCGGAATCTTGATCTACTTCACGAAAATGTATTTAGGGTCTTCGTCAAGAATACAGAAAACACAATTGATTACGCGACAAAACGACACAATACAACAAGAACCGCCTTGCCTGCTTGACCCCGTCCTCCACAAAAAATACTGGTTTGTGTTTTCTCTGTTCTCGCCTCGTCCACTGATTAAGTGAATCGTGACCGTATTGATGCAGGAGAGAACACGGAAAGAACGCGGAGGCCTCCTTGGAGTGACAGAGTGCAGGAGATGAACAGATATCCTGACAGAGAATCAAGAGAGAGATGATTGTGCTTGGTTTTGTCTTGCTTTGTTTATTCGGCGTCCTGCGGTTACTGATCTGACTTTCGACCGTTTTCGTACAATCAACCTGGCGGTGGCACTGTCAGAATTAAGTTGAAGAACGAGACACAGAACCACGCACGCGTTAGGAGTAGGAGCTGCATGCTCAACGTGCTCAATAAAAGGAAGCCGCTTATTTTTACACTCGCCCGGTGAAGGGACCGTGTACAAGATTGGCCCAGAAAAATTGCCGCCGCTCGGATCATCGGAAGACGTTGCCGGACGCCGCTGGTGCAAAGACCCTAACGTTTTTTTCATCGCGGCAAGGCTGCAAAAGCCACGACTGTCCTGCCTTAGAAGCGGACTGAACTTCTACTCCTGGGGGCATTTTTCGGAGCATCACACGAGGAACTCGAACTTCGAAAATGACGAACTGTTTCGACAAGATCCGGCTCCAGCAGCTGATTGCAGAGACAACGCACGTGGAAAATCTTATCGCAAGAAAAAACTGTTTCTCTGTGAACTTGTGATGCAGAAAATGAAGTAGGAAGAGTTTCTGTCTTGCTACACCTGCAACAGGTTAGATTTTCAAGCGCGTTTTCCCTTAGGAAGCGCGCATGGCAAATATTATGTGTCATGTGTAACAAACTTGTCATGCAGATTTGTCAAAATCATCACAGTGAAACAGTTTTTTTGTGGGATAAATCTCGCCGCCAATGTATTCCACATCTTTTTCCTCAAGATGCATATCACACAGAAAAAAACTGGCAGGGCATATTTGTAATGCAAAAATAAATACGCAGTAAAATCTGCATTGCATAGCCGAAACAGCATGCTATGGGACCAACCATGACAAATTTTTCTGTGTATTTGTTTTTGCATTACAAATATGCCCTGCCAGTTTTTTTCTCTCGGATAATGCAGGAGGCGGACAAGGAGATGAAAACGGCGGCGCTGCTGCCTGTGGATGAAGCAAAGGAAGCAATACAAGACCTCATTTGTACTATGGATTCTTCTATTTTTGCCTCTTCGCGTTTTGTGCATCTTGTGTGCGAGGAACACTAGTAGCCTTGCTCCTGTATTGGCGACTGGATAGCAGGTTTCATCCCATGGTTCTATGGATAGATTTTGCATTGCACCCTCGTGGTGCCTTCTTTCAATTACGATTTTTTTTTTGAATTGAAAATTACATCAACAGACGAGTTTCGGGTGCAAGACCCCGAAGTGGTGAAGAGCCTCGGGGAGCTTTTCGACCTGCACTGCCTGGATCCGAACGGGTTTACCTACCACGCGTTCATTTCTCTGCTCCTCATCCTGATCCGAAGAATCGTGGCGCTCGAAGACCGCAACCGCGCGAGCAGTAGCATTCCTCCGACGCTGGTCGGAGACCAAACCGCACGGTCTTCGCAAATGGTTCAGCAGCAAGTCAGCAGCGCCAGGACCACGCCCACCGTGAATTACCGCTACAACTCGGCGTCCGGGCCAAACACCCCACAGCTCGGCGGGCCCGGGGTTCGCAGCGCGACTACCGGGACCTACTCGGTGCCGTTAGGCGGGGGTGGTACGGGAGGTGGAGGTGGGGGTGCACAGCCGAGCGTTGTAGTGCAACCACCGATAAGTACCGCGAACGCAACACCTTTGCAGCCACCAAGGGCGCCGGTGGGGTCGACAGCAAGCGCTTCCCGGAGTAATTTTTTTTTTTTTGTGAACAACATCCTGATTCTATTGATTTGATGTTGAGTCGCGCGCGGCTTCTTGAGCTTTTGTATGTGCCTAGGAATTGTAGAGAAGTAAATTCGAATCTTCTAGGTATCACGCCACCGGTCGTCGCGAGAACAGTAATCCAAGGACCGCCTACTGTGCAAAGTACACCACCCGTGCAGAGTACGCCGCCGAGAAGGCTGAGCAACCGCTTCGCCCACATAAATCTCCTGCCAGTGTAATTTTTGAGTGACTGAGCTGTGACTCGTTTGCTATAAGAAAGGTTTCATCGCTGCTTTCTCCAGTATGTCTGTGGCCGGGTATTGGCCGCCTGTCATTTGAATGAAAATGTTGACTCACAGGCAGCTGACGCCCCGGGGTCCTCGCACCTCCGTCGTCCCGGCCCTTGGGCCGCGGACTGCGATGGTGCCGCAGGAAAGCCGCACCTACTACTACCGCGTCGACATGCCCGCAGGCTCACCGCCCCCACAGCCACCCGCGACGGCGCGAAGGCAAGAAAATATTCCCTCAAGTGCGCTGCTGGAAATGGCACAAAACTCAGGACCGGCGGCAGAAGTGAACGACTTCAAACAAGTGTACTGACTTTGGATTTTTGCCTAACATGGTTGAATTTGGTTATCAGGATAAGACACCGATACATAGTTAGTTACATGGTTTCCATTCTGCCGCAGGCATCTATGGTGTGATGTGTACTCCTTCTTCAATTCTTTCCAGGCTGAACGACTATGCTTCGAGAATGTCAACCCAGTATGCGCCCCCCGATCCTGGAAACGCGGCGGATTTTCGAGGCGATTTGCATTCGATGCGCCACAACGCAAACCAAATAAGGGAGCAGATAAGCGTGCGAAGGCGATAAAACGATGCGGCTTTTTACGTGTCGTCAAACGTAGCCGGAAGAAATGAAAACCAACCAAAATCAATTAATGACCAAAGACGATAATAGATTGCACTGTCTTTTCATGATGTAAGTAAAGTATTTTTCGCACTTCTACGTCTACAGGTAGGCTTAGAGTCACAGAAACACAATATCCTCGATGAACCCCTATGGAACTTTGAAATGCAAAGTTTGCCACGATCATGCGTGGCCTATGTGTGTGCATTTATGCTAAGGATAGAGTACGCACTCACAGTCTGGTGACGCAGGCTCATGCGTCCCCGTGATGGTTTCATTTCGAAAATGCACGTAAAGCGAACCGTTCTTGTATGATCCTTAAGAGACACAGACAATAGCAATACTGCGAAGATGATTCAAAGCTGCTTTTTCTTCAAGCATTTTTTCGTTTTTTGTTGCGTTGATGTTCTTGTTCCTACTCCGCTTACATGATAGATCAGGCAAGACAGGGGCGATTGAGGAGGGGAAGCTTCAAGTGTGAGTGCAGAGATGATTTTTACGCCGTCCGTTAAACAGGGGGAACTACAACTACTGACTACCCTGAGCTGCCTAACAGAGAAAGCGACGTAGAATGAGGCTTGCGGTCTGTTATTGAGCGAGGGGTGTGTTGTATCAGAGGTGCGTGTCCTGTTTGTACGGCGCCACATGGGTAAGTAATTACTTTTGCGAATAATTTTTGCGAGCCAAGCGAAATCGAAACGAAATAAAGAGTACTAGACCAACACGGAGGTTGTAGCTCGTAAACAACACACCTGATTGTGATTGCTTCAGGCTAAAAATGACGTCAGCTGCGGCCCAGGGGCTGCACAGTTTGTCGACGAAGCTGGCGACGTCGTTTTTATCGAAAAGCGAGAGCAAAAAATCCTGGCTGAAACTTGTCGCTGCACCAGAGCCCAGCCCGGACCGGCACCCTCTCTCGGGTCGGCACATTTTTCGGCGCGAGGAGAGCGGATTGGACGACGAGGTGAGGACAGGGGACATTCCGATATTAAGACAGCTTTTTATATCATCATGAATTCAACTGCGAGAAGATGAGTGCTTGGTGCTGACAAAAATTGTTCAGTCCGTGATGTACGAGTACGCACGCATGACGAAATTTCAAATCTCTCAAATTATTCCACACAGGAACAATCTCCTCCAAATGACGCTTTTGCCCGGACACACTCGAAGACCGTGCCTTTGGCCGAGGACATGGACACGCCGCGGGGGAGTCCAACCGATGAATCCCCGGTGAACAACATTGGGGAAGAAACCAATTACGACCGCGCGCCTCTCTCGGCTCGGATTTCATTTTCCTCGACGAAGGAAGATGAGGATAGTACCTTGACGAGCAAAAAATCCACGTCCACCAGCCGGACTTCCAGTCGCAGCAGCTGCTTCTCCGTTGTGCAGGTCACGAACAAATCCCGCTACAGTCTGGAGCGGTCCGCGGCCGTGGGCGCGGCCTACGCCGACCCGACGAAGAAGCCACGCGCCACCATCGCGGGGACGAAGGCGACGAACCTGACGCCACCCCCGGCCGGGGCGGACGACGGGAATGTGGTGTTGAAACAGCGAACCACGATCCCCATCATGCGGGCCACGGAGCTGATGCCGCCGCCGAGACCGCCGCGCCGGGCCGCGAGCTTCACCGTGGGCGGATCCGGGTCGGTTGCGAAAATCCCCACTGCGGGATTGAAGTCTTTATTCCGCCGCGCAGCAACCACGTCGCTGATCGACAGCGGAGGTGACAAGAATCTTAAACCAACGGCGCTCCAAAAGCAGTCGAGTTTCTCCAATTCCGCAGGGCCAGAAATACGGTCTTTCCCACCGTGGAAGAAGGAAAAGGAAATGTTGTTCCAGAGTGCTAGGAATGTCAAAAACACCAAAGCTCCGGTGTCAAACGACTCAGAGAGTCAGGAGTGCAGTATTGAAGAGGACCAGGAATTGTCCCTCGACGAAGACTTCTCCCTCCCACCGAGCGGCAAGGTGTTCTTACAGCCAGGCGGCGTCGTGGCCGCGGCGACGTCCACCACCTCCACCACCGCCAGTTACCACCTGAGTCCGACACGCTCTACTTTTACGGTGGGATCGACCCTTTCGGAAAACCACAACCCCATGAAGCTCCTGGATCCCGTGAACGAAATGACACCGCCAAGGGATAGTGTTTTTCGGGATAGGTGGGAGGAAGAAGAGGAAGACGAAAGTAAATCGGTGCAAGAAACGGAGTCAATTACAGCAGAAGAGGCTGCCTTTGCTGCGAAGGCCCCGAAAGACCGGTTTTCGCTCCGCCGCATTGTCTTTGGGAGCAAGCGGTCAGCTTCGAAGGTGATTCCAGACGTCGTCGCGTAGGGAGGGGTGGGGTTGACATGCTCGCGTTTCACAACTTTAAGTCGCTTAAGTATTCAGACACGTTTGGTCAATTTGAATGTTTACTAGAAACGAATAAAATCATCGGCAAGAAAATTCAATGTGTTTCGGTAGGAAATAGTGACCTACAGAGCGAGAAAGAAGTTTCGGTTTGTTTCTTATTTTCGTACTAGCGGAGAATCTGTTGTCAATCGAGAGACCGGAAGCAGTAGTCTGTTGATACGTATCAATGAATGTAGAATGTTTTTAAGGCAATTTACTTTTCTCATCTTCTTTGTCCGAACTTTACGTATGATCGCATAATTTTTCTCTCGTCACACCCAGGCCCAAATACGACACCTCGCCCCGGTTCTCTCTGAGTGTAGGTCTTTTCCCCCGTTTCAGCAATAAATGCACCATGCTGTGAAAACTGTACAAGAATTTTTACAAAGGCTTGAAGGCTTGCTCTTTTCAGTACAGTTTACAAGAAAGAGAAACCCAAATTTGCAAAAATATAAGTTTGCTCGTTTCCTTGTATTGCATTAAAGCGAACGACTGTCGAACAGTGCGAGAGCCGAAGGATTGGCGTTGCAAATGCTGGATATGCTTTGTGTTGTGGCTTGTTCTCTCTGATTTAGGCTGGCTCCGATATTCTTGTAAGTACTAGCAACAATGGGGGACAACTCCGGCGCACGCAGCAGTAATCAATCGGCCGCGGAGGACGATCGAAACGCCGCTGCCGAGGCCGCACTTAACACGGCGCTGGAAGCGGCAGAAGCAACGAAGGATGCGTCGGTGACAGTCACCCAAGAGGTTTCGTACCCCGTTAAGGAGATTTATTACAAAGTGGCGGACGCCTTTAGAGACTACTTCTTCCCAGCGGAAGCACGAAGGAAAGGTGCAGCATGCGAAAAAGTAGTACCCACCTTCTACTACGATAATACGCTGCAGCCCGGGTCTGCGCCGGGATAAGCTGTTTAGTGAAAGAGAAAGATCAACAGGATTACGTCGAAAAGCCACGACGACAAAAACTTTAGGTGAAGTTGTAAAGCGTGCATCTGTCTTGCGTACAGATCCGCATCAAGCAAATATCAACTTGATCCAAAGAACGATCTTTTTCGTGCCCGCAGAAAATTTCAAGAATGAACTGCGTTGTTCCGAAAACGTCAGGTGATAAAGATTGGCAGTGATCGTGATCTGATAGAATGTATTCGAAATCGTCTTGGTAATCCGCGATCAGATGTTGCTGCGGTAGCGAGCGCACTGCATGGTTCAAAAGATCCCACAAAAAAGATCCGTTTCGTGAAGTGTCACGATGAATCAAAGTTCCGTGGAGATAGAGATTCCAATATGGTTGTCCAGGTGTGACCCGACGCGGAATAACACTGATCTTGCTTTTTCGATCTGTTTCTAAATCCGTTCCTTCTGATTATATGCTGCTGTAACACATCAATTTTTCACTGTTTTTAGAACTCAGTGATACGACTAAATTCTAATAGATTTACGCTCTGTAACCGTAAATAGATATGATTCTCAGCTCGTGCATTTCGACGTGCTTTACGAAAGGTTGATTTTTTTGTCTCAACTTCCATACCTCTACAAACACAAAAAGTCATGGCGAGCACCAGCAAAGACGCCTTCCCGCGAAGGAAGGTGGCTGCATCAGCCACGACGGAACAAGCAACGAACAACTCAGTTGGCAGACTATTGCTTCCGGTGAAAAAGGCCGGAGCGAAGACTACCGGGCAGAATGAAAAGAAGAACAAAAAATTCGAAAGCCAAAAACCCGAGCGGACCTTCGAAAAGGTGGTCAAGAAAGAGCCGGGACACGCGAAGACGGACAATGCGCTCGGACCGCACCAGCATGGAATGACGCGGTTTAAACAAAGAATTTCGCTGAAAAACCTCAAAGACGGGACGACGTTGGTGGGCTGCGTATCCAGTATCCGTCCGAACGAGGTCGTCTTTAACCTACCGTACGGAACGCTCGGGGTTTGCAAAAGAGACCAGTGCTTTTCGGCAGACGTAGAGGCGAGTGAGTTCCGATTGGATCAAGTCTACAGTGTGGGACAGGTATAGAGTTGCCACATGAACAAGATAACACACAAATTTTTTCGTCGCATTTGGTTTCGTGCTAGGTATGATATGTTGGTCAGTTCTAATCACAGCACTGACGAGTAGAATACAAAAATCCATCTTCGCTAATATTTTCACCAACATGATCTTCTTCACAGCTTCTCCCGGTTGTCGTCCGTTCCGTTGGCAAAGCGGGGCACGGCAGCAGCCACTTGGAGGTGGAAGTGTCCTTGCGCCCGGAACTCGTCAATGCCGGTTTAACCGCAGAAAACATCGTGCCGGGGATTTCGCTGCCGGCGACCGTCGTGTCCATGAACGAGGAACACGTGGTGGAATGCAGCTTCGGCGTGCCGGGGCTGAAAGGGATCCTCAAGAAGAAAACCGCGGGACAGGTACTAGTGCAACGCAAGAAGCTTTATTTGTCGTGTATAGTAAGAATGACTTTATTCGTAGCAAGAAAAACTAAACCACAATTTGGCTAGAAGTAGATGACAAACTTAAAACAGCTGCGGGTTGGACAAATTTTGCATGTGTCGATCGAGCGCTTTCACGCACCGTCCGGGGCCGCGCAGTGCAGATTAGACTGCGGCAAGGGAAAGGTGCTGGATGAAGAAGTCGACGTGAACGCTTTGAAGGTAAAACTTTGACATGCTTTGTTTACACTCATACGGCATTTGTGAAATTGCATGCGTCCTTTTCGAAATTAGTGCCGAAGTCAATCAGGGCCCGTTATCATTACAATTCACCCAACTCCACCTAACAGGTCGGTTCCCTAGTCCAGGCCAAAGTTGCGAAGACCGTCGAGAAGAATGACGGCAAGTTGGAGATGCGGTTCTGCGGCGCGTTCCGCGGGGTGCTTTTCCCGGAGTACACGGACGAGCAAAGTGCAACTTTTGACAAGAACTCCACCCACCTCTGCCGGGTGTTCGCGAAGGTCCCACAGCAGGACGTCTCCGAGGAACAGCAGCCGGAATTGCATTTGTGTGCCCTGCCGCACATTGTCACTTGGGAGTCGCTGGACTTCCGCAAAACGTGCGAAGAGTTGCGCGAGGGCAGCCACGTGGACGGCACGGTCACGCAGGTGCAGGACTTCAACGCGCGTCTGGAAATCAAGGTGCCCGCGAAGGACGGCGGTGGTGGAAATGATAAGCCGACACTCCTCAACGCCGTGTGCCACAGTTCGAAGATGGACAAGGAAAGCGCGGAGAAACCCGCGGATAAGAACAAAAAGGAGAAAAAAACCGCTGCAAAGGAGGAACAGGACTCAACGAAGACCAACACCGTGCCGTCCTACGTTGAGGAGGGTATGGAAGCCAAGGCACGGGTTTTGGGGTTCAACCAGCTCGACCGCGCGCTGGTGGTCGGGATGAGTAGTGAACTGGTAGAGGAAAAGATCCTCTGCGCGAAGGATTTGCAGCTTGGACAACTCGTGCGCGGAGATATCACCAAGGTCATTCCGGACCGTGGTGTGTTTGTCAAGGTAATAATGTTTGGTCTTCATCTTTGCTGTAGTTTTTCACTTGCATACAATATGTTTCTCGACACGCATACAGCTACCTGCAGTGTCGAAAAGAGTACCTAGATCTGAAATTCCGCACAAAATAACTCTTACCAGATTTCGTCCTTCGTCACTGCGGAGATTCCGTTGCAGCACTTGACGAACGTGCCGTTGAAGCAAGTACCGGAGTCCAAATTCAAAGCCGGACAGAAGATCAAGGCGCGCGTGCTGTCCCTCAATTTCGACACCAACAAGGTGAAGTTGACCGCGAAGAAGGACCTGGTGAAGACGGATCCGAAAGATTTGTTGACCGACGAGCATGCCGTGAAGCTGAACCAAGTCACGTCCGGGTACGTCCACCAGGTGCAGGAGATCGGGGTCATCGTCCGCTTTTTCGGCGATCGCCTGCACGGGCTGGTGCCCTGCAAGGATCCGGAAGTCTTGCACAGCATGAAGCCCGGAGCGCTCGTGCGCGTCCGGGTAGTCGCGATTCGCGGGGAGGGGAAATTAAAATTGTCCTTCGACGTGGAAAGCAAGGATGGCGTGGCGAATCAGGGAGACGGGAACTCAGCCAAATTCTTCGCGCAGCCAGGGTGCAAGGTTCCGGCCGCGGGCATGCGAGTTTTTGCCGTGGATGAGACCGGGTGCTTCGTGGTGCTGCCCAACCGCCGCGAGGCCTACATTCCGCAGTACCACTTCGCCGACGATTTGGCGGAGGCTGGTGCTCGGTTTCAAAAAGTCGAGGTCGGGAAAAGTGTGGAAGAATGCCTGGGTAGTACCGCAAGTGCAGCGGAAGATACGAACGACACGTCTTCATTTCTGTCGGGTATTCTGCTCGGCGTCCGCTGCTACCGGGTGAACATGAACACCAGCAGCAACGACGGGGATCTGGTCACGAGCTCGGTCAAGCACGTCGACTTGCTGTCCTTGAAGCAGAGTTTGCAGGTCGGGAAGCTGTCGGAAGATGGTACCCCTAGTAGCACCGATGCAGTAGTACCGGTGTCCTTCGTGAAGGAATTAACCGACATCAAGGTGCAGCAGCAGAAGTACTTCCTGGGGTACGTCAAGCAGATCTGCGCCAAGAAGGGCGTGTTCATCAGTCTCGGCGACTACAAGAATGCGGTCGGCATCGCGCCGCTCGCGCAGTGCACCGACCACTTTTGCGTGGAGCCGCAGGACGAGTTTAAGATCGGGCAGACGGTGCGCGTTGTGGTGAAAAGCATCGACTTCGAGAAGAAACTGGCGAATTTCGACCTGCGACACACAAAATTGCTGAAGCAAACGCTCTCTATTGCGCAGAACGCGACTGTCGCGAAGTTGGAGAGTTCCTTCCTCGCGTCCACACTGAAACTGTCATCTACTACCGACCAGAGCGGACGGGAATCCACCTCAGTGTCTGGTTCCGTCCTTTCTCCGAAGATCACCGCGGGGCAGTGCGTACGTGGTAAGGTGATCGCCGTGAAGGACTACGGGCTGTTCTTGGAGCCGGTTCTGGGAGAGAAAGATCAGGCCTCGGAGGTGAAAGGCATCAAGCTCCTCGCCATGGCCCACAACGTGGACGACTTCGAGAAGCCACCAAGCGTTGGTTCCGAGGTCGACGCCTTCATCCTCGATGTGAACACGGAGCGGAAACTGGTGGACGTGTCGCTGAAGACGAACTTGTTGGCGAGAGCAGCCGGTTCTTCTTCTAAAACCCCCACTGCAGGAGCTTTGGCTCCGGGTGAGGAGGTCGAGTGCGAAGTGCACTTGGCGAAGACCGATCGCACGATTTTGGTGACGACGAATGGACTGCCGAAGGTCGTGTTCGCGCCGAATGCCGATGCGTTTAACCGCCTGCAGACCGCCGCGGTGAGCATGCAACGCGGCATGTTCGCGCGCAAAATGCTGGTCTTGCAACAAGAAGTTGTCTTTGCTGGTTCAGATGGCGCAGCACCGAGCGCGTGGTTGGCGCACCTGGCGGCGTCGCGGAAGGAAGGAGCTGAGCAGGAGGACGCCAAGGACGAAGTTGAAAACAAGCCCGCTGCGCCTTCGACTTCTTCGAAGCAGCAGCTTGAAGTGTCCCGAATTTCCGACCCCGCGGTGGAAGCAACCGTCGGGACGGTGTTGCAGATGCGTGTGCAATCCGTTGGCCCAACTTCCGTCGTGCTCCAGTGCCCGAACAGCGTCTGGGGCCATTTACATGCCTGCGATTTGCCGCTCGGGAAAATTGCAGATTTCGCGACGAAGAAGCAAGTAGCTACGACGCAACTTTTCAAACTCAAAGACGTGGTGAGCGTGAAGGTTGAAAAGGTCAGCGAGAACAAAACCGCGCTCGGCTGCAGCAAAACCGGCATCAAGGGAACGCAACTCCTCGTTTCGCTGGCGGAAAATGGAGGTGCAGTAAGTACACAAGAGGAAGAAAATAAACCGGCGAAGAAGCGCAAGAAAATGGCAAAGGCGGAAGTAGTAGCTCCGGAAACTCTACTCTCCCAAGCGGCCGCTCTTTCCTGGACTTCTCTCAAGGAAGAGCAGAGCAAAAGTTTCCGTGCCGTCGTCGTCAGCGTCGCGAAGGACCATCTGCAGGTCGAACTCGCCCCGGGGATCCGCGGACGTGTTTCGGTCCTGGATATTGAGCAGGACGACGCGAAAACCCTATTCGACCGCTTTGTCGCCGGACAGCTGCTGCCCGCCGTGTGGATCCTGCATCTGGCCAAGAGCAAGCGCACGCTGAACTTGAGTTTGGTAAGTCCAGAAACCGCGAAGAAACAGTGGTTTTCAATGACAAAGCGCAATTCCACGAAAATCCCAGCCGTGATCACGATGCTGAACCCAAAATGCACCTCCGGCTTTCCCATCCGCGTCAGCCTCCCGCTGCTCAACTGGGCGGAGGTCCACGTGACACAGGTCGGGGACGCGAATATCAAGCAGGGGAACGTGCTGAAGCGACTCAAGGTGCACCAGGCCGTGACGGTGCAATTGGACGCGGAAAGTATCGCACGAGCTGGATCCTCTGCTGAGGAGCAGAATCAGGAAGAAGACAAGGAAACGAAGCCCCTGCGCGCCGCGATCGTTGACGAGGTGGAGGAGGAAAAAACATCCAAGCCCGTTTTGTTGTCTGACGAGAGACTGAAACAACAAATTGCAGCCTCCACTTCCGGCGCGCAAAAAATCTACACGGGTGTGGTCCGGAACTTCCACCCCAACGCCGGCGTTTTCGTCGCCCTGACCCCAAATTTCAGCGGCCGCGTGCAGTTCAAGGACTTGCCGATCGGTAGTGAGTTGAACATTTCAAAAGACGAAATTCAGAAGAAATACCCGATAGGTACGGTACTGGAAAATTTGGTCCGTATCGTTCGCCCGAATGCGGAATCCCTGGCCACCGAAACAGAAAACCACCGGCTGGAGCTGTCTTTGACGGACCAGTCCGGTAGCGGAGAAGCAGCTGCATCGTCGTCCAAAACCGAGAGTAGACAAGCCGGGCAGATGAAGCAGCTACCAGTAGTTGGCTCCCTGGTTTCCGGCGTGGTGCGCGGGAAGAAGGACTTCGGGCTGTTCATCCGCCTCGACGAAACTGGAGCGGACGGGCTCTGCCACGTGACGGAGATCGAGGACCGGCCGCTGCTGCCGAAGAAGCAGAACACGCCGGAGAAGCGCGCGGCCCGGGACCAGCGCACGCTGGCGGGCTACAGCGTGGGGCAGAAGGTGCAGGTGGTGAAGGTGACCAAGGTGGAGAACGGCAAGGTGTCGCTGAGCATGCGGCCCTCGGTGCTCGCGGAAGCCGAGACCGCGCTCGAGGAGGTCGAGGACGAGGAAAAGGAAACCGCTCTGAATGCGGAGGTGAACGCCGAGATTCGGGCCGCCGCTGAGGCCGCAGAGAGCGACGAGGAAGATGGGTCAGAGGAAGAAGAAGCCTCCGACGGCGCAGAGAGCGATGCAGGTGAACAAGCTTGTTCTAACGCAGAAGCCGCAGTTGCGACTAGCGATGTCGACATGTCTGATGCGGAGGAAGAAGATTCTGACGAAGAGGCAGAGTCCGATGAAGACGATGTGAGCGACGAGGACGACCCAGAGCAGCAAGAAACCGCACAACCGCTGTCCAGCGAAGCCATCGCGCAGAGGCTCGCACAAAAGAGGAAACAGAACCAGGCTGCGTTGGCGGAAGCTGGCACTGGTAATAGTACCCTGACTATCAAATGCAAAAATGTCTGGGTCTGGAAATTTGTGATGCTGCGTTGGGAATAGTGAATGCTCTGTAATGCACGGGCAAGCATGAGAAATATCTGCGCTTCTTTGTGTTGCGTTTTTCGCATGACAAACTGCGTTTTTGCATGACAGGAAAAAGAGTCTCTTCTTGGACACGCATCACAAGCTTGTTGGTCATGCCAGACAAGCATGACAAATCTCAAAATCTTCCAGACCCAGACATTTTTACATTTGATACTGACTGCAGGTAAGGACGCAGCAGTAGAAGAACAATCCGACGAAGAACAAGACCTGTCACCCGCGGCCAAGCGACGAAAGAAGCTGCTCGAGGATGCGAAAAAGGACGACAAGATCCGGGAGCGGGAAAGAGAAACGCTGGAAAACACGCCGCGGACGCCGGACGACTTCGAGCGGTTGCTGCTCAGCGACGGCGGGAAGAGTTCCTTTTTGTGGATCCAGTACCTGGCGCACCACATGGAGCTATCCGAGATCCAGAAGGCGCGCGCGATCGCGGAGCGCGGCGTCAAGCACATCTGCTTCGCCACCGACCAGGAGCGGCTCAACGTGTGGGTCGCGTACCTGAATCTGGAGGCCCACTTCGGCGACAAAAACAGTCTGGCGGGCATTTTCCAGCGCGCCTGCCAGTACAACAAGGCGAAGACGGTTTACCTCAAGCTGGCGGAGATCCAGGAGAAGAGAGGCAAGAAGCTCGAGGCGAAACAGCTCTACGAAGAGGCCGCGAAGAAATTTTCGCAGAGCAAGAAGGTCTGGATCGCCAGACTCAAGTTCCTCTACAGCACGGAGAGCGACAGCACCGCCGGGGCGCTTGCGGGCGCGAAAAACCGAAATGTTATTTCCGCTCCTTACCAGGCGGAAGCCCGCGAATTGTTACCCCGGGCGCTGAACATTTTGGAGAGGAGAAAGCACATCCCGGTTATCCAGAAAGCGGCGGCGTTCGAATTCGAACACGGCAGTGTGGAGCGGGGCAAGACCCTGTTCGAGAGCATGCTCGCGGTGTCGGCGCAGAAGAAGCGACTCGATTTGTGGAACGTGTTTCTGGACCTGTGCGCCAGGAAACTGGATGTGGAGGAGGTACGACGCTTGTACGCACAGAAAATCGACGAATTGAAGACGGTTTTCAAGGCACGAAAAATGAAGTTTTTCTTCAAAAAATGGCTGGACTACGAAACGAGATACGGTGACGAAGAAGGACAGCTCCGGGTGAAAGCGAAGGCGAAGGAGTTCGTGGACTCGGAGAACTGATCAGTCAGTATTTGCGAATAGAATGATATTACGTATGAATTTTTTACGATAAGTGATGCGCGTTTTTTTGCATGGCATTCTATCATCTTCCGTAACGCTGCGGAAGAAGTAGGTGCTTTACTAGCAACAGCAAATGCAATTTAGTACAATCTTTGAAGAAGGGTCGTTCTCCGCTCGAGGAGTTACGGCTTCTGCTCTGCGCTTTATCGACTTCTTTGTCGATCCGTTTGTTCCACATCCGCTTGTTGAATATGATTTAATTATGAAGGGCGGATGAAGCTCGTCCTCGTACATTTCGATGGTTTTATTTCGGACGTGTGGTTTGTCGTTCACCTGATTCGTACAGTTCCTCAGCTTTTTTTGCCGTTCCTCCAGGTTTCTTGTCGACCAAGTCGTAGTCGTTCGGTCCCGCGTAGCCGTCTCGGTTTTCGAAAGGACCGAAAAGCGGTCATTATTCGTGTTTCGTTCTGTACTGTCACTTCGTCCTTGTCGTTCAGTGTTGGTGGTAACGCATTTGCAGCGGTCGGTCTAACTCGCATGAACTAAACGTGAATTCATTCCTTATCGGCAGGCATCTGTAGTCAGAACGTAATCCCCCTTACAGTATACTGTTTCCTACACTATCTAGCACTGCTCAACATGTCTTTGCTTTCCATGATCCGGGTCGTTCCTTTGTAGTGTGCACCTTGGCCACAACCTTCACGTAGCAACAACGCTTGTGTAGTTATTCCGCATGCAAAAGAGAAGCACAATGTCGATTGGCGGGCGTGTGAAAGAGGCACTCGTACTCCTCTGCGCTGCAACGGGTAGCTTTTCGCCCGAGTCCTGTCAAATCGCGCACGCCTTCACGTTTTCCCGGATCGCGTTGGAGAAGGGGAAAAAGCGGAAAGCCCGTATCATCAGTGTGTCGAAGACTGGGCATGAGAAACACGACGTTGGCGATTCTCCGCACCAGCCAGAGCACCAGGGAAGGGAGCACCCGGGAAGCGAGCAGGAAGAGTTTCGGGAACCGAGTTCGCCGGAGGTGGACGTGGCTAACCTGAGTTTGCTGAAAGAATCCACTTCCAATGATTTGCAGAAGATGGAAGAGCAGGAGGGTCCGGTTGACAATGAAACTCTGAATCCAGAGGAAGTGGTCGGGTCGGAAGACATACAATTACAAAGAGTACGCGACGAGCGGGGAGAAACGAGTCAGTTGGAGTTAGGAGAACGAGAAAGTACCAACGCGGGCAACGTGAGCCAGAAAGAAACTTCTCTTTCTGAAGATCAAGACCGCAAGGACGTTGCTCTAACACATCTAGACGCGGCACCGGAAACGCAAAGAACTGAGCAAAGCACCACCGAGGACGAGGATCAGCACTTCTTTCAAGCCCTAGATCACGTCGCAGACGAACGTCAGAAAAGCACCAGCGAGGAGAAAGCGCAATTTTTCGCGTTCGCCTCGTCCTGGTTTCAGTTCTCAGTGCAAAGTGCGGCGGCTATCAAGGCCCGGGTGACGAGACTCGTGGTAACGGGGCAGCACGAAGAACAGTCGGAGACACATTCGCAGCACCAGAAACACGGGGAAAAGAAAGAAGAATCCGGTCGTGTCGAGGAGATGAAGCAAAAAAACACGAAGGGTGGTAGCGCGACAGCAGCTCTGACGAGGGAAAGCGAGGTTGCTGGGCCCGCGGAAACAGGACCGGCAGGAGGAAACAAAGAGGAGAAGAATAGTAGCCAGCCTCCAGCGGACGAAGGATTGTCGCGGGGCTGCATCTGTTTCCTAATTTGCTGCGGGATCTTTGTGGTCTTCGCAGCTTTAGTCCTCGGGCTTCAGTCCATCACCCCCGCCTCGGCAGGCACTGCGGCGGCCGGGTCTTTTGGTTCCGGCGTGGCGTCGCTGCCCTCTGGAGATTCAAGTCGCGAGCCGAAACTCGGGAGCGGGCAAGAGGGTACTACGTCCAGCTTAGCCATTTACGCCGCTGCGGCCAACCGATCCGGTAGAGGTAAGGCGCCTGCAGCGGCTGCTACAGCCGACTCCCCCAAGGCGGAAGGGAACAAGGGCCCGCAGCGAAAAACTGTACAGGAGCGAAGAAAAACGCTGGCACAGGTACACGCAAAAAAGAACTTCTGGGGAGGGGGGAGCAACGCCTCGCCGCTTATGTAAGTAAGAGAGCCGTCTGTAGTGCGGCTTTGAGTTGTAAAATACGAATTTTTCGATTTCGAGACGAACTACTTGTCTATCAGCGAGCACTGTGGATTTTTTGCCAAGCGTTTCTGCTGAAATTCATCCACTCACGTAGCAAAAAAAAGTAGGCAACGTTGTCCTGTGCGCAACATTTTAGAATTTCGATGCCTGAGGTATTCGAGAACTTCAAGAGCGCGCACTCAGGAACATCGGTCATCTTTGGTTCTTTTGTGATCGAAAGATACAAATTCATACGGTGGCTTCGTAAAAGGCATCTTTTTGCTCTGCTCTGTGGCGACTGCGTCGTGTGCTCTGACATTGGAAAGCCTTTATTCCGTTAATGGAACACCGCTGGTGTACGCAGTATTTTAGGATATATGAGTAAAGATGTATGCAGAAAATCGGTGGTCCGTCGGTCCACTGTGGTTTGCGCTTATCGTCCATTTCGTCTTCGTCCAGGACAAGAAGTGCAAATTTTGATCTTACTGGTCGTCGGTCATCGTTCCGTTCATGGCTTCGTCCCTTCTGTGTGTCGTAGTATTTGATCGTACAATGTAAACTTTCTCGTCACACTGAAGTGCATGCAGTAGTTTGAGTTTCAGCAGCATATCATGCAGTCTTTATTCCTACCAGAATGAAAATTTAACTTGCAGTTCAGGTTTAGAGTTCCCCTTCTCTGAATCTGATTTCGATTTTATCGATTTCCCTTGTCGCTAGCAGCGCAGCTTTCGCAATCAAATCATCGTACTTTGCATTTCATAAAGTTGCAACGCATTTGTTGAGAATCTTTCGAATAAATTCACTGCGATAACAAGGTTTTGTCATCTACTTAAAAATCACATCTCCCAGATATTTTCAAAATGGTAAAAGCATTGCAGTTCTTCACCGTGGCCAAAGTGGCCACCGTGACCGCGGTGGCCCCCGCGTCGCAGCACCGGGCCACCGCCCATATCAAGGCCGGAAAAAGTCACGCGAAAAAAGAGCGGCGCACAAGCGCGAAGGCTCGTGACCAGAAGTCCGCGGCGGTGACGTCAATTGCGTTTTCCGAGGTTGGGGGGAAAACCAAGACGCAGGAAGACGACCCTTGTAAGAAGTTCGACGAGAACAGTCCAGACAATGTGAAGAATTTTCTCCAGAGTCTCGGCATCGATGCGAGCAACGATGAAGAAAAAGTGGACTTTCACGGGCAGTCGGGCCAGGATTTGGTCAAGGTTATGGTCGAGATGTCGGATCAGGACTACCGCTACATTCAGCAAACCCTGATTAACAAAGAGGACGAAAAGATGAGCGGTCGCGTCAAGGACATTTATCGCAGTGAAAAGATACTACGACCTTCGTTATTCCTAAGACACGAGCACGACGATAATTTGACTTCGCCTATTAATTTATGATTTGCGACGTTTTGATCATGCCACCACCAAATGGACATCCATACCTAAAAGAGGTTTCAGGATGAATGCAGATTTCATCAAGGCAGATGGTGTCTTACTGATGGGACGTAGTATTTTTTCAGCTTGATAGGAACACGGTAACGGACATCGAGACAGCGATCAGGGACGGAGCGCGGATGGGCTTGTCGCAGCGTATCGCACTGCAAAATTGACAGCCCACAAAAAGATCGGTATACTCTGTGTTTTGCATGGTCAGTAGTGCAGCATGTGCCGATCATGATCAGCATTTATTGTTCTATGCGAAATAGGCGAGCGCTTCAGGCGATTCGATGACAGTGTAACAAGTTCTGCTCCGCAACAAACGTTTGCAGATAGTCTGTTTGTTGCCAATCAGTATACGAATGAAGAAAGGCTGTGCTTTGCTTTGCGATACCGCACTCGATGGACAAGATTTTGTTCAAAGAGGGTCAGAACACACCTGCGGTCGTAACTGCAATCTCTGATTTTATCAACAGCGAGGGCCCGGAGAAGCTTCTGCAGGGCTTTGAAATTATGCTGGGTGAGGAAGCGGCGAACGCGATGGATGTGGTAAATATGGACGGCGTTTTGGGCATGGCGAAGAATTTTTTCTCCGACGACACTGTTGCAACGAAATTGTCCAAGGCCGTGAGCGCCCTGGAAAACACCGCGATCGTGGGCGAAGTGATGAATCAAGTGAAGCAGGCCGTTCTGATTCAAACCGAGAAGGCCAAAACTCTGAGCCCGACGAGTGTCATTCAGGAGGCGTACATCGACGGTGCCGTCAGCTTCGCCCAGGTGTTGGACTTCAGCAAGAATACCGAGTTGCATGAAAATGTGCTGATGTTCGTGGATGTCGTTGAGGGAAACGAATGTAACGACGAAAATGGATCTCCGAAAAAAGAAATCTTTACCGGGGCTACGTGTGTGGAGCTGCAGGGTGTTATGCAGAACGTCTTGGGTGTCGGCAAGGCCCTTGACGAGGCCTTGGGCGGCATCGTGTCGGCCAATCTCCTTCTTGGTGAGTCCGGCCTTCAGTATCCGCCCTTTGGGTCGCCCGTGGCGGATGTTCTTGCCGGTTTGGTGGACAAGGAAACGGACAAACTGCTGCTGGAAAATACGCAGGTGAACCAGAACATCGTGAACATGCAAGTCGGGAACCTTGCCCAGGACATGCTCACCGCCACCCTGGGGAAAGAGTAGTGGCTTTTTAGTTGTTGCGTATACACAAAGTTTTCATCCTGCAAAGTTTTTTAGTTGTCGCGTCCGATGAAAAAGTTTTCATCCTTGTCTTTGCGAGCATGTCCACGTGTTTTTTTTTGACTGGGCAGGGAAGCCTTAAATACTATTCTAGGTCTGTTTGTGTTTGTGAGTTTTGAAGCTGTGAGAATCTGACTGATGACACCGCAGCCGTTCTTCTCTGCAGTGCGCACTTGCCACCTGACTTCGTTTGCTTGGCGAGTATTGGTTGCTGTTTGCTAATGTTGTTATCTTCATCGCTCGCAGGTTCGACACAGTGAAGGCCGCAGTGAAGGGCGCCGTTCCGGCAATGGGAGCTATATTCCAGGTTGTTGAGGACTTGGGGTTGGACAAGATGCTACTCCGAACTCTTCCGAAGCTTCTACGCATGGGGTATTTACTTACTTCAACTTGGCAGGCTGTTGGTACGGTAGAATGTCATTTTTTCACGGACACACTATAAGTTAAGATCACAATTGCATGCACGCCTTGAAATCTGAACCTGGATGCAGTTGGTCTGAGCATAATTGTAACACGAGGCTCGAAAGATCCGTCACTCAAAAGGATTCTAATGTCCCAGATTTGATGCGATGTTTGAGTACGGACCGTCCTGGATGCGGGCGATGGTGCAGAACCTCGGTGGTTTTTCTGGGGCCGTGGATCTGTTTTTCAAGACCGCGGAGCTGCTGAGTCCGAAGGTCTGGCCGCAGTTGATGGGGGGTCTGCAGAGACTCTTCAGTGGTGAGTTACTCCAGGACATGGAATGCTCCTTGGAGGTTCTGCGCAAGACCCTGTACGTCGAGATGGGGTGGCATTTCTACCCAGCAGACGACACCGCGAACAAGGTTCCTTGCCAGGAGGTCGGCGTGCAGTACGCGCACCTGGCCATGCCCGACCCGGACAACACAAATCAGGAGCTGCTCGCGACCACGGAGCACGACTGGTGGGCGTGCCGCGAAAAGTGCGCCAACTTCCAGCACATGCACAACAAGGGCACCAAGTGTACCTACTTCAGCTTCTGGAACGTGGAGCGCCGGTGCTACCTGCAGAATGCGGACGCGCGCATGGCCTGGAACAATGCGCAGGGATGGGTGACCGGCGTGACGGACGGCATTGTGGAAGGTGAGGTGAACCCTTCTTTGTCCCGGCGGTACAGCAGCATTAAAACGAAGAGCAGCAGTCTATTGGAGGGCGTTGATTTCGGGCTGTTGGGCCACCTGCATCACTCGTTCGGGGAGTGGAACAGCCACACCGGCTGGGTCCCGAAAGACGACGATGGCACCGACGGTGTCAGCGGGATTACGCTGCTGGATGAGGAGCTGCTGGAATCCGCCAAAGGATCGGGGAAGACGGGTGCCATCTACCATCCGTGGATGGTCATTGACCTCGAGGAGCCCATGGTGGTATTGGGCGTGCAGATCCAGCGCCGAGCGGCGACGGACCTGGAAAACGGCAACGAGTACGTTAGCATCGTCCGGGTGTCCACGTCCATGACCGAGCCCATTTTTCCGCCGGTCAATGCGGGGCTTGGCGCATGGGGCAATCAGCTGCGCCCCTCGCAGGCTGTTAACACGGCCATGCAGACCGACGTGCTCAGCGATGCCGAAGCAGAACGCGAGAAAAAGTTTGGCGATGCATCCTCGTTTTTGCAGCGAGAAGAAGCCGAGGAAGAGGAGTTGCACGAAGTGGTCCAGCAGATGCTGCAGTCCTCCAATGACACTCTTGCCTCGCGGGAGCAATTGGTTCGCAAGATTCAAGAGCTCGAGCACAGTCGCAACGCTGCGACCGAGCGCGAAGACCCCAGCGTTCTGCTGCAACTGCACGGCACGAGCGGCGCGTCGCTGCTGCAGGCCGAGAAGAAGAATGCACAACAAGGCGATGCGCAAGTCGAGGTTCTAACCGCTGGGAGCTTTAAGAACGACGGCACCACGTTGGAGCTGTCTCCGTACAAGATCGGAAACCTGGACTCCAACCTGTGGTGGACCGGCGATGACATCGACAAGCACGGGTGGGCTGACGTCCGATTCAAGCAGCACGTTGTGGCGCGCTACGTGAAGATCTTCGCGGTGCAGTGCAACAACCACTGCTCCATGCGGGCCCGCGTCCGCGTCATGAAGCGCGATGGCTGCTTCTTGCAGAACTTCTACACGGTGGACGGACACTGGGTGCGCGAGGAGAAGGGTTATCAGCTGGATGGCATCGCCGCTGTAGCGGGAACCCAAGAGGTCCGCGATCATCTGCAGGGGAAGAAAGCCGACGGGAGCGTGTTGGAGTTCTCCAGTCCCGACGTAGCCAGTGCATCTCCCATGTCTTGCCAGCAGGCCTGCCAGGCTACCGAGGGCTGCGAATACTTTACTTGGTTTGGGGAACCCGGACTTACCTCGTATGACAAGAGCTTCTTCGAGCCCGCAAAGTGCTACTTCATGGGCCGTGACGCCGCCATTCTGCCACTGTGGGGGCGGCTGGCGTCGCCGAAGATGACCAAGATCCAGGGCGTGGATTGGCTCGGGCAGAGTAAGTCGGTGACGGGGTCTAAGTACTGCCGGTCCGCGCGGGACGGCCTGCACCTGCAGACAAGCAACCTGCGCGAGCGCGTGATCATGAACAACCCGCGCGAGTGCCAGAAGTTCTGCTTGGACATGCCCGGCTGCGACTTCTTCAGTTTCTGGGCGGACGGCGGCTGCCACGTGTACGGTAGAAGCGCAATCAAGGTCAAGAATACCTACGAGGCGGCGGAAGTGTACTCCGGCCCGGCCCAGTGCGACGGCGACAAAATCGCGCCGGAATTTCAAAAGGAGACGTGCGACCTCACCGCGAACGCGGACTCGCAACGCGCGGTCACGGGTGGTCCGCTGGGCAACCACGGCTGCTACGAGCCGGGGGTGCGGTATGGCGGCGGAAACCAAGGGGACAGCGTGGGCTCGTTTGAGGACGGTGTGGGGTACCAGTACGGCACAAGCGTCATCTCGGACATCTACGCCGGGTCCGCGGAGGAGTGCCAGCTGCGGTGCGCCTCCACGCCGAAGTGTTACTTTTTCACGTTTCACTCCATGCTGCCCGGCTACTGCCATCTGCAGACGTACGACGCGCAGCGCGTCGTTTGGAACGCGAAGGCGCTGGAGGAGGCCCGGACGGCGGCCGAGAACGGAGATACCAGCGCTGCCTGGTACGTGTCGGGCACCCGCGTGTGTCGTCACTACGAGGATTTCTCATTCACGGAGCACAACACCAATGGCAAGCCCGAAGTGGGCGAAGGGAAGTGCCAGTGGCTGGAGGCATTTGACCTGTCTATCACGTGCGAGGATCTGAACGGGGACGACGTTTGGTTTACTGATTCGTCTTTTGCTGAAATCACTGCTGCTGCCGCGAAATGCAAGGACACGCCTGAAGATGCTGAGAAGAAAACCAAGTGCGAAAAACTGTGTCTCCTTACGGACCACTGCGACGCCTACTGGTTTGACGACGCCAGCAGTTCCTGCAAGGTCTACAAGGACTGCTCCGCCAAGCTGTCGGACTCGAGCGCTACTACCGACGGCACTGCCGGGAAAACATACAGGTTGGATCTTTCTTTCCATGTCGGAAGCATGACCCTACCCGACGGGTGCGTCCAACCGCGCATTCCGGCCGGGCATCTCACAACGCTGAAAAAAGTGGAGGTGGACGACAAGCAAGGTGGAAGTGACGGAGGGGGTGAGTCATCGCAAAATGGGAATGGGACTTTGTCGAACATGACTTTGTCGGGCGGTGCCAATGCCACCGCCGACGACGGAAGCCTCTGCTGTTCCTTTACGGAAATGAAGCACGACGCGGTCGGGGCGGAAAGCTTCGCGGACACTGCGGCGACCACCCCCGACGTGGAGCCAGAGGAAGCGGCAACCGTCCTGGTTTGAGCAAGTACATGGTGCGAGTTTTTTTTCATTCCCGTTTGATGATTTGCGTCAGATGGGTAGTGCTGGGTTGCAGCACTTACTTTATTCAAGAAGAAAAGAGTTTACTCTGTTACTGTTTTATTTTTCTTGCAGCTCTTGCGCAGTACCATCAGGTTTGATCATTCTCAAGGGTAGTACATATTTGTAAACTTTCGAAACATCGGAAAAATTTGTTTTCATGTGTGAAATTGAGTTTTGGTCTTGCACGATAACTGCCATATTAAAGTCCAGATAGAATCACATGTTTGACTTAGTCATTTAGAAAACTCCCACTACACAGGCACTCAAGTGGTCGCACACTCAGTAATTTTCGTAGTCTACTGTTTCGCTTTCGCAAAGTTTTGTTCGTGCGAGAATGACTTTTTCTGCACGATGAAACTGCCATAGTTTCACGTCAGGCTTCCACGTTGCATCCAAAAAAATCAAGATCCCTGTTTCATCACTCATCGAAGCCGCACATACTAAAGTTCCTTAAGTAAATGCATTTTAGAAATCTATTGTTTCCGTTTCGCCATCGCAAAGTTTTGTTCGAGGTGTGCCAAATTTCAACAGACCCCCAGAAAAACCCCTAGAAACACCCCCAGACTCCTCCGGAAATGCCCCAGAGTTGTTTTGCAAAAAGCACAGGAAGTGCTTGCTTCTGCTTGAGGGTGCCTGCCTTGAACACCCAAGCAGAACTTTCATCGTATCTGAGACGAAAGCAGCCGAAGTATGTACTTACATGCATATGCAAGCAGCATCTGGAATGAAGGTATTTTCTACATTGCGCCACCTGCTTCTCAAGGAGGACCTTCGCTGGATCCTCTCCCAGTGTACGACAGATCGCTGCTCGTCTGTGTTCGACGAGTACTAGCTTTTTTTTTCGATCACCAGTTGCTCGTACGTAGTTGATCTATTACATCACGATGCACGACATCTACTTTTTGGCGATCAAAAGCATATAGATTTCTAGCCCCATGAAGTTCTCGCAAAAACAAATGGATCCGCTTTTTGTGTCAGCCGATGTCCTTGTTTCATGTTGAGCAGCGGTTTTTCCTGCATTTTTTTAAGAGAATTACATCATTTTTGCTTTTGACCATAATGAATACCGAGCATTTTACATTGTGCTAGTAGGCCCTGGAGCGTACAACTACTGAGCTTGCAACATTATTGAGCAGACATATAGAACAGAGCGTAGTCGAAGTCGACGACACGGACACGCATATGCAAAGTGACTGGACTACTTGAGTTGCTGCTCCTGCAACGGTAAACACATCACCTTCGGCGCGGAAAGAAAATTGCCTGCTGCAAACTGAATTTGCCGTACCCAGAGATGTTGTGCGTCACGGGGAAGAGCCTAGGTTTCTTTCGTGTGCTTGTTCTGTTGGTCTGCTATGGCATCGAGCAAAATGTCATAGGGGCAGTAGTTGGCGGCACAGTTCCGCTAGTGCGGCCGGACGAGCTGCACAGTGTTTTCTGCTATCGCCCTCGGCGCGCTCTGAAGTGTCGCTCAGTTCTGAAGCTGTGCGTGGCCGCGTCAGCATTACTAGGGGGCAACAAGAACCCGGGCGGTCCCCGCAGCACAAACTGCTTGGAGTACCAAGCAAGTGGCGCGCAGTCTTCTTGGGCATTAAGAACAATCGATGACACAAATTTTTCAGCAGGAACTGACGCAGGCGAGTGCACTGCGACTTTGCCGAACAAATCCATGTTTGCGAGCTGGAATAAAGGCACAACCTCACCGCTCATGACTACAGAACGACCATTCGCAGTGAACAATAGCGAAGAATGGATAAGCGCAGCCAGAGCGGATACGAATGCCAATGTCAAAGGAACAGGGAGTGACGGTAGTTCAACAGCACCAAAAAGACGCAGCACGCAAGATCCACCAGTGTTGCGTCCCTCGCCAAGGGATGTGCGGCTGGCGGAGCGGCTACTCAACGAGCGCAGCAGTGGATGCTTTCGGACGGGAGGTTCCGGGCTGGTTGCAGCTGTTCTGCGACATACGCAGGCAGAGGCAGATGATCTTTATGCGGACGAAAGAGGGCAAAAGAACTACAACTTCCCTGCGGAAAAGGAGCATTCTGTTTCGGACGAGCCTGCTTCGGCAAAAATCCCTTTCTCCTCCTCGACGAGTTCGGTAGTGGAGCCGGATCTGGAGCGGCTGTGGTCGGAGTTTTTGGTGCCGCAGCTTCTCGATGACCAGGCGGGGTTGCTGTACGCCAAACCCCGGGTGACCCAACTGAAAACCGCCGTGCAGAAGTGTCTGGCCTTGGGCGCCGCGCCGACCCAGCTGGAGGCCTGCTTCCACATGGACGTGGTGCCGCGCGTCACGGAGCTGAGCAACGTGTTGGCTGCCACGGTGTCGCACGCGTTCGATCTCTACAGTGTGGACTGGTCGCTTTTTGGTAAGGACGCGCTGCGGGCCGCGTTAAGGGATGTGGTGTGCGAAGAGGTAAAAGTAAAAGGCGAGAAGGATTCTACTTCCGCAGCCGATGCGAAGGACCTGGAGAAAAAACAAGCAGCGGAGCACGAGCAGCCGAAAAATCGAGCGGGGGCGCGGCAGGGGGCGCATCTTTCGTTGTTGCAGACGAAGAATAAATTTCGCGGCTCGACAAGCACCTCGACTGCAGAAGACTGGAGGCGTGGGGCGGTAACAAGTACACTTTCGCCACGGGTGCCGGCTTTGTCTAAAGTGGAAACCGCTCCTCGTGAATACCAGCAGTTCAAGTTTTTGGACGTTGTTGGCGGTGGAAATGAAGATGTTGATGAGCATCAAGACGAGATCTTCTCAGCGGCGTTGGAACAGTGTGCCGCCGAGCTCTCGAAAATGAATCTCGCGGTTGGGCATATTTCGCCCGCGCTGCAGAAATCTTCCGGGAAACGCAGCGATGCTACAGCGTTGAAGCGCCGAAAATTGACACATCTTGGTGTGCTCGCACGTCCTTTCTCGCGCTTGCCGCGCAGGAAAACTCGTGGCGATCCCAGCCTCACGGAGAAAAGTAGAAAGGGAAAAATGCCGTATCAGGAAAAAGTGCGCAACGGCAGCGGCCACGAACGCGGAAAGAAAGCGGTACGAGAACGCAGAAGCTTTTGGGCGCGGGACCAGTTTTGCAGCCTGCGAAGATCTGAAGATCCCGTCGAGGTGGATATTAGTGCTGCACAAGCGGATCGGGGTACATCAACATCCGGTGTTTTGAATCCAGTAGGACGAGCATCCTCCAATGGGAAGGTTTCGACTTCGTCCTCCGCGGCGGCAGCCTCCCCCTGCCCGTTGACAGACTTTCTTCTCGAGGGCGTCGCGGCTTTTGAGGCGCGCCATGCGGGTTTTGTGCCGAGGGGGAACGCGCGTTTCGACGTGCGGCGCCAGTTGGTTCACGTGGGCGAGGACAGCGTGCGGCAGGGACTGGCCGGCCTGCTGAATGCGCTTGAAATCGCCGAGGAGGTCATCGACGAGCTGAGCGACTTGCTGGACTTGAAGGACGATGTTCTTGCGAAAGGAGTCACATCTACTTCGTCCGGTGCTGTAGACGAGCGGAGTAAGAAGAAGACGAAAAATACCGCCGCCCTCCGGAAAGATGAACAAAAACGACAGCAGGCACGGTTAGAGGCGAAGCTCCGGAGGCTCAAGTTTCTGACGGAGGTTCAGCGCGAGGGGAGGGAGAGGAAGGACGGAATGGTGGGAACCGCGGAGCGAGAAACTTGGTTGGACTATTTGAAAACCGGCACTTTGGAGATTACGGCGGCATATGCCGCAATGTTCATCGTCATGAAGGTCTACCAGCATCCTGTGGTTCTGCGAGTGCCGCGACGCGCCCTTTCGAATCCAGTTTTCCTCACGTTCGGAAACCTGTGAGGAGTGCGGAGAAAGGAACCGATCCAGTGAAAGAACTACTGTGACGGAGAAGGATCATGAAACTGTACGGATTATGATCCAGCGCCCGGCCGGAATCTGTGCTCACATCATCCCGCCAGTAGCCACAATCCACCGCTCTTCTACGTATACTAGAAGGGTCATGATCATGCTACGGGACGAGAGCGGCATTCGGCGGTAGTTCTCGGTTGTGTTGCTGTTTTCATTTGCTACTACAACTGCATGGACGCACTTGCATTGCTGTACTAGGCTTTTTATATTTCGTGCAGTATAGTACTGCAGCTTGTTGATGACGCTATCGCTAGCCTAGGCCTCTTCTAACGAAACTATTTTATCGAAGCCGTCACTTGACTTGTACTTTTTTTCGCGCCGCAATGGCTGGCAATCAAGACGGCAGAAGGTCATTTTCGCTGGTGCCTCTGGATGATGTAGAAGTGGCAGGTCACTGTTTTTCGCATTTCTTGAGCACAAAAAATTTACGCTTTTATGATTCATTTATAACTCTTGTTCGAAATCGAATCAAGGACCTCTTTTTCATAGCACTACGACAGCTGCATTTAGGGAATACATACCATATGACGCAAAAAATTGTTGGAGTAACAAGCGGCAGCTTTTTATGTCTCTGAACTTTTTTTGTTTTATTTCATTTTTTCGCGCACATAGTTCTTTAAGTTCTTCTGCTCTACTGGAGGTCGCGAATTTATTTGCTCCGCAGTGCTGGTGAATAACAAGAACTATTTGATTCAACGGAAAACATATCAAAATGATGTTTAGAAAGTATGTTGAACAAGACAAAACGCAAAAGATAAGTACGTTGCTTCTTGCTCGGTTTGTACAACGTTATTTGATGCACGACCCGTGGTACTTACAAGAACAGTGTCAAACCGGTCTTCCAGCTTGACTCCCGTGCGTTTCATCTTCTGCTTTTGTTCTTTCTTCCGAGCAGAAGATGATTGATTCACTGATAGTGTGCGTATGAGAGCGGAACTGTGGGAGTTTTTTTGTCTTGTTCGCACGACATAAAGATCTTTGGCAGGTTACAGTAGCTGTTCTACTTCTTCATCTCCCGGCGAAGCACCTGTCGCGGATATTCCGCTAATATCCATGCTAGTTTCATAACCAGCCCCGTGTGTATCATATCATGGGCAACTTGCTTTTTGGCGATGCTGCTTGGGGACCGGGTGGGGCTGGTAGTGGAACAACGGGAAACTCGTTTTTCACGAGGCCTCGGACGCTCGAGGACGACTATGATGTGCAGCGGATACGGCACGGACGGCGCTACCCGCTCGGGTCCGGCACTATGGGTGAGGTCTGGCCGGCCACGCACAAGAGGTCGCGCGAGGTGCGGGTGGTGAAATCCATACCGAAGCGGGCCGCCTCCGCGCGCGCCGTGCAAAACGAGGTCGAGCTGCTGAAGCTTTGCCGGGATTCCTGGGGCATGATGTTGGGCGGATCAAGTTCACCCGGTCCAAGAGGAGCCGCCGCGTATGGACGAGCCACCACGCGACCTCCGCAGCAGTCTCAGGTCGTGCGGGAAATGCCGATCGTGTACTACTACGAGCAATTTGAGGAAAAGCTGCGGTGGCATCTCGTGCTGGAGTGCGTCCCGACGACGCTGGAGGACCATCTGGACTCGCCGTATTTGAAGCGCGACGAGTCGTTGGTCGCCCTTTGGGTGGTGCAGATGCTCGACGCCCTCCTCTTTCTGCACAACTACCTGAGCATCGTGCACCGCGACCTGAAACCCGCGAATTTCCTCGTGCAGGGCAGCCGGATCAAGCTCGCGGATTTCGGGGTGGCCATGCGCGTCGGGACCAGCGGGCGGGGAGGTAGCGCAGCGTTGGACGCCGGTGTTCTAGGACCAGGGATGAGCAATCCTTTGCTGACCTCGGTTGCGAACCTAGCGTCCCAAACCGCTGAGTCCATGACGACGATGTGGCAGGAGCCGGGCGGCTGGCTGGCGCAAAATCTGCAGGAAACTTTTACCGGGAGTGGCGTTTCCGACGCGGATGCGGACGCGGAGATCATGCGACAAATCGAGAAAAACTGGAAAGACCACGGAGCTACAAATCAGGGGTGCGTTCATGGTGCAGCAAAAAACCCGAACATGTCCTTTGTCGACCCAAATAACCAAAGCGCCGGAGGGGTCCTCGACTTGGTGTCATCTTCTGAGAAAGAAAAAGCAAAAAGCGCCGAAATAGCACATCGGCCGCTCTCCTCCCAGTCGCCACAGAACAAGCTTGACGTGCAGCTCACGGAACTTGCCGGTTCCCCGGCCTACATGGCGCCGGAGCAGCATCGCGTCGCGCTCCGGCACGCGGACACGTCATACTCGTACGGTGTGGATGTGTGGGCGTTGGGTGTGGTGGTCTACATACTGTTCACCAATCAGCACCCGTTTACCAAGCCGGGGGAGACGAACGTGCGCGAAGCGCTGAAAACGGTACAATGATTTCTTATGGTAGTTCGGACTCGGAGCTTTGTGACTCACTTAGCATGAGGCTATTAATATCAAATAGCGACGCCATGCTGCAGATAGTCGAGTCGGGTTGTTCCATCGTGCACAGTGTGACCGACGCACTGCAACTGTATCTCGCTACTTATTCCAAAATGTTAATGTTGACCTTAGGCGACGGCCACCATGCAAGAGATCGCGAGCGGCGGGGACGGCGCGCCCATTCCGCCGCTGGATATCAAGGGCGAGCTTTCCATGCTGCACCTGTTCAATGCAGTGTTTCGTTACCCGCAGAAGATCCCGGAGATCGCGAGGAACTTTGTCGTGTCCGCCTGCTACCCATGTCCGCAACAGCGGTGGAGTGCGACGATGCTGCGGCGGCACGCCTGGTTGGGCGGCGATTTGTATGAAGAGGAATTAGCAGAAAACTTAAAACTCGTTCCTATGGGCACGCACGGCGCGTGGGATACGTACGCGAATGTGCCGCATGGAAACGGTATAGTTGCGGGCTGTTTCTGGTATGACATTTGTGACGCTCGTCTGCTGCGGTTCTATTCGGCATTGTTGGGTGAACATCAAATCACAGCTGCACTAATTGTTTGATGCTTTTTATCACCTGCGCTCACTCGTCGCCCGCTACAACAGGTTTTGTCAATCCGGTTATCGCGAAGTGGGCGGCGGATCCCCGGGAAGGTTGTTTCATGGGATGCGTGCACGAGTCCCGCGTGGGTCAGCGCGGAAGTGAGCAAATAATTGTGCCAGAGGATCAAACGTGCTACCCGCAAACGTATGACGCGAGCTGAAGAATGAAGATGAACGAGCTGAACATCGAAACTTGTACGATTTGTGAGTGTATAAAATACTCGAAAACTTACCGCCATTCTAGTTTCAAGGTAGAAAAATGTACGTCACCCCGACTGCGCATGTAAGATTTGAAGCTGAATTCAAGATATCAATCCACACGAAAAGTGCTTGCATCGCACCGGACGGAGTCATCCAGTATCATAGGCTCTCGCTCTCTGCGCCAAATAGTGCGCGATGGCATGTTCTACCTTTTTGCTGCTCCTCACGTACATGATAATGTGGGTGCTTGTGAGTGAAGTGAGAAGAAAAGAGGGGCCCTGGTCAGCGGTCTGTTCTTCCAGGAGCATGAAGCTCATATTCATTTTATGGTTTGCCTGCATGATCATGTAGCTCGCGGGCACGCCGGCCCTTGAAATCCGACACGAAACCAAGATGGAACTACGGTTTTCGGGCAACAAACTTCTGAAGAGGAGGGTAGAGGCAAAACCCACTGGCCGCACATCTCCTGTGCGACGCTTCGACTGATTCTGCTGTGTTGCGTTTTTTCGTTTAAGCGGCCGAGTACTAAGAGTACCCTTACGATTTTGCCGGCACCGGCGTGTTAGTGGACTTAGTTTTCTTTACGGAACCCGCGGGGAAAAACATCTGTAGCCATGCCGCTGAAACAGCAGGATTTGAACGATGCGATGGAAAACGACTGGGCGATTGGGTTGACGCAGGCCCCCTGCAATATTCATGTAAAATTTCCAGTCGAGGTCAATGGGGCATGCCTGAGGAGAGGTTGGCCCACCTAGGTTTCATCTTCTGGACCCGTTGCATTGCAGTTGCTCGCCCTGAAGTCTTCTGTGGTTCAAGAATGTCAATGTTTTGCATTCTGTAGATGTGCTTTTTCATAGAACCACTTCTTCTGGCAAGGCAAATCCCGCCTCGACTGCAAATTTCACCAGCATACGCGCCGAACCAGCCCAGTGTTGCCTTGCGTTTTGGTGCCTCCCAGGATGTCCCTGTGTGTCCGGGTAAGAATAAGGCACGCAAAATTCTTTTGCAGCCCCAAATATTGTGTTCGTTTTGATGCACTTTCCCAAAGAATGAGAAGCAAAGATCCATATGTTTCACACGTATTCAAAACCAGGTACCTGCAGCGAAAAGAGTTGATGAAGGTCACCGGCGAGCCCTACGTGTGTTGTGGGGGCATGTTTCCCTGTGGCCCTCTGAAGGACCCACAGGACGAGAACTGTCTATTTTGCGAAGCCTGCTGCTGCCCGCACTGCGCTGTTGTCGCGAATCGCTACATTGTGCAGACCCGGTTTTCTATACGAAACGGCCCCTGCGACGAGTTCATTCTCACCTTCATGTGCATCGTCAGTTGGACAATCTGCATCTTGGAAACAGCAGGATACGATGTGCCAGACGAAATCGAAGTCATTGTATTTGTTTGCTTCTCATGTTGCTATGCATATGAAACATGAGTCTCGGCTGGAAAAGCACTCTTACAACTTCCTAGCGGGTGCATGAGGAGTAGTAAGACTCATGGGGACCATAAGTACTAAATTTTTACAATACTTACTAGGTCGACCTCCTGATTGACATTGTTTACGCCTGCATGCATGCCCAGCAGCACCACCAGATCGAGCTTATCAAGAAGACAGTTTATAAACCGCCAAGTCCGCAGGTGATTGTCATGTTGCCACCCGTGCAACAGGTATCGCATTGTTTTTGTTTGTTTTTAGCGATGTTATTTTTTTTCGTTTGTTGTGGACGCGTGCGCGTGCCACATTAAATTTTCGTGGTCTTCACTTTATCGATCCTGAATGCGATTCCACTTTGCCAGAATATGATCGCGAACGCGAAAATCGTGGCTCAACCTGGCGCACCGGTACCGCCGCAACAGTATGGGCAAGCGCAGCCATACGGACAGGGTCAATACGGCTACCAGGGACAGCAAATGCAGGTGCAGCAACAGCCGATGTATTACCAGCAGCCACAGCAGCAGCAGATGTACTACCAGCAAGCGCCGCCGAACTACGGACAAGGCTATGGCGGCCAACAGCACGGTGGCATGCAGCCTTTGGGAGGCGGGAGGTAAGTCGAGATTAATCGAGAAGACGTGCTGCAATTCAATTATCAATCTTTTGTGTGAGGACTGGTGTCCATCACGATTCAGATTCTTGTGTCTTCGACGTAGGTTGATGGAAAGACGTGCTTGTCACAGGTTTTCCTCAAAAATTTTCCGAAAACAACGCAACTGCCAGGTACTAGGTCCTCTTGACGCTCCAAGGTCGCTGGATTTTGCGCATGCAAGCTACAAAATGTGAAGGCACTTTCTGCAGGACGAGCAGAATCCTTCGATTCAGATGGTGCAAAAATCGTTGCCTAGCAGAGACGCCATCAAGAAGATCTTTTGCACTACATAGAAAATGATGCGCTTTTCTCCGGGTGTGGTGAGGAAAAATCGCCCTCGCACACGCAGAACTACTAAGAAAAAACGCTGGGTTTTGCAGAAGTAAAATATACATCTCACGCGCATAGGTTTCTGTCCAGTCATGTTTGTTGTCTTTTTTCTTGCTCTCGCAACCGATTGTCGATAGTGTTCACCATGGCTTCCCTGGGGGGGCGTGCGGGATCGGAAGGCAGTCTGTGCAAAATCGTCAAGTTTTTCTTTTGAGGAAAAAGGGAGGGGGAAAAATTGAAAATAGCAAGACATTCGTCCACTTCTTCGATAGCACTTTCGCGCTTCAAATTTCCGTGTATATTTGTTTCGCCTGGAACAGCTCTCGCTTTTCCCCTCGGAAACATCTGCGGTTTTAATCTTCCAGGGTGCACTCGGATATCATCGTTTGGGTTGGAAAGAGTCTATCGACTGGGAAGATCCGTTACTAGAGAGTCGCATCGGCTTCGTCGTGTACTATCGCGAAAAAGCTTTTTGGCAGGAGAAGTATCGAAGTACTTGCACCCCTACCGCAATTCCGAAGCAAATGTGTTTTAGCAGAAAAAACTCGAACTACAACTACTACGAAAAGAGGAAAGAAATACAAGATGGCCGTGTCCGGCACCAGAATGCAGTACGCGGAATTTTTGAAAAGAGTTGCGGAGGATCTGGCGGTCGAGGTGGGGGCGGATTTCGATAGTGGCAAACTGACGCTGCCGGAAGATGGCGAAGCTTTCGGGGCCATGTATCAGCAGATAATGGGGATGTTGGCGCAGAAGGTGCACGAAAACACCGAAAAAGCTGCTGACAAAGCGCTCCAGACGTTGCCAGCGGACGTCGTGAAAGTCGGAGTGTCGGGCTTCCTGAAGCCCGAGGCGGGCGGTGGCGACCCTGCGGGGAAGACCAAGGACGTCGAGCTACCGGCTGACTTGCCGGCGGCGGTTCTGACGATGCCCAACAAGTGCGTGGCGGCGGCGTGGTGCCGCAAAGTGACCACGGCAATGGATGCATGGGCAGCGAGTTACAAGCCGGAAATCATCAGCGCAGCCAGTGACGCGTGCCGAGAGTGCCGCTACAAGCGTGTGCGAGTGGAGATGGAGGCTCTCGGCGAGACAGGAGTGGATGACGGAGGACATCCCCTTGTGGTGCTTCGCGACTGCCCCCAAGTCCCTGACTTCGTTCGCTACGGGGCTCCGGACCACAACGATATGACGCTCATGATCACTTCCATCGTGGAGAAGCTCGCAGAAGATTTGTTGCGGTTGGGTTATTGTGTCGAATACAAAGACTGGGGAGGACGTACGATCTCGCAATCGGCATTCATAGAAGGAGATGGCCACTCATTCCACGTGACCTGGAGCTTCTCGTGACTGCAAAAATTTAGAACTGCGTTGGACTTGGAGCTGCGTGAAAGATTGCGTGTGACAAAGTACTGCTGGTGAAAATTTTGTATACGGAAATGAACAAAGAAGAAGAAGTACTTGCGCGTTTCTTCGCTGAGCTTGATCGCGTTTGTTCCGTCCGGTTTCTACCCGTCGTAAAAAGACGGCGACGATCAATCGTGTTTCCCCGGCATGTAGTACCTGCAACATCTCACGCGTTGCATGGCCATGGTGCTTCCTTCTGCATTCCGTTGATGATAGCTAGTGTTCATCATCATCTTTTTTGTCAGTCCAATCGGTCGGCTCCAAATCCAAGATGGGCGTCTCGGCTGCTCCAAAGCCAAAAATTCGGACTCTTAGTTGTGTTTTCAAAAACGGGGAAGCGTAGAGGTACAAGAGCACTCGCTTTGTTCGAAGGTTTCATCGAACATCGGTTTTGTGCTACTAACTTCGTTAGACCTCTCTCTCGCTCTCTCTGTCGGAATCATCTGCTCAGGTAGAAGCTCACCAGCGTTTAAACTCGGGGCGCACTCGTCGGAGAACATGACTCGGGGTGAATAGAGCAAGTAGTACTCTGGAAGAATCGATTCGATTTAAGTGTTTATTCACTTGTCGTCACATCGTGGGGCAAGGAGGAAGCGAACGCACATAGATTTTTCTACCAGATAACGAAGCTCATTTATCTAGAAGCAAGAAACTACAAAGATTCACTACCATTGCGAGAGGAAGAAGAATTCTTCAAAGATGAGTGTTTCCGATGCACAGATGAAACACCTGATGAACTGCGCGGACGAAGTTTCGTGCGAGGTGGAGGCCGATTTCGACAATGGTAAGCTTGCGCTGCCAGATACGGAGGCGGCTTTTAGCGACACCTACCAGGAGATTATGAGACGCCTGGCGCAAAAACTCCACGACGAAACGGAAGCGGCCGCTGATGCGGCTTTGCAAAAGCTCCCCGCCGATGTGGTAAAAGTAGCAGTCAGCGGCTTTCTGAAGTCCCAATCCGAAATGGGTGACGGTGAACCGGCGGCCGATGCGCTCGACGCGTTTGCGTCTATAGTACCTGCCAGCGTCCTCACGATGCCCAACGCTACTGTCAGCAGGGCGTGGAAAACAAATGCAAAAGAGGCGCGGGACAACTGGGCAGGGAGTTACAACGAACAAATTACCCGCGCAATCCGAAACGCCTGCCGGGGCTGTGTCCGCAAGTGCGTTCAGGTGAGGATTGAAGGGAGCGGCTGGGCAGAGCAGCGCGTGGTCGATGACGGAGCGCCGGCGACTGTGGTGCTCCGCAACTGCCCGCGACCTCCGCGCTTCGTTTCGGCGTACACGGTCGGTGGAAATGGAACTCCGATGGATGTTGATATCTTAATCAACCAGGAGAATCTCTCGCTGCTGAGAGCATCTGTGATCGAAAACATCGCGAAGGAGTTCGAGCGCTGGGATTACAAAATCGATTTCAAGTTGCCTATCCGTCGCACTGGTTTCGTGACGGAAGCCGAGTTCTTGCGCCATGGCTGCGGGTTCGACGTGACGTGGAGCGTTTCGTGATTACGCACTTTGGGTGCTTGTCTGAAATTGGAGGTGCGAGAAATTGATACAAAAAGGTATCGAGCCTCCTGTTTACGATGAAATTAATACAACAGAGAGATTGAGGATGTATAATTGGACCGAAGAGCAGTCTAGGTCTTGTATATCTTGGATGTGATTTGTGGAAATTGAAATTCAAATTGTATTTTACAAAGACGAAGACTAAAAGTAATTGAAAAAGAAAATGCACCTGAGCATCTTCGTGGTCAAATTCGACTACGCATTTATTGTCGGCCGGTTTTTTCTATTTTCCGGTCGCGAAAGAAGCGACGCCTCCTCCAGTCGTGCTCCGGTGTGTACCGAGGAGCATGTCACACTCTTGACAAGAAAGGTTCTGCTAATCGAGAGAAGAAAGTTTTGATGATGTTGATGTTGATGTTTTTTCTGTCTTCGGATCTCGGTAAGTAGTGCCAGTCCAATTATCGTTTAACAAAATGGGCGACTCGGCAGCAGCAGAACGCATTTTGACGATGGATGAATTTGTGCATGCAAATTGCAGTCAATTCAAGCAAGTTCCGCCCGATATTTTCAAGGACCAGATGTCTCCGAGTGTCATTGAAGCCGTGACGGAAGTGATCGGTGCGCTTGGCGGCGAAATTCCAACCGGCGCAGAAGGCATCACGGAGATTGAAGACCCGTACAAAAAAGTGCAGGCGCTGAACGCCTTCCTGTTTCAGTTGATCTCGAATAACAAGCCGGTTGTGACGGAAGAGGAATACAATGTGAAAAGGGAGCAGTTTCCCGATAAACTGCCTCCGTTCGGTCAGTTGTATGAGGCCGCGAGAAATCCTGACCTGCCCATCAGCAGCGAAGAGGACGACTAAACCTGGAATGTTTCCTCGTTGTAGAGTCAAGGACACTGCTGGTGCCTGGTATGTACGGATATGTCAACAAGATGTAAAGGAAATGTTCATCTGGTGAAGTTCGCTTTTTGGTGGAGAGCGTTCGGTTGTGACGTGTTTTGTCGTCCTGGTTGTCCTTTTAGCCAGTTGAAAAAGCGACGCAATCCGTCGTGTATGTGTTCCAGTGTCTACTTACCGACGGCGTAGCTGCCCTTGATGAAAGAAACTGAAGTGGATCGCCACAACAAGATGAAATGCATCAAGGCATCTAGAGCTCTGTGCAGGTCAACTTTCGGGTTGAGTAGATAGAGGACAAATGTGCGATAGGGAAAGCTCCGACAGAAATATCGAAGTAAGTTCTTGCGAGTCTTCTAATAGTATGCGACAAAAACTCTAGCTGCAACTGTTTTGGTGAAAGCAAACTACCGCATTGAAAAGATGAGCTTGTCGCCTACCAGAGCGAACTACATGGAGTACTTGAAAAATCTTGCGGAGGAAGTGGCGCGCGAGGCAGAGGCGGGCTTCGACAGCGGTAAGCTGACGTTGCCGGATAGTGCGGCGGCTTTCGCTGACACCTACCAGCTGCTCATGGGAATGCTGGCGCAGAAGCTCCATGAGCGGACGGAAACCGCTGCGGATGAAGCGCTGCAGTCACTCCCGGCGGATGTTGTCAAGGTGGTAGTCTCCGGCTTTTTGAAGAGCGAGGCGGGCGGTGCGGCGCTGAATCCAGTCGAGGACCTTGCGGCCGGCCTGCCACCCTGCGTGCTGGGAATGCCCAACAAAGCAGTTGCGCGGGCTTGGGGGACCAGGGTGAAAAAACTGCGAGACGAGTGGGTGTCGAGCCAGAGGGAGAAAATCACCGCCGAAATCCGCAAAGCCTGCCGGGGCTGCACCCACAAGACCGTGAAGGTGGAGCTGCACGACCCTCGAAGATGGGAGCAGCGGGTGCACTGGAACCACGAGGGAAACCCCGCCCTTGTCGTCCTCCACAACTGGCCCGAAGTTCCACACTTCATAGATTCTTACGCTGGGATGAACCTGAACGGCTTCGACTTTCTGCGGGCTTCCGTTTTCGAGACGCTCATGCAAGATTTTGAGCGGCTGGGATATGATGTGCACGTGGTTTTGGATAACATTAACAACTGGAACACCGAACCACTGAAGGAACTGACGAAGCAGGACTTCGCAACGCGAGGCACAGGATTTAAGATTTGTTGGAACATTTGGTTGTAGAATCAAGCCGTCTGCGTTTGCTGGTACCGTGTGCGGATATGTCAGGGGTTTAAGCAGATGAAACAGAACTAAGTACTTGCGCGCATTCTCGCAGAGTGCGGATGCGACGTTTTGGTTTTTTTTGGCAAGTAGAACCAACCTTGCAATCCCTTGTGTTCCAGTGTGTACTTCTATCCGACGGTGTAGCTGCTGCCCTTGAGAGAATATGAAGCCAGCGGAGCGCCATAATAAGATGAGATACATTGAGATAAAATGTGGCTTCGTAAGGATCCCACGTCTCATCTAAATTGCGTAAAGGCGAGCGCTTATTAGCTGACGTTTAATTTCGAGTGCGAATCTGGCGTTATTTGTCACGACCTCGCTGTTGTCTGAGAGGCTGCAACGCTCCCGGTGTCGAAGTACTGAACAAGTTTAAGCAACACAAACCAAGATGGCAGACGCGCTCAACGAGAACGATGGCGTGGCAAGCCGGAAGCTCGGTATCGATCCACATGCTGTTGTGTTGCTGCCGCTCGACAAGAGGCACCATTTTTGATTAGAAGCTTGCCAAATAATTCTGTCCATTTAATTTCTTTTCTTTTGCATCATCACAATCGCACAACAGGCGCGCTCCAGGAGCGATTCCAGAGTTTCGAGCGCACGATGGAGGATGAGACCAGAAGGCGGCGCGAAGCGGAAGACAGCAAACTCAGCGTCATGCGGGAGAGCATGGCAAAGCTCGAAAAAACGTTAAATAGCGAGATAAAAAGAAGGGTCGAGGCGAACAAGGTATCAAGAGGTTCACACCTGTTTGCATCTCAATGTCTGAATGAATAGAATGCAAATACATGCTGTAGTCTGACGACGTGCTGTCGTGTTTGCAGCATTGCGTTCAATTTCTGCTGCAATCGACTCTCCTGTAACTACCGACCCTTACAGGCACTCCAGTCCATGTTCGAGTCCCAAATTGCCACGGTGCAGGACAAACTCGAGGCTGTTTTTGTGGAAAAGCTCAACCATTTGCAGCTCGCGGCGGACGAACTGTCGGACCGGATGGCACTAGTCGAGAAAGACTTTGCCGTGGAGCGGGACAAATACATACGGGACCTGGAGGAGAAGAACGCGGTGGTGGCAAAAGACGTAAACTTCCTACAAGACGCCTTCGATAACGAGAAAGTGAAACGAGCGGATAGGGACGCGGGGCTGCAGAAAAGGTAGTACGAGATGCGCTTCATTGGATCAATCGATCATTTTTTGATTTCGATTTTGTACGTGATGCTAGTAGAATGGTATTGGAGTGACATCACATCCAGATGATCCGCTGATCGTATCTATCATTTCTCACAGAATATCCGAGCACGAGTACCGCACAGAGACGCGGTTCGAGCAGGAGCGCGCTGCGCGGGAGCAAAAGTACCAAGCCTTGCGCGACGAGCTGCACCAGGCGAAACAGGTCCGTGCCAAGGGCGACGAAAAGTTCCAAACCTTCATTCTGGAAGAGGTAGCGTCGCTGAAAAACGGGTTGGTGCTGGAATCCGAGTCCCGGGAACAGGCCGATGATGACATTGTGCAAGCGCTGAACCACTACACGAAAGCCCTGCAGGACGCGCTGAGGATCGTGAATCAACCATAGCTGGCGAGTTTTTGTGGTTTTCCCCATGGTCACAGCACGGAGAGCGTGTCGGGTCCGCTTTCCCCCGTCCCCGTTTGCGACGAGCAAAACACGAAGCACCTGCCCCGGGTTGAACGCGCGGGCGCGGCTCTTGGAAAAAGAAGAGAAGCCTGATGTAAAGATCATGAGGCAGCTGCTGAGAATAGACAGCGAGGAAAAATAATGCTTGCTGGCTGCCCTAAGAGACGATACTGCTCCAGGGATCGGAAAATCCTGAAAACGTGGTAGGTAGGCGTCTGCACAGGCGATCGCAGTGGCGGACTGCGATGCCGGTGAGAGTCACCGATGGTTCTTGTACTCTGGAAAAAGAGAATCTGAAAGTGTGAGAACAAGCTCAAGCATTTAGTGGAAGACAAAAGTGACGAGGGCGCCCTCTGCTTCAATGGCTTTCACATTTCCGGAAGAGGCTATCAGAGGGCTTTCGATTTCCTCTGCTTTTCAGTGTGTCTGCTACTTTGGCATCAAGCCATCAAAAGACGAAGATCATAAACGACGAACGATGATGAAGTCGCAGATCAAATAAAATGCTTGTAAATATTCTCGCCTAGTAGATTTGAATTCACAAACGATCAAGACGAACGACATAACCACCTGTCACGGAAGATCCCAGTCAAATCCAGGATCCTTTAAGGAGTAGTTGGAAGATCAATAATTGGGATCCGGCTTTGCTTTATCACGATCGCAGTTGATCTGAGTTTTTCTATCCGACTAAAGTCGCCTACGTTTTTGTTTTCAACAGTTTGGCGAGCTCACGCTATTGACGTAGAAAGACAGATGAGACCACCTAGGAACGATTATCAACGAGCGAATGATAGTAGATGAATGTAAGTTTCGATTTCATATCTGCTCGTGTTTTTCAGGCGACACCGACATCGACACAAGTTGAGCTTCATAGATATTCAAAATGGTGCGCCACAAGAAGGGAGAGAAAAGCCTGGGCAAGCAAGCGAGAGCCCTGAAGCGCATGCTGCAGGCTGCGCGGAAGACGGACGAAGAAGCGGAGCAGAGCAAGCCGGTGTCTATCGATAGAAAAAAAAGTGAAAGTCGTTCAGAAAGCGTCAGAAGCAGAGGCCAACTCAGCAGTGCGGCTTCGAAGAAGCCCGCGCAGCAGAGCAGCTCACCTTCACAAGAAGACGAGGAGGAGGAGGAGCCTGGTTCTGAAGATGTGGCACCTCCCGCTGCTACGGGAAAGGAGACGCCCTCCGTTCCAATTGCTGCTGCTTCGGCAGAAGATAAACAACCGGGATCGTCTTTATCTTCCGAGGAAGAAGAGATAGATTCCGAATCTGAAGTGAAGAACAACATTGAAAATGCAAGCAGAAATAAATCAGCACTATTTGCAGGAGGAGCCTCCTCCCTTTCCAAAGAAGACATCGACACCGAGGCTTCGGAGGAAGAAGAAGTTGTCCTCTACGATGTGCCCGAGCAGTCGAAGAAAGACATGGACGCGCTGAGTGCTGGTGGCTCCCCAGCTGCAGAAGAGATCGTGGCGGACAAGAGTGGAGGTGCGGCCACCCTTGGTGATCCGAGTTTCTCCTCGGAGGAAGAGGAGGACAGACTATCAATTTCGGAGGAGGAGGAGGAAATGTCCTTGTCCCTGGACGAAGACCCGAAACGAACCGCGGTCGAAAGCATTCCTCTAGTAGTTGGCAAAAATGGTCGTGGTAATAGAAAAGACCTGAGCGGTAATTCGAGTAAACATGTATCCTTTGCGCTGGATGAGGGGACAAGTAGGGAGCATACCCTGAAGAAGGATGCCGACCCTACAACTAGCAGCGCTCTCTTAGCGGGCCAAGTGCCTGCTGAAACCAAAAGACACGCTGACGCACAGGATAAGCACAATCCCGAGGTAGAGATATCATCAAGCGACGAAGAAGAGGAAGAAGATTCGGATCCAGAGGACCTTGATCTGGAAGAAATCGACGACAAGCTCTTCAACAGCAGCTCAAGAAAAGCTCTACAAAATTCTGCGGACGAAGCGTCTTCCGATGAGGAAAAAGAAAGCGTTGACATGCGATACTGGAAAGAGTGCTTCAATTACGGGGCGGGCGGTAATTTCCGCTGCTCTCGCATGGGCTCCGGCGCGCAGATCCATTCCGACAATCGCGTCGGCGATTTTTTCCTGGTCTCCGGGCGAAAGTTCCAGGTGAAAGGAAGCCTATCTGCTAGCAGTAATAAGAGTGATATCGCAGCTATTCCCACCTCACTCGTCTTTGAGTGTCTCGGTGCTGTGTGCAAAGCGGACGTCTGGTACGAGTTTTCGTGTCCGAAAGAGTTCCCGCGCTTGGAGATCCGGATGCTGGCCGGCGGGGATTTGGAGTTCCAGGGCGAGGATGATTTGATCGTCGATAAATTCACGATGGAAAAAGCAAACAATGACTCCAGCGACAATCGCGATACGAACTTTCTGAAAGCGATGACCGTGCCCGAGTATGGAAAAGAGCCCTTCGACATTCAAGACCGACGGCACAAGGCGCAAAACCTGGCGACGTTCAAAAACATGCAACAGGAGCAGAAGCAGATCGAAGTCGACGGCAATTTTTACGACAGCGACGGGGACGAGGAAGCCACCTTCACGGGCGACGACATACACGCGACGTTGCCCTCGCCGTTGTGCGTGCCCGCGAAGTGGCAGGAGTTGATCCCGGTAGCAATGGAGAAGCGTTCGATCGCGGTGCTGGGGGCTAAAGGCCAGGGAAAATCGGCGCTACTTCGGTTCTTGCAGAACAAACTGCTGACGGCTGGTGCGAGGCATTTGTACTACCTCGACTGCGACCTTGGGCAACCGGAGCTGACGCCGCCTGGCTTCGTCAGTCTGACGCAGATCGAGAAACCCCTACTCTATTCCGACGCGGCAGTGTCGCAACTGACGACCTGCGGGGACGAAGATACGAACAATAAGAACATCAAGTTTCTGCACCGGAAGTTCCTCGGGCAAGTGACGGCGGAGTCTATGACCTGCTTAAACGTTACAATCCCAAATGTTACAATAGAATCTGGGATTTGTGTCGCGTGATGAGCATGACAGACTCCCAGAGCGTTCCACTTTCTGCAATACAAATTTCGCCAGATTCTAGTGCGGTTCGGAGCTCCGAAGCCTGTCATGCGCAATCCTATGAGAGTTGGCTAGGTAATGCACTTCTTGCAACACAAATTCCACATTCTATTGTAACGTTTGAGATTGTAACACCTGAGCAGGTTATAGAGTCCGACCCGGAGTTCTACCTGGAGTCCGTGGCGGCCTGCTTCGAAACGCTGGTGGCGCGGCTGCGGTCGCTGGGCGCGGAGGACATTGTGGAGGCGAAGAAGATCGTGCTGGTGGTCAATTTACCCGGCTGGATCACCGGGCTGGGCTACCATTTAGCGCAGACGATCGTCAACATTTGCCAAATAGACATGCTCGTGCGGCTGAACGTCGAAACGGAGAAACTGGAACTGCTCGCGCAGGAAAACTCGCCGTTTGAATCGTCTTTACTCTTACAAGCGGGCAGAAGTTGCCTCCACCGACCGCTGCTGCAGAAACCGACGGAGTTCTCTGGGGAGGTTGCGAAGAACAAGCACGATTCGTTCAGGCAGGGGCAGGACTGGCCAAGGTCGAGGACCTACGAAACGTTCGATATGGACGGTTTCAGGAATTTGAAGGAGGAAGAATTAAGAAGTGCCGGGTTTGGAGGAGATGAAAACCAAAATCGGGGTACTTTCGAAAAGCTCCGAGCAACCGTTCCACCTCCATCTCGTTTACCGAAAGAGTTGCGTTGGCTGCGGTTTTCTCTCGCGTTCCACCCGGATTTCACCGTGTCCAAAAACCTACTCCTCTTTCCACCGCAGACACAGCTGGCGCAGCGCGACCTCTTTGGCAAGCCACCGCTTCGCCTCCCAACGGATATCCTGCAGTTCGACGGCGCGGTTCAATTTGGAGCTGGAAACGCAAATGCAAAACGTCCAAGAGCAGAGTTTCGGCTCCCGCAGTTCCTGCTCGGCGCGCTGGTCGGTATGAAGTTCGGAATCAAGGACGATGAAAGCGAAAGCAGCAAAACGAAAAACAAGCGCCGGGAGACCAGTTCCGTCGCTTCGCAACTCCAGTTTGCCAGTACGTTCGAGAAAGCAGAGGTGGACTACTTGGGTTTCATCCACAGTCACGATGTGGAGCAAAAGGAGTTGATCGTTTTCGTCGAGGACCGGGTGCACACGCAGTACTTCAAAAACATGGAGCGACCGCGGTTACAGCCCCCGGATTACGTGAACGATGCCTGTTTGAGCATCGAGGACGCAACGCTGGTGCAAATTGTGGTGCCGAAGTGTTTGGGCAGTTACAGCTGGAACAACGTCGGGAACCGTGACGAAGCGTTCCTGCTGTCGCACGTGCTGGAGGGCGTGGAGACCGGGACGAAGGTGCGGTCCAGCAGGAATGACTTGAAACGAGCGAGGTTGGAATAAGGAAGGGTGTCGGACTGACATTCAAAGTTTGAGAAAAATGAAGAACGGAGCACGGACGAAGTCGATGTCTAAACGTATTTCTGCTACTCTCATCTAACGACGTAAAAGCGCCCCGACCTCTGCAGTACATTGCAATGTTCAAGGTATTGGTCTCGTGAAAGAAAAAGCTTCACGGCGGGAAGTGCTACCTGCCGACCCTGTAATCGAGTACAGCGTCTTGTTCTAGTTCGAAATAAGTACTTTTCATGGTCCTTCTTTTCCGGATCACAAATCTGAAACTTTGATCTGTGTGCGTCTTTTCGTGGCGGGTTGCCAGAGCTCCTTCATCGTCTTTTTCCTGGTACTTTTGTTTTTTCAAAGAAAAATATAGTCCGAAGCCGTTATGCCTTGTTTAGCACCGAACTCTCACCTTTCGAGAGCACAGATTCTGTCCTCCTCTTGAGCGGAAGAAGGTCTGTTTTTAACGTATATTTTCTTCTCATAGTTTTTTACATCAACAACCTTTCTTTTTTTACTTTAACAACCTTTCGTCACAGCAGCTATGTCCGAGTATGCTTGGGTTCGCAACGTCTGCTTGGAAATCGCGTCCACACTTTGTGGTACACTTGGTAAGCAGCTTATGCGGATCGGAAAGCTCGTAGAGATGCGGGCAGATGCGGAACGTGAACAGGCAAATAAACTCGTCGACAAGGAAAGTGGCCTAGGCAACATCAAGCCCCCGATCGGAGGGAAAAACATCAGTTGCGAGAAACAAGTCTGCAAGAAGACCACGGGTTCTTTCGCGAGCAGCTGCAGTCCTTCCTCAATCAAAAGCTCTTCAAAGAAAATCACAAAATCAACGTCTGATCTGTTGGAGAAGGATTCCGCTTTCCTCTTCGGGCGGTCCATTTGCATCCTCGGCGTCTTCATCAACGCTTTTATCGGGCCCTTTCTCGACGCCTTCGCGTACCAGGACGTCGCCCAGTCCCTCATCACCCCGCTGACGGGCCTGGGCGTCGTGTGGAACACGCTGCTCGCCCCCTGCACGCTCGGCGAGGTGCTGAGCGCGAAGCGGGTGATCGCGATCACGTTAATCGTCCTGGGCATCATTCTGACGGTGTGCTTCGCGGTGAAGGTGGAGAGCCGCACGTGGCAAACCACGGACGACATCAAGGAAATTTGGTACAGCTGGCGCACCCGATGCTACGTGGTCGCGTTCAGCGTGCTGATCGCCGGCAGCGTGCACCTGCAGCAGAGATTCGAGAACAAGCACGACTACCGCCGGGGCTTCCTCATCGGCTGCACGGCCGGCGCGCTTTCGGGCAACATGTTCTGCATGAAGCTGTTGATGGAGCTGCTCGCGATTGGGTACAAGGCCGACCAGTTTCTGGGCATCTTTCGCTTTTTCGTCACCGACTTTGTCCTGATATCCTCCATCATCGGAGGCGCGCTGTTTTTTAGCATATCCAACGCCATCCTGCTGGCGATCGGAATGCGAAATTTTGAAGTTTTGTACATGGTGCCCATCTTCGAGGCATCGGCAATCATTCTCGACGGGCTCTCCGCCGCAGTCGTCATGCGCGACTTTGACCACCCCGTGGACTTGTGGCTACCGCTGCCAAACCCGGACTACGTTAGTGGTTCCGACGTTAATGCTGTAATACATGATGGAGGAGCCACGATGAACGATCCGAATGTAAGCGGCCAGAGCTCCACCTCTCGGTTTGGCGTCACGGTCAACGCCCACTGGCGGGGCGTGGGGTACATCTGCAGCATGTGCATCATAGTTTTGGGGCTGCGGTTGCTGGTACTCGCGCAAGGAAAGGTAGAGGCTGAACATAATTCCAGCTGTTCTAGTGCATCGAGTGGGAGTGAAGAGTATGAGGAAGACGAGGAGCACGGAATGGCAGCTAGCCGCGTAAGCAGTCCCTTCGCGAAGATGGACGACCTGCAAATTAGCAACTATGGGAGCGCGGGGAACAAGATGAGCCGAGGCTTTGGGGGTTCAGGGAAGAAACCGTTGGGCAGAAAAAATTTTGGTAGCCGCGAATCACCGAACTATAAATGCACGACGCAACTGCCACCAGAAAATTCTGGACTACCCTAAGAGAAAAAATTTTTACAAAAGAGAAAATACAGCGATGATCTTGATCTACATCTAGTGTGTTTGGCATTCTTGTTTTCGAAGCTCGTTGCTTTCGTTTTGCTGAAGTCAATTCTCGCTCAGATGGAGAGTGAATTGCTATGACTTGTTGTACAAGTCGTCAACTTCTCGTGGCCTCTGCTTATTGATTTTTGCCTGAGTACTTCTACAATTTTTGAATGCATGAATCTAATTCAGCACAGCTGGTGCACATGCACGCAACCTGTAACTCAATAAATATGGTACGTTTTCGCTTTTCTGTCACTGTCTGCTCTTGAGAATAAATTCACTGTTGCCAAGACCACGCGCAGTTTTTCGTACATTTTACTGTGAAAAAATCGCCAAACTTCTGAAGTAACACTGAACATTTTTCCTACTGACAAAAAAGCAATTTTCCCGCTGCCACCGGTGTGCCTTTTGCACTGAAATGCACGCGGGAATGTTTTTCTGTTCTGCTGCATAATACGTGACACACTTGTTGCGTACTGTTGAAGTAAATTCAGCATCAAGGCAGCATAGTCGCCGCTTGAAGCAATACGTAGTGGTCACATGTTGTGTCATGACGTGATCAAATAAGTGCCATACCATCGTGACTCTATTTTTATACATACAGTTGCTCCCCGAGAGGAAATCGATCAGCTTCTTTATACATAGAGTTAAGTCAAAGGTATAAAAATGCTTATTTGCTTTCGTGCCTAGTCGTTGGACTTGCGGCTCGATGAGTTTGTCTTCTTGATATCGTGGATCTTTAAGAGCACCGAGGACCAGTTTGGCATTATTGTGGAGACTCGAAAGAACAGCATTCCGTTCCGTTGGTCCCGACGGAAGATGCGGCACTTTTGCGCTGCACGTTCCGTCAGGCACGCGGCGTTCGCGGCTTCCGCTGTCCTGGGATTGGGCTCTCTCTTCGGATCTGCGGAAGCACGTCGAGAAGACATGTGTATCTATATCTTTAGCTTTCTTCTTGTGTTAGTGTTTCTTGCCTTTGGCTTCATTGCCACACCATCATCTTCCGTCTGCTTTTGCTAGCATACCAGTCTGCGGTAAGATGACATTTGTTTCCTTGCAGCAGGGATTTCGTTCGCATGCACCAGTTTTGCGCGATAGATTAGTCGTGTTAGCTCCTGCAGCGTGACAGATGACTTTTGGTCTGTGTAAGTCCTGCAAAAAAAAAAAAAAACGATTGAAAAAATCAGGCGCAGTGTCGGTTGGTACGTCCGTTCTCTTTGGGTCTACGGTTGGCAGGAGAGACTTTGGTATGTAGCAGCTTTATTTGTTTGATTTCCGTTTCTTTCACGCTTGCAATCTGGAACTTTTCGTGGAGTTTTTCGAAGGATCATTTTTCTTCACTATACGTAAAGAAATTATATTCGCTGTTGTTCATGTGCTTACGTAAGCGTATGTGTGTAAGCTCGGTGGCTTGATATAAACCCGTTCTATCTGAAACAGCAACGGCAGTACAAGACCGGAACGTTGATGCGGATGAGACCGCGTTAGACAACGCCGAGACTGACAAGGTCGACGAAGCCTTTCCACCTAACGCGGAAACCGATCGTGTCCCCCCCCCCGGTGCTTTCGGCAATTCAGAGGAAGGACAGCGGGATGAAAACAAGCTCACTAATGCTACGACGCCTTTGCGGCCTGTCGGAGCGACAGCCCGCATCACAAAAGTGTTGGACGAGGACCTGGCGCAGGTTCCACAGGAGGACTTCGCCTTGCTGCGCCTCAAACTGAACAATGAGACACTGCGTCGGGCTGGAGCAGACACAGACGGCAATAACGTCGTCGACGATGACGAAAAAAACGAATTTTGCGACACCTTTTTTTTTCCGACCCACAGCAGTGATGGGCTATACGATCCAGGTGTAGCTCTGGTCGAGGTTACGTCCAAGGGCGTCGACGAAGCGGTCAGCAATCCGGTTTCGCCCACTGGTGGAGACTCTAGCGGGAAGGCGGTTACCTTTCTCGAGCCCCGCGTGAACAACAATGCGGAAATCAGTCAAGCGTGCCTTGAAGGACGCAGCGGTTCTTTCGGGCATTATGCACCGGCGCATCATCAACATCATCTCCCGGGCCATACAGGAGGACACGGCAGTCCGCATGGCCATGTGGGTTCTTCTGGGCATCATCTTCCTCCACCGCCGCCGGACCGTACAGTGCTCGGTTCAGGCTATGAGGGGGGACACTACGGCGTCGGTCGTGCTCCGCATCAAAAACCACCGGGTGCCGCTGGTCATGGCGGTCCGGATTCGGAAGACTCAGACGAAGACGAACACGAACACGAGGAATACTCAGACGAGGAGGTGTTAGAGAAAAACGCTGAGAACGCGAACGATGATTTACAAAAGCGAGTGCTGCAAGATCATCGGTTCTCCCATCCGGGGGCAACAGAAGTGCCGGGCTACCGCTTTCCGAGTTGGCTCAAGAAGGCAGCCCAAGCCTTCCAGAAAAAATGGCTGGAAGAGCGGAGCAAGTCTTGGCTGCACTGTTTGTTCGGTATTCTTTACGGATTCGCTTTGGAGCTACTGCTTCTTGTTTTCTAGGTTGATTGCAAATGCTTAGCATCAGAGACGAGGACGTGCACACTGCAGCGGGAGAGAACCTAGTCAAAAACCACAGGTGACCGCCTTTGGAAGTCGTGGCGTGTCTACTGGAACATCGCGTTGCCCGATGACATCAAAAGTAAAATTGTGGTTGGCGGAGCCGTCATGTTACCCATGTCCGTCCTGGAAAAATTTGCTCATGAGAACGGTGATGCGGTTGCGGAGATGAGAAAGTCGTGGACGCAACGCAGATTTGGGCCAAACGGAAATTTGATTTGCTTTGGGCCAGAGGAGGGTAAACACGGCGCTGGCGCGCCATGCAAAAAGTAACATCACCAGAAACTACATGGTAAAAATGATCTATCTACGCACGAAAAAAGTACGCAGAAAAGGCTAGACTCATCAGGAGAAATAAAAGTAAGTCACTCACAGGCTCAATATTTTTGTGTACTGATAGGTTTTTCTTTTTGAGTTTCTCTCGCCCAGACAGTTTCTCTCGCCCAGACAGTATCTCTCGCCCAGACAGATAGAGGCGAGCACGCCTTTTGTTTTTGAGCTTCTCATGCGAACCGCACGTATTAAAAGCATTTCCACTTGATGTCCCTGCGACATTGCCAAAACGCAAAGGCAACAACTCACATCATGACTGCCAAAGGCTGGCCACTCTGGGCACGTTTCTTTGCGGGCTTCAATATACCGTGAGATGAACCACTAATAGACTGCAGCGCAAATAATGCAGTGACCGCTGCACCTCTGTTCTTGCGGGAAAACGAGGATGAGGAATACCATATCACAAGCATATTTTCATCCCTGCACATCGCAAGAGCGGGGCGAGACCCGAGCTGCCTGGCGCGTTGAAATGTTGCCGGCCGGGAAAAACTGATGTGCTTTTGTTTTCGTTTGCTCCAGTATTTGTGTAAAGAATTGTGGAACTGGAACGCCAAATGACGATCATGCTCTCAACCGCTCCCGCGGATCGCGACAAAGTTCCAAACCTCGACTCTGGGACCTACAACGCCTGGGTCCCTACCGATTCCAGTCGGAGCAGCAGCAGTGGGGTTTCCAATCGAGATGACGACGAAACAAAGAAGAGAAGCGGAGACAAGAAGCTGGCCAGTGCTTATTCCGATTCCACGAACGAGGCCGAAGAAAGTTACGTCTTGGACTTGTACACCGGGACTTCGCTTCCCAGAGTGATGTTTGAGGTACCAATGCCATCATCTCCGAGTAGCGATGAACCAGCTCCGAGCGCAGTGGCAACGCCATCAACCGGCGCGGATAGTATGAGAGGTATACCAGGTTCGAGCAGCGAACTTATTGACGATATAAGCAACAGAGGTCCGGAAGTTTACCTGAATCTCTACCATGTGCGTTTAAACAGCGGCCTTGGCTTCTCGGTTTTGAATCGGTTGGTCAACGCTTTCTCCTCGTCGGCCACCGCACACGAGCCGTTCGGTGTGTACCACGTCGGGGTCGAGCTGTTCGATATGGAATGGCAGTACGCGCACCGCCCGGTGGGATGTGGGATTTTTTGCCTGAAGCCGCGAGTATCTCACCATCACACGTACTACCGCTCCATCTACCTCGGGAAGGCGAAAGGTGGTAGCTTCGCCACCAAGAAGGATGTCATTGCGAGAATCAAGCTTTTGCAGAAGAATTGGCCCGGGCCTGAGTACCACACGAGGACCAAAAATTGCTTGGACTTTGCCCGAGTTTTGACTGCTGAGTTGGGTGTAGAAGATTGCCTGGAAAAGCTCGCTGATTATGCCCGCTGGTGGCCTTTTTGAACATTTGTTGTGTAGTCCGCCGAAAGGAGGATGGAAGACAACTTGAATTGATTCTTGTTCACACATGTTTCGGCGGTATACGTAGAAACATAAGTACCGTTTTGTGGAATGGTTGAGCTTTTTGTAGCTTAAAAATAAACTGCCGTCCTGGTCTTTCGTTCGTCAACTGTCATCCCTACATCAGATCCATGCTCAGAGTGAGGAATTCTCCACGTATTTTTTCTCCTTCAAGATGGTGCAGCTCCGCCCAAGCAGTTGCGTTTTGCACAAGTCCAGAGCGAAAGCTCGCACTTTCTCGTCCACAGCAGCGGTTCCCCGTATCTCTCCAGCAAGTGCTATACCGGTTGCGTCGTTTCGGGAGGCGCAGTCGGGTCAGAACGCGTGCTCCAGGGAACGGAGCCAGGCATGCTCGGCAGATCGTTCAGAGCTACTTCGACGAATCTTCGACGCTGTTCCGGCGCCCCCTGATGCCAGAAGGCTAACGGAATTGGCAACCGACACGGGAGGTGCAGAGAGCCCAGGTGAACCGCTACCACTGCCTCCAGAATTGCGTGACCTGATTTCGACAGAAATGGATGCTGAAGCATCCGCAAAAGACCTGCTTCTGCCTTCCCCGTCCGAAGCCGAAAAGACCGATGTGCACAAAGACCTGGAAGTGCCCGAGAGTATGTACCACGCCGCTCTAAACGCAGAGCTCGTTATGAGTTACGAAAATGTCGTTCGCCACATTGACGAGCCAACTGCAGTGCCTTTATTCGCGAGCGATGTGTGCGTCTTGCTGGAGCATTTCAGGTTGATTGGACGCAAGTTGCCAAAGTTCATCCGGCGACATTTCTACGACAAAATGTCGTTTGACCGATTCTGCATCGACAGTTTGAGCAAATTTTGCGAATTCGGTTCTCCTTGGATGGTGTGCAAACGCAGAGCCGATATAGCGAGACGCGTAATAGAGCTCTTGGGTACAACAACTGCGAGCCGGGATGTGCGAATAGACGAGCCAGCTGCGGTCCGTCTCAATTCTCTTCTGCAGCTACACAAAGCTTTGAGCAGTCCGGTCGTCGGTCCGCGGAAAGCAAACGTCCTCAGCGTCGCCGAACGGGAGGGCGTACGGGAGGCCCGCGGGAAATTGCTTCAGAATTTACAGGGATTGGTAGAGGAAAACAGCACGAAAAGTCATCAGGATTTTCCGATCTCGGACTTAGTTTTGGGCGTTGAAGCTATGGCGCAAGAGCGTGACATTACGCTTCGACCATGGGCAACGTCCCTGCTCGCGTATTTTCTGCAGGAACTAATTCGGAAGGACACAGCGGCCCGTGCTGTTCTCGCCTCCGCCCGAAAAAAATCACCGGAAACCTGCGCGCAACAGGAGCAGTTTTTAGCTTCTGACACCGACATGGAATTACCGCACGCTCTCGTCAGCAAAGAATTTGCAAGCGTTTGCGAAAGTTTGACGCGGGCAGGACCCAGCGGGACAAATGCGGAACGGTGGGAGTTAACCGCGCTAGTCGACGTCTCTCTGGCAGACGCAGAAAGTGCTTCTTCTGAAGTGTACCACCAAAAGAACCTCTCGACAACCTCTCTATTGCAGTGGGCGACAAATACTGCGGATGATCTTTTGAGGAACCAGACCACGATTAACGTGACAACGCCAGCAAACCTAGCCTCCATTCTCCGTTTTCTGTCCACCTTGAGTGCAATGCATGAATCAGACGCTCGCACGGATCACTCCCAAACTGCTGTTTCCCTCGTTTCTGTATTCGAGACCGCTTCTTCACTCGCGCAGAGAAAAATGGCCGAGTTCAGCTTTCCCTCGCTGGTAGAAACAGTGTCGGCCTTTGCTCGCATACAGCATCGCGACCAGTTCTTGCTCTCGAGGCTCATGCTGCAACTACCGCGCCTTGGGGAGACGAAAGGCGCCTCGGTGACGCAGTTGCGGTTGCTACTGTCGGCAGTGCAGAAGTTGCAATGGAGGAGCCCTGCTTTCGAGCAGTTGGTATCCGAGCTAGTGCTGGAGCGAACCTACCAAAAGGCCACTGCTGCGGAAAGAAAGGTTCGAAAAGAGGTGAGGCCTGCGCAGGAGGAAATGTGGACCGGTGCCGCGGTTCCTCGGTGGCGACGCCCTGAAAAGCGGCCGCTATGGGCTCGAAAAAGGACCACAAGCGTACAGTTATGTTGACCGTGCAATCATGCAGAAGTAGATCTAGCAAAAACAGTCTGGTAGAAGCAGATGAAACGTCGCCACCGTCAAGATGAAGCGATTACGAGCCACGAGTAGGTGTTCGCATACACGACCAGCTCCTGTCCTGCAGAGGCAATCCTTGCCATAAAAAGGACCGAGAGAGGAAAGCGGAAGTCACTTTTTTTGTTTATCTCGTTTTTTTTTTCGTTTTCGACCATTTCAGGTTCGGACTTGGAAAGGTAGAGTTGCCCTCACCCTAGGTAGTGCTGTCCAATCACGAAAGTAGAAAAGCTAAAAAAAAGATGCCTCCTGCAGCAGATGCTGGTCGTTGTCCTTCCCAGGACCTCGATGGGGACGTTCCTGGTTCACATGTGGGCCTAATCAGCGACGTGGTGAAGAAATTTCTTGGATCGACACATCGCTTCGATTTGCGTCCCTGTTGCTTGCTTGCGTTGGACAGCGATACTTTGCGTTGGACAGCGCTCCAAGAAGAGGAAGAGCTTGGCGTCGTTCAGCCGAGACCGTACTGCGCAGTGACGTGCTACACACAGGCCGTGAAGCTGCCGGGAAGCTCTTCGTACAAGTACGAAACGCTTTATGTTGGTCATGAGTTTCCGGCGCATTTTCTGAGGCGTCGGGCTCGGCTTGAACATATACTCCTCAATTGCAACAATGATCGGCAACAGACTTGGTTTCTTCCTGAGTCTTATGACCTGCGGATAGAGCTCGAAAAGCACAAGAAAAATGTTGCGTTTACAACCGCGAAAGCGTGTGCAATTTGGTTGATGGACACCATTGGCATTGGCCGCGGGGGGCACCACTTGAAGCTAATTGTAACGGAGCTTGCTACGAAGAGGCTACTATTGGCGTTGGACTCCGGAAGAACCACTACCAAGACTCTCTCGCGTGAGAGCGTAATGGATTACATTGAACTCATTGACGCAACGCGTGGTATACACTAGTTTAAAGCGACGACCCGAAGTGCTCGTTCGTAGTCCGTCGCGTGCGGTTCATTCTCATTGACTTGCTAAAGTTTTTATGAGGTTTGTCCTCGTTCATCTGGTCTTTCGATCAAAGCAGGTCGCACAAAATGTTTGTTGTCCTAGTGACGATGTTCGTTTTCTAGCTTCATGGTGTCTAATGCGAATGTGCTTCTTGGGACCGAGGGAGGAGGACAGAGTGCCTTCACGAGTGTCTTTTCTTTTGACTTTCTCGTTCTCCTTTTATTTTTCCGTATTCTGTTTCCGCAAAAAGAAAAACACCAACAAAAAGCACGCAAAGCTGTAACTGCGTCGTAAGGAGAACGACCTTCTTCACCCTCTTTTCCCCAAACATTACAACCATGACCACGACCGCTCCCTCCTGGCTGGCTGATATCTTCAGCAAGCTGACCGACTACCAGGCCTGGAAGGCGATGCTGAGCAAGGAGCCGTGGCCCAGTGTTTTGCTCGCGGCCGCCCTCTTGCTCTTCATTATGGCGCCGAACTACATGTTCCAAGTTTCCGCCGCGGACGAGAAGCGGATGGAGGAAATCCGGGAGCAGTTTCAGAAGTCAAAATTCGCGAAGGATTTGAAACTGGACGAAAAGTACGGGCAGTTTAGAAGGAACCGCGAGGTTTTCACGCCGAGTTCCAATGCTAATGCAGCGATCGAAAGAAGTCAAGACTACCGGGTGAAGCAGCAGGCACAAACGTCGACTGGAAGCAAGAAGGATGACAGCCGGGGAAAACAAAAGGAAGCAAGCAGTACTTCTACGAGTGTGATGCCGTCGAAAGTAAGCGAGTTGAAAAATGCGAAGCCAGATTCCGATGGAACGCGCCTCCGGGCAAGTGCACTGCCCAAGGTGGACTGACGCAAATAAGTACTTTGCTGCTTGCAGATGCGGTGTAAGCCTAAGCTACATCACTCCGCGAACTACGAAACCTCGAAGAGAATCGCTACATCATAGTATCGACGAGCTAAGAAGTATGATTCAACTTGTCCTGCGAGTAGAGAGGTGCAGGTTTGCCGGTGGTGTTCACCGCAATAAGTTTGCAGAATAGTACACAAACCGGCACAGAAGATCTTTGCCACCACGTTTCGCCTGATAGGAAAGATCCCGCATTGCCTCGGCTTTCTCAACAGGAACTGTGACGACGGCCATAATTCTGCATACCAGCGGGTCCGAATACTTCTTTTTGTTTCAGATGTCCGGTCGCAGCCCATTTTGAGTTTTTGTTTTGTTCGAAACCGACGAATTTGTGAAGTTCCCCAACATTTTTCACTGACTTTTACGATCGACCCCCGTGAATGAGAACCCTACTCTTGTTAGACGTACCTTGTGTGTAGGTTCTTGTTCAAAAATGATCATGAGTGCGCTTGAGGCACATTTAATCGCGGCCACAGGGTGGCCGCAATGGGCGTTGCGCACGTTAACCACGCTTGGCGTGATGACTGTCTCTGTCGTTTGCGCCGAGACCTTCCAGGCCGCGCGGGCCAAGAAGGACTCGGGGGGAGACCACCAAACCGGGGTGATACCAAAGGGCTTTCGGCTGTTCCAGCTGCAGTACCTTTCGGTCTACCTGACCATCATGCTGGCGGACTGGCTGCAGGGGACCAACATGTACACCTTATACGACGGATACGGAGTTGACATCGGTATACTGGATTTATTTGCTGTTTGGCTGGAGCTTCCGTTGCTTATCCAAGTTACCATCTTTTGCTGTTTCAGACTAAACGTTACGACAGAACATATATCCCGCAGGTTCGCTCTTTCTCACCGGCTTCCTGTCCTCCGCGGTTTTCGGTACCTTTCTGGGCATTTACGTCGACAAGTGGGGACGAAGATTTGGATGCATCATCTTTTGCGTCCTCGAGATCATCATCAACCTCCTGGAGCACGTATTGAATTTCAGGCCTTGATGGAGTTTCTAACACATTGCAATGACTCAGTGCGCAATGACTTTTAGCAAGTAATTGAATTCGGAATCGGATGCATCTCTTTTCGAAGGTAAACAACTTTCCGCTCCTGCTCTTCGGACGAGTTTTGGGCGGTATGACGACGAGCATTTTGTTCAGTGCCTTTGAGTCCTGGATGGTGACTGAGCACCGAAAACGCAACTTCCCGGAAAAGCTGCTGGAGTCAACGTTTTCGATTGCCTCGGCGGGGAACGGGCTCGTCGCCATCAAGGCTGGCGTCGTGGCCCAGGTGGCCGCGGATGTTGCCGGGGACATTGGGCCCTTCCAATTAGCAATCTTCTTGACGGTGGTTACCCTGGCCATGGTGTGGTTCTGGCCCGAAAACAAGGGAGACGCTACCGCCCTGCAGAGCATAACGTCCGGCTTCAAGGAGGTACGAATGCGGTTCAACTTTTCTTGTTCAACCGTGCGTGTTGTGCATCCGTTAGCACTTAAATTGAAATTTGAACTACACAATTACAGGCAATGCAGTTGATTCGCCGCAGCCCAGCGATGCTCTGTCTGGGGCTGTCCCAAGCATTTTTCGAAGGTGGCGTGTACACTTTCGTCTTCATGTGGGTACCCAACATGCAGCTCGTGGCTGGCACAAAGGACCTGCCTTACGGGCTAATCTTCAGCTGCTTCATGCTCAGCATGACGCTCGGGGGCGCTCTCAGCGGTATAGCCCTCTTTCGACTGGCTTTCGCATGCTTCATATGGTGATAGGTTTTTTCCTTTGTCATTAACCGATGGCTCTCCAATGAGGTTAAAGATCACTGCGGAACATGAAAATGCAGTGGTGAACATGATCACAATCAGGTATCCTGATCCCGTATCTCGGCGCCCACATGATGTGCATCACGGTTTACATTTGCGCCGCCTGCGCAATGGCCGTGCCGATTTTCATGTACGATTTCTGGCCCGTGCTGGTGTGTTTCCTATCACTGGAGTGCGTTCTGGGCATGTTCAACGCCGGCGGGGGGTTGCTGCGATCGCAGTTTTACCCGGAAGAGATGCAGTCCTCCCTAATGTCGGTGTTCCGCATCCCGCTGAATTTGCTGGTGGTTTTCGGAACCAAACTCACCTCGTACGCGCAGAAGCAAGGCGCGGCGAGCCTGCAAAAGGTTTTTGGCGTCGTCGTCACCATGCATCTGATCGCGCTGGGTTTCCAACTCGCTCTCCGGTATCTGGTGTCCAAAGAGGCTGCTGGTTCTGCCGAAGGCGCGCCGGTGAAGAAAGCCTCCAAGTCCTCGAAGGGGCCTGTCGAAGACGAGCCAGATGGGAAGAAGAGTGAGACGCTCAGAAAACGGGCAAGCACAAGCACGGGCCGGGGCAAGAGTCCAAAGGCGGGAAAGAGTCCGAAATCGGCCATGAAAAAAAGTCCAGCCAAACGAGGAGCGTCCATCAGCAGCCCTAAGAAAAACAGGTAGTTGAAGTCGAGAAGAAAATGGCTGTGAATTTTTTTTACATTGTTCTCGTCGTGGGGCTATGGATACGGTCTCGACCTAGTTCTTGTGTTTTCGCCAATTTTATGGAAGCACGTCAAGACATGAACATCAGTCAAAAAGTCGATGTGAAGAAATGTATTCAGTTTGTGTATGCCGCCTCCTTGTACAGGCTTTTTTGCATTACTGGAGAGGACCGTGTTCGCTTTTTTCATTTTTGTGATCAACTTCTCGCCTCGGTTTTTGCTCTTGGTTCTTGTCTTTTCAAAAGATGTTGCAGTGACACAAAGACGCGACCGCAAAACGAGTGAGGATTTAGATTTCTTTCCAGGCAGCTATTGCTACCTAGCTTTCACAGCGTTGATGCCCAACATCTGCTCGCAGAACTCTGTTTTGACAGGAACCTTCCTCCCGATCCCTACTTTTAGATAGTGCTCAGAAAACTAAATACGAAATGCGCGAACAAGGACATGTGCGCTGGTGCCTGCAGCCTCAGAAGACAGTATGTGTCGGTTTTAGGCCAGGAAAATGAGGTAGAAAATGCAGGAGCTGGCAGTAACGCCCGCACAAATAATACGAGACTCGCACGGCTGTAATTTTTTTTTGTGAGCAGCAAACGATGGAAGCGGTAGACCACGAGGCATTCGAGAGTGCCGACGAGCGGCCGGAGCTTACTTTGCCCGATGCAGCCGATGCCAGCGGGAAAGCTGCTGTTAAGATTGACGCTAACAAGGAGGGGCCAAGTACCTCGAGCCCTGTTGCGGACGAAGGCACAACAATAACAAAAGCTGCAAGCCGGGAAGTGCTTTCCATAGAGCACACTATCGCAGATGCGGTAAGCAAGATAAGTCGTTCCGCAGCTGCTGCGTCCAGCCAAAAGAGCGGAGGCCCTTCGACCACGAGTGCAAACGAAACTCGTACCAAAGGAGCTTCTCCGGGAAGCGATAGTGTCGACGCCGATAGTACATCGACATTACCATCAGCCACCTCGCAACAACGTGCGGAGGGCTCCCAAGCTGCGCCGGTCCTACTCCCGTCTTTACACTGTGGAGAAGATGTAGTTGCCATAAGCGAAGTCGCCGTAATCGCCTCGATCAAAACGACCCAGGCCGAGGATGCGAATGTGCGGTTGCCTAAGCTTGAGGAGGATCAGGTGCTGACTGATTTTTCTGCTTCCGCAGCTGCGGGGGTACAAGCGATCGAAGTAGGACCGGATGACCAGCTGGAGGTAGAAGCAGATCATGCCAAGGAGTCCACACTGGTTGCAGAGGAATCGGAACCCTCGTCGTCTAGCACCACCGCGAAAGCCGAGATTGGAACCGATGGTCCTGACCAAGATTCGCATATCGAAGCCCCATCCACCGCGCAAAACGAAGAACCCGCCGGAGTGGCTGCAGTAAAAAATGATGCCGCATCGCCCTTGCCGTTGCTGGCGGAACAACTCGACGAGCGGCAAACCGAGCGAGCTACCACCTCGACTCCTGAGGGGAAAACACTACTTGCACGACCACCGCCCTCATCGACTACTAGTGAGGAGACGCTCCTTCCGCGCCTAGATGATTTCCTAAGTTGCGACGGTTCCCTGGCGGAGTTGCGCAAAGTGCAAGAAATACAGCAGTCGAACTCACCGTTGTCCGGACCGGCCGCGACAACTGTTCTTTCGCAAAGTACGCCAAGTAGCACCGCGGTGACATCATCAACGACGAAGAAAAAGCGGATGGTCGTCGGATCTCTAGATCACGATGCGGGACGGATAGGAACTGGTTCGCCGGTGTCAGGAATAAAGAACAGTATTGGGACCACGACGGCCTTACAGCATAGTACTAAAAATCGTTCACAGCCGGCGCGCGAAGAACCGGCAGTCGGTGGGCTCGGGCTTTTGGACGACATTGACCTCTCGCAAGAACGTTCCACTTCTTCAGGTCGGGGCAGAACAACGGACAGTCGAACAAACTCCGCAAGCTGGAGCTGGTCCTCTTCCACCACCACATCTGGAGGTGCTTCGAGCTCGTCCTCAACATCGGCGACCATAACGACTTCCCCCCTCGACGACCCATATTTCGCGTCCTTATCCCTCGACGAGCAGGAAGAAAGACTGCGGGAACGGGTACCTGTACTGTTGGAAGAGATGAATCGCGCCAGTTTATCCACCAACGAGTGCGAGCGCGAGTACGGGGAGAAGAAGAAGCGGCATTCCGCGCTGCTGCAGCAGTGGAAGATGGCCTACCGGCAGATGCGGTCGGTGCGCGGGCGGGAGATCGACGCCGCGCGGCCCTTTTTCGAACAGGAAGAGCGGAAGCACCGCGCGGAACTCCAGATGTACACGGCGCTGGAAGGGTTCACAGACATGCAGCAACTGGTCGATGCCGCGAAAGATGAGCTGGCAGATTTGGAGGAAAAACTGCACTACGGGGCCCACGAGGTGAAATTGTCGGAAGCCGACCAGGAGGAGCTCAGTAAGACCACCTTGCGCATCTTGCAGGTTCAACAGCGGCGCGACAAAGCCGAGCAGGTGTACGGAAGCGCTTTGAAGCAGTTCGTGACGGCGTGCGAACTGCTGGAACGGCGGAAGGTCGAGGCGGGGCCGGTGTTGCTCGAGGATGTGCGCCCGCTGTTCCGGCAAATGGTGTACTACCAAGAGTCATTGTCTAACTTGAGCGCGGAGGCCGCCGAGGCAGAGGCGCGAGCGCACCAAGCCAGGTTGGACTACCAGGCCGCGTTGCGGGGACTGGAAAACATCAATAACACGATCCACGGCCTGCGCAAGTCCTGTTCTGCGAGTTCCGTCAGGGAAGAAGATTTGGACCAAGAAGTTGATGATAGCCGGGAGAGTGACGAAGAGGGAAGCAGAAGTGGTAGCAATGATTTCACGAATGACAGTTTTACAAACCATGACAGGATAGCAACGTCCAATCCCTTTGAATGACAGATGGATGTAAAAGTCGCTTGCTGAGGGTAGGTCGCAGCGTTTGCTGCGTACCTGCCGCTCCTCGTCGCATATCTTTCCGTTAATTAGAATCGGGAGAACGATGAAGCATACGACACTTGTCGAGTTGATCATCGTTTCGAGGTGGCTGTTCACCTTCGGAACAAAATGTTCACGAACCGAGTGGGAGCGATGAAGTTTTCGTGAGTAAAAGAGGGTCGTCGTCAAGAACACGGGTTTTGTCGTAGATGGGATGTTTGGTAAGTAGAAGGAACATTATTTGGCCGTGCTTTTACTCTAAACAGATCCAGATTTTGTTTGCTGAGTCCTCTACTCGTTTAGACTTTGTGAATTTTTCATTTTGCGATGTTCCTCCACTCTTTTACCTTTGTGTCTTTTACTTGACCGATTCATTCTTTCATTTTGCTTTTGTGCCTTTCTTGTTGATGTAGCACGCAGTTGTCAACATCATCATTTGCTTTCTTTATCTTTTTGCCGGAATGTGTGCGCTTCTTTCATCTTCTTCGAGGCCACAGCAGAGAACGTTTTGTTCACACTGACTGCATGATCCGCATAGTATCAAAAGACAGAGATTATCGTCATAAGCTGTCTTGTGTCATAGGCATGCCTAGCAGGCACAACACATATTTCAGATGCAGCAGGCACAGAGGTTTATTTCTCCACCGGCGACTGCATCTTGAGCATGACAAAGTACCCCCATAGTCGTATCTCTCGCAAGTCCTTTTCCCACCGGACGAAATGAAATTTCTCTCTGTCATTGAAAACAACTGGTATCTCTACGCTAGAAAAGCGGAGCACTAGGTCCATAGATCCGAGAGAAAGTTTTTGAAGTAGCCCGAGGGCGAACCACTCAGCCAAGATGGAGCAGCATCAGGTGCACGTGTGGGAAAACACGTACCAGATGGAGCCCAAACACGAACAGAAATTTCTCCCCTCAAAAGTCACGGAAATCATCGATGAGGTGATGACGAAAAAGCTGGCCGACAGGTAAAAGATTGGTCTGGCATCCTGATGAATTTAAGTATTCCTGCATGACTGGAATATATGCCATACCATCTTCGCCATGAGAATGAAAATGCAATTTAGAAATGCCGCAACTCTTGTTCAAAACAGGGAGTACGATCCAGACATGGCAAAGACATGGACTTTGGAGCTGTGCAACGAAATCAAGGCGGCGGTGAAAGCGCACGGATCCATCCCCCGACACAAGATCATTTATGGTGGGGAAAGTTTCACTAGCAGTATGATATCCTACCTCATGCTATTGCGGATTCTACTTGATATGACTTCTATGAGAGGTGCAGCGGGTCTCCTCGTGTTTTGTGTTGAACATGCATGTTTGTGTCGCAAGCTATTTCAGGCAGCATCTGCTAGTGAAGCTTTTTCCAGAGTGATACGTTCTGCCAGGTGGTAATTGGGGAGGCCGCGGGACAGGGGATGCGGGTCGTGTCGAAGTGTCTGTGGGACGTGAATGTCGACAACTGGGCATCGTTCTCCTTCAAAAGCCCTACCATGTTTGCCGTGGGCATGGTCTTTGGCTGCTACTACGAATAAGAGGAACTACGAGTCGTACTATCAGCACGTATTACAACCAGGTGAAAATAGCCACGATTTTGCTACGAACAATTCTCCATCTCCAAAGATCCAATGAAATTGTCAAAAGTACAACTACGTCGGACAACATCGACCTGAGAAACTACAACAGAACTCATCTCCCGACGAGGGCAAGAACGCGAATTCACTTCCTGCACAAGAACTTCTAGCAGAAGGTGAAGATGATCATTTTTACCACACTTCCTCAGACCACTTGAATAGTAGTACCTCCCACACCAGCACAGGAAATCGCCAAGAAGACGAGGAACAGTACGACTGTGAGCCGGGTATGCAAGAACGGAAGAATCTTCTTTCTTTTCCATTACGGAAACAGGCGAAGCGACATCGATTCGGAAGCGGTTTGCAGTAGAGACTGTGTTGAACAGCTGTGTTTCGTTCTAGGCAAACCTTTCAGGAGGCGGAAGATGATTTTGAAATTGAAACTTGCGGTTTAGATCAAAATACCATCGGATAGCCTCAGTTTGCTACGACCCCGAGTCTCGGCGGCTGCAGTTTTGTAAATAAAACGGACGGTTTTCTTCCGACAAGACTGCTGCAGGGCAGCGCAAGCAACAAGACCACCAGCCTCCTACACTACTAAGTTCAAACTTCCCAGTACTAGATGAGCTACAATCTGGCGCTCTATGTATTCGTTTGTAGATTGCGAGAGTTGTCACGAAAAAAAAAAATGCTGCGAAAAAGCAAACCAATTGTGATCGCTACTGAATTAGCAAAAGGAAAAAAATCCACGAACCGTGCAGCACGAACGAGGACTATGCTGGGCGATCGTGTTGTGCACTGCCAAAGAGCCGCAGCCAGCACTAGTTTGATGATTTTCGTCGAAGTTGAAGCACGTGTGAGGTGTCGTTGTACCGGTTGTCGCGCACACAGGTTTATTCAATGTCTGGTTCGTTATTGTTCTTGGTTTTGTTTCGGTTAGTCACATGATGACGAGGCAATAGGAGATCTGATCCCTGTTTTTCACGAAGAAGAAGACTTTCATCATTTTGGTACGATCTAAAAACAAAGAGAATACGAATCCTGCACAGAATGCAGGTAGTTCCAAAAGCGTGCCGGTGCCTCTTGCTCCTTCAACAGTAGAGGAAGTTGAAACTTTGATCACAAGCCTCTTGCATGCCACAGATCTTCCTGCTATTTCTGCATTGGCTTTTTTATGAAAATCTTCCCCCTTATTTTTTTCTTCTGACTTTCATTTTTCAGACCGAAAAACAAAGAGACTCACATTATAGTACTTTTTCTGCTCCTGAACTTATTCTTTGCGCCCGCCCAGGTGCTTGTTGTGACCACTGTGACTCTTCCTCATACTATGTCTGTTACTGCTAGCTGCCACTTTTACGTTTTCTAAACAACCCTAACCCCACGACCCCACCAGACGCAAGCGACAAAATGACCGTGCCGATCAATCTGTCCGAAGAGAACATCGGTCTGCTTTTCGACCACTGCGCGAAGCAGGCCTGTGTGCCGGAGGACATCCAAGAGTACGCCAAAGAAGTTTCCGTGCAGATTGCCATGGGCGCAGATACTACCTCCCTCGAACAGGATCTGCTGGATTCGATTCTCGAAATCCTCGAAGAGGCGGGTATGGAGACTCCGGAAGCGTTTTTGAAAGAAGTCGCAAACCTCTGCAAAACCGCCATGCAGCAAAACGGCAGAATAGACGACTTGATAGCAGGAGGAGGATCATCTTCACCTACAGCAGGAGCTGTTAGTCCGACAAAAGACGGAACGACCGCGTCACCTGCGATGAAAAAGACGACAGCAGAAGTAGCAGATGAGATGAAAGGCGAAAAAGCGGATCCATTTGTGGACCAGAGCCTCGCGAAGCTGATGGCAGCATCAGCAGCTTCGGACAAGCAGCCGACCAAGGACGAGGACAGAACGCCTTCAACCTCCTCTTTCAGTCCGGGAAGCAGAATACAACAGAGCGACAAGTACGTTTGTCGGGTGCCAAATCTGATGCTCCTGTACGGTGGCGGGAAGCTTTTGCTAAAAAGCGCGACCCTCGATTTGCAGCGGGGCCACAGGTACGGCATTGTGGGTAAAAACGGAGCGGGTAAAACGACTCTGCTCACCATGATTGCAACGGGGAAAATCGTCGATTTGCCGTTGGGCAAATACGACATTGTTTCCGTGCAGGCCTCCGTCGCGTCCAGCAGTGGCTCGGTATACGAGTACGCGATCGAGGCATTCCACAGATTCAGGGCCGCGAAAGAAGCACAGAATACCGAAACAGCGGAAGAGGTACAGACTGAATGATGCTTGGATTTTTAGACGTAATTCCTTGTCTATGCGCATGACCCTGAAAAGACGCGGCCGGCTGTTTTACCGATTCGAATAAGTGGTGTTCTCTGATGAAGTTTTGGAATACAGTTTTTCCTCACTTGAAATTGAATAAATACAGGTCGTCCGCAGCGCCCTCGAGATGGTCGGTTTCTGTGACCCCTCCGCAAAAGATCAGGACAACTCCCCGACCCCGCGCAGCAACCAATCCCCCACCAGCACGGGAACTGCAAATAATAGCAGCGACATCCGCGAAGACACGAAAATGCGGCGCTCGTGGGAGGAAAACGTCGCCGAGTTGAGCGGGGGCTGGCGAATGCGACTGTCTCTCGCGGTGGGCAAAATCGAGTGCGCGGCCCCGGACATTCTGCTTCTGGACGAACCGACCAATCACTTGGACGTGAACGCGGTGAGGTGGCTGGCGGGGTATTTGACCACCACGCTACCAACAAAAACTGCCGTCCTGATCGTGTCCCACGACGCGGAGTTTTTGGAAAAGGTCTGCACGGACGTGATCCACTTCGAAAACCAGAAACTCGACTACTATTCTGGCGGTTTTACCGAATTCCGCAAAGCCCTGGGCATGAGCGACGCCGAGATGCAAGATTTGCTCCAGACCATGGCGCACGCGACCGGCGGGGGTGCGACCGGCACAGACGATGGCAGTGCGCCCCAGGCCTACCAGCGCCGACCCGAGCTGGACGAAGCCGACCGGAAAGTCGCAGACAGTTTGGCGTTTCTGAACCTCGACGACACCCTCGGCAAGGAGGTCCCGAAGCAGGGAGAAGACTCGAAGTGGGTGGGATGCGCACCGGCTGGGGGAGTGGACAAACTTTCCTTCCCGATACCCGGAAAGCTGGACGGCATCGCCAACGACAAAAAATCCATCCTGGAGCTGAAAAACATCAAGTACTCTGACACGTGATAGATGTTGTTTTGACCTGTAGACGATGTGGAAAACTAGAGTTGCAATCTTCGTGTAAGTGTAATTTGCCGCATTTAGTACTTTACTTTACTAGTACACCATCACCCACCACTTCATCAACCACACACGACGCATCAGTTTTCGCTACTCCGAGACGGCACCCATGGTTCTAGAGAACGTCAATTGCCGGCTCACCATCGCGTCTCGCGTCGCGTTGGAAGGTGCGAACGGTGCGGGGAAATCCACTTTACTCGGACTCCTTTCCGGTGAGCTTGCTCCCGACTTGGAGCTGAAGGCAAGCGGCGCGGCGGAGCCGATCATGTATAAGCACAGGAACCTGCGCCTTGCTTACATCGCACAGCACCACACCTTCCACTTGCAGGAGTTTGCAATCTGTAGTCCTTTGGTGTACATGCAAAAACGGTTCAAAAACGGCTACGACGAGGAACTGCAGAAGCGGTTGCTGACGCTTTCGCCCGACGAAGAGCAGTATGTGATTGAGCAGGCAAAAAAGCAGGGGAAGTACGGCAAGCGCGTCCGAGACATCGCGGGAAGGCAAAAGCGCGGGAAGGAATTCTACTACGAGGTATGATTTTTGCTTGATGCGACGAAGCATTCGAGCGATGCTGAAGCAGTTAAGCAGTTATTTGCTACAAGTTTGTGGTATGACTTTGTCTTTGACTTTCACTTTGTTTTCCCGTGCCATCAGCATTTGCACCATTCAACACCCAACAGATCCAGTGGCAAGACCTTCCGGACAGCAAGCAAAACACGTTCGAGCCGCAGTCCAAGCTCCGCCAAATGGGCGTCGAGAACGTGTGTCGGGCGTACGACGAGCGGCAGCAAGCGGTGGCCGCGGGCAATGACCAGCGGCCGCTGTCCAACCGCGAGATTCTGAAGCACTTCGAAAACTTCGGGTTTGACGAAGACATGGTGGAACGCAGGCAGTTGGGGAGCTTCAGTATGGGGCAGAAATCTCGGTTGCTACTCGCCGCGTCCATGTGGGTCAAGCCGCACTGCCTGTTCCTCGACGAACCAACAAACTACATCGATCAGGAAACGCTGGACGCCTTGGAGAAGGCGTTGAAGTTTTTCCGCGGGGCGGTTTTGATCGTCAGTCACAACCACGATTTTCTGAAACGAGTGTGCACCGAGCACTGGCGGGTCGAAGACAAAAAGGTGGCAACTGCTGGGATGAAAAAATAGTAGTATAGAGCGATCATGAAGTAAGAAAGTACACAAAGAAAAGCACGATATTTCTCTTCTCGAAAGGCGCCAATCTGCCGGTAAGAATTTTCATAGTGCAGCCATGTAGTTCTTGCCGTGTAAATAGATCTCGATCTTTCACATCGAAACACGATCAGAAACTGTTGACCTTGACAAGATCCTCGGATAGGTCCGCGATGTGTGTACAATCGCGTTCATGAATTTTCGTTTGTCCCGCATGCCACGGAAGGCCAACAGAGTGTGTGGCTGCGGCCAAAATTTCAAGACTAATGACAGATCAGAGAAAGGCAAAGCAGATCCACAAAATCCGCGGTCATACGAATTTTCGATCCTTGCAGAACAAGATGCTGATGTGCAGACAATCTACTAGTTCCAATTACTAAAAGTGATTGGATGTTGACGAAAATGGGCGGATCATTGTAAAAGAGTTGTATAGTAAACTGTACTGCTTCCCACACCCACAGGAAATCCTCAAGAAGATCGTAGCGACATCATAGGCATTTGCTACCCTTGTAAGAACTGCTTCTAGGATAGATTCGATCTGACAGTGACCCTAATTTCCTGCTTTTCCGACGAGGACATCGCTCTCCTCCGGCAAAACTCATGACCCCCCAACCACCGCCACGCGCCCGTCCGCAACCCGGGCAGTACGTCGGTCTTCGCGACTTACAGGGCGGTTTGAAAGTGGTGCAACTGAATGCCAACACCTCGATTAAATTTGGGAAGCACCCGACCGTCGACGCCAATCTGTTGCTGAAAACGCCCTTCGGCGCGACTTTGCTCTACCAAGAACATACCAACGAACAAACCGGAAGCACGACCCATTCTTGGCAGCGTGCGGCGAGGACAGTTTTGGGCCAGTTGGAACACAACAAAGACGAAGATGGCAGCTCTCCCGCTGGGTTGGACTCTCTCGCGCCGGGAGGACAGCAGCAGCAGCAGGCGCAAGTTCCAGAAGTCGCGCAGCCAGACGCGGAGCAAACGCAGAGAGGGAAAAATAACCAGAACTTCAAGCAGGACAACAGCGCGCAGTCGCTGACGCAGGAACAGATCCTGCAGATGAAGGACGAGGGGAAATCGGGGATTGATATGATAAAGGAAATTGCGGGCAGCAGCGCTACTTTCGCCGAAAAAACCGTGTTTTCGCAGGCGAAATACATCGCCAGGAAGCAGAAAAAGTACATCCACCAGCTGACCGTGCTGGAAGTCACGCCGATGTTGCTCTGCGAGTACTACGCCCAGGAGAAGCCCAGCAAAATCGCGCATCTGAAATTCGAAGTCCTCAGCGGGCTGCTGTGGCACGCAAACGTCTTCGGCTCAAGTTTCGGGAAAACAACAGCACGACCAACGGCCGAGAAGCAACCCCCAAGAGTTTTGGTATACGACGAAGTTGGTGGAATGCTCGCTGGCGCCGTGCACTACCGGATGTTTGGGCCCGGTGATTTGATGAGCAGTCGTAGTTCCACATCCACGACCTCGAGCAGTAGTATACTCGCTACTGGAACAAGTAACGCCTCACGGAACGGCCTCTTCCGCATCCACCAGACTGTCGGGGCGCCGAACAAAGCGGGCGAGCAGCTCAACTGCCCCACCGCACGCGTACTGCCCTTCGATCTGGTGGAAAGCCTTCTTCTCGACGATGAAGCACCAAAGCAGAGTACAGCTACAGGATCATGTGCTGAGGATTGTAACAGAAGTCCCATGGAACAAGAAGTAGCCACGAATAAGCAGAAGTTAATCGATGATTTTATCGCTTTGCCGGAAGAAATGAGAAGCCTCAACCTGGGAGCGCTGGAAGGAAAGGTCGCAGAGTACGAAGCAGAATTGAAGGACAAAGGAACTACAGAAATCGTGGTTTCAGAGGCCAACAATGCGACGTCTAAAACGCCGTCTAATGTCGATGTAAACCCGAAATTCGTCGAACGGCTCCGGCGGTGCGTGCTGCGCAAGAACCTGGTCGAGGATTTTTTCGCGAATACGAAAGTATCAACATCAAATGCAGCCGAACGTCAACCGAGCACAAAAACCGGCAGCATGGACACGTTCGTCGTCGCTTTGAACCCGAGCGGGCAGAACGGCGAGAATTCCGTTGACCCGATGCACCTCTGGAAACTCGCGGAACAAGTGCTCCGCGGGTCGGGCATTCTAGCCGTTTACTCCACGCAGTTCCAGCCGTTGGCGGAGCTGCAGCGAAAATTGCGGGAGACGAGCGGCAAACCCGAGCTGCGAGTCCGGTGGACCCACGTGAAAATGCACGAATACTTCACGCGGGAGTGGCAGGTGCTTCCGATGCGCACCCACCCGGTAATGGACAGTTGTTTGAATCTCGTACAGGGCTTTGTGCTGTGCGCGACCATGCTGCGGGTCGACACGGAAGCGGAGGCGCACGACCTGGAATCCCGTGAGCGCGCGGAGGCCTTTGCGAAAGCAAACAATCTAGGCTTGATGCAGCAGCATTCCAAACGACGCCGAGTGAGGAAATAAGGGAACTGGAGGACACGACCGTTGAGTGACTTAAAAATGTGCGGACACATCAAATTGCGCTCTTTCGGATCTGGGCGACGGCCATTTGAAATTGTCCTACAACGTCTTCCTCAAACGAATCACGGTTTGTTGTTTTGCAAAACGCTGTATTGCAGTGAGCCGCTACGTCCATCGAGGGCGACCTCATTTGACGTCAGAAAAGTTTATTTTCGACTCGATGGAACCGGATAGACCACCTCGCTGTGATCTTTGTGGGATCGAATTGCACTGCTGCCGATGTTCGTGTTCCTGCAATTACTTATTGCGACGTATGCTAAAAGTATGTAGCTTCTCCGGGCCGAAAGCAAAATCAGAAGAAGTGTCTGCAACATGTTTACAAATTATTTGTGTCCACCTTTGAGGACATCGACATGGGCAACGAGGTAAACTCGTAACCACGTAAAGCACTACCTTCGTACAAAGCGCGTAGATGTAGGGCGGGAGGACGTGTTGATAGTAGAAGTCATTTCTTCTTTGTTTTTTCCCGTTCGTTGACGCTAGTTGCTACTGCGGATAAGTGAGTAAAAGTCGTAGCCATGTAGGAGTCGTTGTCGTTGCTTTCCTTTACTCACGTTCTCATGAACTAGCAGCATACAACCGAAACTGTCGGCAAAGCCGCTCATAAGTACTTAAAATGAAAATCGAAATGAACATACCAAATGAATGTGGATGCGTGATAGAGCTTCACTGGGTTTTTCTGCTACGGAGTAAACAAAGTTTTTCAGCACTGAAAGTAAGGCGGAGAAGATTTCAGTCTCACTGCTAAAAAGGAACCATTGCAAGCGTTTATCGTATCTACTCTACACGTAATAACTGGTCGCGAACTACTTAACAAAGGAGGCAAAATGTCGGTGGAGGAAGATAAGCCGGATGATAAGCTCCCGGTGACAGTTTGGGTGGAAGATCCAGTGGACGGCTTTGTACCCGGTGAGATCGTAAACTACGCTACTCGATCGGCAGGCGACAGTTACGAAGTGGGCATCTTGTCCAAAAGTCAGCAGAAAGGTGCCAGCAAACTGTTGGTTGGAAAGTCACGGGCATCCAGCAGTTCGAGCAAGGGGGCCTATGTCGAGACAAGGACGTTTGCGAATGAGGCTGCTTTGCGCGGTCGCAGCGACAAGGCCGAAAAAACGTTCGACGATTGTGCCGGCATGCTGTGGTTGCATGATGCCGGCATACTGGATAATCTACGCCAGCGGTAACTGTTTTTTCAGTTTTACTAATTTTTGTTTGTATACACTTCGAAAACCAAAATGTGAATGTTGAGTCAACTGTACTCTCCCCACATGCTGAGGTAAGAGGTAATATCATCCTGCAACTTGCTTCATCTTCGCGCAGTGATCATCAACAAAATCAGGTATTTGGAGGACAAGATCTATAGCTACACGTCGACGGTTTTATTTGCCGTGAATCCGTACAAACCGATAGAAGGACTATACACCGAGGAGCAGAAATCCATGTACCACAAGTTACCGTCATTGCACAGCAAACCCCCGCACCCTTATGCGATAGGCGACCTCGCGTACCGAAAGCTTGTGCATGATCGCGAGGACCAAGCGATTCTCATATCGGGTGAGAGTGGAGCAGGCAAGACGCAAACGGCAAAAATAGTAATGGGATTTCTGGTCGAAAACTCCTCCACGCGAACCAAGGGCACAACAGACGACGCAGCTTCGCTAGATAATATGATCCTTCGCTGTGCGACGCCGATCCTGGAATCGCTGGGAAACGCCACCACGATCCGCAACAACAACTCGAGTCGCTTTGGGAAATTCAGCATGCTAGTTTTCAACGCGAGAGGCGACCTCGTAGGAGGCGAGATCCGCACCTACTTGCTCGAGAGCAGTCGCGTTGCAAAGTTTGGGGCTGGAGAACGCACGTAGAAATTCTTTCTACTCTGTTGATTTTTTCACAATAGCCTTCGCACATCCGCCACACTCTTATTCTTTTCTTTTCGCATGATATTGCAGCAGTTTCTTTCGCAGTGCTTAGTAGAATTTACATGGTGTATTTTTAACACAGGTATCATATTTTTTACGAGATCCTCGCAGGAGCCTCTGCCGAGCAGCTAAAGAAACTTGGCCTGCAGAAAAACTCGAAATACGCACTTCTCTACGGAAGAGATCAGGTTACGCAAGTTGCTACTCCACACCGAGGAGCGGAAGAAGCGACGAACTTCACAGCGTTCTGCACCGGCTTGAAAATTATGAACTTCTCCCCGGAACAAATCGAAGAGGTGCTCGAGACGCTCGGAGGCCTGATCCACCTGTTTGAACTTGATTTTGAGGAAGCAGCGAGTGGACAAGGTATTCAAGTAGTAGAATCGCCCCACGTTGCTGAAGCTGCGCGTCTTCTCGGTATGTCGGCGGAGTCTCTCTGCGAGTCCTTGTGCAAGAAGACAGTGATCCGGCCTAAGCGAAACAACCAGGGCCGTGACTCCATTTTCAAAACTGACCGGACACCAGCACAAGCGAAGAATGCACAGGAAGCATTGGTGAAAATGCTGTACAAACGCCTCTTCGAGCACATTGTGGCGCAGATCAACAGCTCCCTCCTCGTGGCGGGTCAAACCCAGAACTTAGCCGAATCTAGTCGGCGTCAGATAGGAATCTTGGACATCTACGGCTTCGAACAATTGAAACTCAATTCCTTCGAACAGCTGTGCATCAACCTGGCGAACGAGCGACTACAGGAGTTTTTCTGTGACAAAGTGATATTGGCAGAGCAGGAGATGTACCGCAAAGAAGGCCTTCCCGCCATTTCACTACAAGTCGAGTCAAGTGGTATTTTTCATCTGCGTTTGCATCTCTTGTATTTTTTCACAATTTTCTTGCATTTCCATTCTATATCTATACCAAGATTGTTTTGTTGTACTTATTGAGAAACATACACTCTCGACAGAGCCACTCTTGGACGCAATTGGTTGCACGCTCAACACGCTACACGAGCACGGGCTCATGACTACGAAATAGAAAAGTGCTTGCGTATCTTCAACAAAAGCTGTGCGATATGTATAGGAAGGACGCAGAAGGAAACAACAGTCACCATTCCCCTTGCAGGGAACGCGTCAAACAATTCCAAATACTCGCACGAGGGACCGTTTTTTACGGCGGCCAAACAGATTTCGATTTGCGTCAAAAAGTCCCCAAAGCCATTTTGTTTTCGAATCCTCAGCAAGCATGAATTTCTTTTTTCCATACTGTTCGCGAAGAATGTGCGAACCACTGACGAGCGCTTTACGGCGGACGTTCATAAGAAGTTTGGCACGCACATGTGTAAACTGAAGCGTGGAGGCGGAAAGAAGAACCAGGACTATGGTAGGATGTCTAGTCTTTGAAATGAATATACATCAACATCATGCCGCCCGAGCAAGTCTTATCTTATTTTTTCAATGGTTGAATCTGAATGCTGCGCTCGGGCTCGCTGAATGTTTGCGACGCCATGGAGTATATTCTTCCCTTTACAAAAAACAGATGCCAATCTGAGCTTTGTGGTGAACCACTACGCTGGAGAAGTCAACTATTCAACAGCGGGGTGGCTCGAAAAGAATAACGCGACATTATCGACAGAAGCAGAAATGTTGATTTCCTGCAGTGACCACAAGGTCGTCGCGCGGCTCCAGGGCGAAGCACAATCCGCTGCGACAAGCGTTGGGCGCAAATATCTGGCCGACCTCGACTTGCTGCTGTCCACGCTTGACGCCTGTTCTCTGCACTACATTCGCTGCTTCAAACCAAATTTGAGCCAGAAGCCGAGCCTGTGGGAGGGAGGAGTGATCTTGGATCAAATGCGGCAGTCAGGTGGCATTGACTTGGTAAAAATCATGCACGAGGGCTATCCGAACCGCTGCAGTTTCGACTACCTGGTAGAGCGGTACCAGTCCAAGCTTCCGGATTTCAAGGACGAGCAGCCGCGAACGTTCCTCGGTGCGCTGATGTTAGCTTTCGAAATCCCGAAATCAGATTACGTGATCGGAGCCAGCCGACTGTTTTTGAAAAGTGGTTGCTTGGCCGTCCTCGACCAGCTGACTGACAGCGGCGACGCGATCCCGCCGGAAGTGTTGAAGCGCCTCAAGAAAGTCATCCTGCAAAAGAAGCGACGACGCTGTTTCCAGGCCGTGGCCCTCTGTTTGTACCTTCCCAAGTTTTTGGCCAGAGCGAAAAAGGAGAAGAACCTGAAAATGCTGAAAATCTGCGCCATCAACTACTACCGACTGAACCGGTGGGCTTCGCGCGCCAAAAAAACGCTTCGCGATCAACGGGTTGCTGCAGCCATCGAAAAACTTCGCAAGACGTGGCGCCTAGGTCGGGTCATCGTGAGGCTTTTGCGAAACGCCCGGCGCCGCATCGCGTGCAGGAGGAACCAGGACATCGCATTCCGGCTCTACCCGGCAATGTGCCGCGCACTGAGAAAGTGGATTCTGCGGGAGCGGGAAAAGGTAAAGCGACGGATCGTGTTGTGGAATGCCGTGAAGCACTACGTAACCGTGCACAGATTCCTCAGTCGTCGCATCAAGCAGTGGAAGCAGCAGCAAAGAAAGCAGTTGCGGCAGGCGCTCGACCAAAATCTGCTGATTTTCCGGACCATTGTCCTCCTCAGGCGCCGACTCACGTCAGGGTGCATAAAGGTGCTTCCGCAGAGTCGAAGCAAAGTGTACACTGTCCGGGAGTTTGCCACGTTGCAAAAACGCAAACCTCTGTCCGCATTGCAGCGAGCACGAAGGAAGATCCGAGTGAAGCAATTATTTGCAGCGTTTTACAGACGCGCACTGTTTGTGACATTTCTGCGCCGTTACCAGCGAAGCCGAAAAGCTGGAGGGAAAGGACCTGCATCCGCCCCCACAACGCGTGTGATAGTTGTTTCCGACAAGCTATCGTTGGAGCGCCGTATGCGGAATCACGAACTTTGGACCCACTTGTACCGCTTCGCGCTGATGGTGAAGCCGTGGAAAAGGTACGTGCGACGATTTCGCGCAAACAAGAAGCGTGGCCTGCGCACGTCAGTGCACATCAACCAGCAGGGGGAACAGCCGGTCGCACCGGGAGCAGAGAGCTCCACCGCCCCGGGCGACACCAGTGCGACGGTGCCGGTAACAGGGGAGCAGGTTGCCACGATGATGGAGTATCAAATGCAAAAATGTCTGGGTCTGGAGGAGTGAAACTTGTAATGCTGTCTGCGAATTCTGAAAATATCTGTGTTGCATGAGCAGCACGAGGAGTCAGTTCTTGGAACGCGGAGAGGGCATTTGTCATGCGTAATTAGTATCTAGAAGCTCTCAAAAAATCTGTGATGCTAGCACCAGCATCACAGACCTGACTGGTCATGCAAAATGTGCATGTCTATGGCAAATGTGCAATGTCTATTGCAAAATGTGCATGACAAGCCCCGACTCTTCCAGACCCAGACATTTTTGCAGTTCATATAGAGATGATGCGGGCGATGCAGGAGGAGATCAAAGCTTTGCGGGCGGAGAAGAGCGACCACTCAGAGAAAAAGCGTCGCGTCCCATCCTCGTTTGACCGCAGGTCCGTCGGTGACGGCAACGAGGACGGCCGACAGTCCATCGGCACACCACCGCTCGACGGCGAGCAGAACAACAGTCTGATTTGGTCTGACGTCTCCTCCGTGAAGCCCAGTCCCAGCACCGAGTCCTGGGGAAATGCCTTCGACGACATCGGGGCCGCCATACAGTCAAGAAACGGAGCCAAGGGCTTGGTGATGACCGGGCGCGGGACAGGCATGAACGACAGTCTGGAATTACACCCGGCGCAATCAGTGGATCTGGAAGCAGGAGCCGCTACTACCAGCAGTCGCGGCCGGTGCAGCGTGAACTCCGTGTCTCCCTCCAAGCGGCAAGCGTGCCACATCGCGCAGAGCGGCAACGCCTCCCTTTCCTTCAACAGCAAAACGCCGAAGCACGCGCCGGCTGGTGCCAGTACGAATACGCATGACCCCCACGGCGACAACAGTTCTTGCAGCGGCGCGACGAGTACGCGGAGTAACACGACGGTGGAGGGCGGTCGGGAGAGTAAGAAGGCGGGAGCGGTAGAGAAAAATCAGCAATTCGATATCAGTGGCTTCGCGAACAACACCGGCTTGGATCTGGACCGCATGACAAGGGCAAAGAACAACCCGCGCTTCAACATCGATCTCGGCCGTGCGCTGGGGAGGCAGGGCAAGAAAAGTGCACTGAGTGCTAAGAGAATCGAGGGTGTGCCCGATCTGGGGACCAGCAGTCCGCAGGAACTGCAACTGGGTGATAATGCTTGTTCGCCCCCCGCGGCCGGGTTTTTCCAAGATCGCCCCCACGTTCCGAAGCTGAACTTTCAGCCCGGGTCCCGGATCGACAAAGAGTTCGGCCCGAAAGACCAGGAAGAGCGCAGCAGCCCGGTGAGCAGCACCTTCACGTCGGTGTCCCAACGGACCCCGAGAGACAGCACGCACTCCGCCCGCGGGGCGCCGCACCAAACGATGACGCCGAACGGACACGGTGGTCGCGGGGCTGCTCAGGGCTTTTATCCGAGCAGGTAATTTTTTTGTTTAGCATTACCATTAGCATTGCCTGATCTATCTGAGCGCGTTTACCGACAAGAAAAAGATTAAGATAAAGAAAATTCGGTTGGTTTGATTTTGTCAAGTACTTCTATCATAGATAATAATGTGATCTATCCTCCTCTTTCAAACACAGCAACGGCAGTATGTCCGCTCGCGGCACCCGGATGGAGAGCACGCAGTACCAGCAGCAGGCCATGTTCTACCCCCAATACCCACCCCCCGGCTGGTGCTACAACGGTGCCATGCCCCCGCCCGGCAGTACCATGATTCCCGAGCACGGGGATCAGCAGGAGCCCGAACCGCTGATGTCTTCGCACACGACTGACAGCTCCACGCGCTCTCGGTCCGTGGCGTCCTCTGGTTCCGGACGGTACCAACCAAACAGTTACAACCCGGGGTTCAATCCGCAGTTTTGCCCCCCCGGCGGACCGCAATTTGGGGGCCCACCTCCACCCCCCGGATACGCAGGACCGGACGATGTGCTCTACGATCGCTGGGGCCGACCGGTCATGGGCTACGGCTTCGCCCCCCACCCGCACGGAATGCCGGGTTTCCCGCCAGGAAGCAGCGCCGGTGGGCCGATGGACGAGTACAATGGTACTGCGGGCCGTCGACACTCGCAACCCGAACAGAATAAGGATCCGAAGTCTTCACCGAATCGGCCTGGAAACATGATCACGAGGTTTGTCGGAGGAATTTTCGGCGGGGGAAGCAGCAGCAAAAACAAAAAGTGAGAAGTCGAGGAGGAGGTGGTGAAACAGTTGCACCAGCTTCCAGGCGGTTGAGAAATTCGATAGCGCTTCCGACAACTCCAACTGCATCCCTAGAAGACGCTTTGAAGCAAATGATTTGATTTTTTCTACGTTTACACTTTACGTTTACTTTTCTTTAGAAGATGATTACACTTGACGCAATGGCAATGGACGACAGATCGACTCGAACATCATACGTGGATGCCGCCTCTGGTCGTACTGTGTAGACGTGCTTGAGTTGTCTGCATCAGCAACGCCCCAGGCGGCGTGTTAGGAAGATCAACCACATCCAAAATTTCGCTTTTCCAGTAGTACCTTACCTCTCGCCCTGAATTGACTTTTCAACGAGAGTGTGATGCGCTGCTGCTGATACGAATGGGTTGATTTTTTTGCAACATTTCCTTGGTTGATTCCTTACTTTTTAATGTACATCTTATTTGATACTTATTTTCACATTGACATACTCAGTTTGAGCAATTTCATAGACAAATGAACCTCGCCGAGGATAATTTTCCTTTCCGAATATCAGTAATTATTCTTACAATCAACGCAACGCGCTACTTACACCCGTGCGGACTTTCATCAAATTTACGAGTAGACTGGCAGGTAGGAGAAAGAAAAGGCTTGCGATCTCGGGATTAGTGAAACAAGCTGCTGAGCGACGACAGTAAACTTTCACAGGCGGACATGAAGGCCATTTGGTCGCAGGCGAAGATGAGTAACTTGCTTCTTCTTTCTTCTACCTAAAACAAAGTGCTCACACAATTCACGATGCAGCTGCTGATGAATGGTACAATTTTTTGGCCGATAGCCACATCAAAAGTCCTCTTCTCGTCTCGAAAGTAAAACTATGGAAAGACCCACGAAGTACGCGAGGCTTCGAGTAGAATACTCGATCGCAGTTTCACCAGAAGAAAAATTTTAGAACTTTTGAAATCAGGTTACTCACCTTGATTCCCGAGACGGGAGATTTGACGAGGTATCTACGCAGCTGTTCAAAAGACTGAGAGTCAGGACGGATTTTGTTTCATTCTCCTATTCATTCTGCTTGCCCTTCTGATGATACTGATTCGAGCCAATGCCTCCAACGGCCCAGCCTCTCGCAAAAATTTTACGTCTGCTAAACGCTTTTACTGAGCAAAATAAAAATGATCGTGGTTCCATCGACATCGTTTCTTCCCATCCTGTCAATTCTCATCTTTGCGCATGCAACCACCGGCTCTTTTGCTCAAGTCGTCCCGGAATCCCTCGCCGGGGTGGCGGCACCACCGAACGTTCCGTCCTTATCCGGAGATGCGCCGTTGCCTGCTCTCGGAAAAAACGGCAACAACGCGGCTGCGAATGTGGTGCACGTGCAGAAACCCCTGACCAAGTCCATTGCCGACCAAGTGACTGATCTGTTGAACCAGGTCGGACGACAGAAGGAGGCAAACGTAATTTCCAAACTTCTGAACCGGGGGCTAGGGCCCAGCGCCGGAGAAGAACTGCAGGACCCGACAAAACAACTTGCTTCGCCGGAAAATGGTGCTGAGACCGAGGAAGCTGCGCTTGCGAATCTCCTCCCGGGAACTTCTACAAAGAATCTCCCATCCCGCGACTCAGTCGGTAATCGCATCAAGCACTGGCAGCCGCCGGAGGAAGCAGCGCCGCTTGCGGTCGAGGGAGCGCTGGCCGCGATGCAGCGGAGGCAGTTGGAAAACGCGAAGGAAAAGGTCGACGCGGAGAAGAAGAAAGTTCGGGACCTACAGCTGAAGAAGGAAAAAAAAAGAATCGAGAAGGAGTCTCTGCAGCGAAAAGTCAAAGCGTTGGAGGAAGAATTGCAGCGGTTGACCGACCAGGAGAAGCGCGCGCAGAACACGCTGGAAATGCGGGAAAAACACGCCCAGGGGATCGAAAACCGAATGAAGGAATTGGAAGGGATTTTGAACGAATCACAACTCGCTTTCGATCCAACGGAAGAAACACGAGCGGAATCGATCGCGGAAAAGCTCGGGAATTCTATCCCGACTGAGACCACAAACACAACTAGCGCATCGTCGTCGGAAGATTCTGAGCTGTGATGGATTTTTTTTTTCAATTTTTTGACCGGATAAAAAAATAGTTGCCTAATAATCACGCTCACCTTGTTTCTGCTGATATCCATGGAAAACCATATCCCCTATCAAATCCACGACCTACAGTCGAAAATTGAACCAACCGAACCCAAAGATTATTTTCCACAATCTGAATCTTTCAAATATGGAATTTTGAAATCACGATGGAAAATCGATGGAAAATCGATTCAATGATGGAATTCTTGATCATTTATTCAAATCTTGAAATCCCATATGGAATGCATATATGATACATTTTCGAAGAATATTTTCAACAGAATCCAGAGAATATTTTCATCTCACAAATATCAATATCATATGGAATTTTGAATTCTCGATGGGAAATCGTTTCATCGATGGAATTCTTGATGATTTATCCAAATCTCGAAATCCCATATCGAATCCATGATCCATCATCGAAAATTCCATCAAGAGAATCCAAAAAAGAAATAATTTTCTGAATCTCTCTATCAAATATGATTGAATGTCGATCAAATATGGAATTTTGAAATCTTTTCTTTTCTTGTTTTTCTGTCATATCTGGATATGATTCAAATTGTCTCATAGGTTCGAGTATCTTATGTAAAAATGTCTGGGTCTGGAAGAATATAATTTGTGATATTGCATTTGGATTTCAAAAAAATCTGTATCGTAGGACATGCATCATAGACATCAGAAATCATACAAAACATACATGAGAAATGTCAGAATTTTCCAGACCCAGACATTTTTATAGACACATCTACCCTGGTAGAACCTTTTCGTGGAGTGACTGGAGGGAGTTTCCCCCCGTCCGTTTTTGTATATGGGCTGGCAGATCCCTAGAAGCTAATGCCTGGAGTTGTTGGTCTTCCACCCCTCTGAGTGGGGGCGGGGAAGGAGCCAACGCGGACGTAGTCCGCAGGTTTCGCGGGATAGTTTGCTGTGTGATGGATTCACATCGTTCTCGCGTCCTAATGAATGGTAGCTCATGTGCTCAGAGTGCACCGCAGTGCCATTCCGCCATTGAGGGCGCTTCCCAGCGGGGAAGGGTGATTTAGGAAGGTTGCGTTCTAATGAATGGTAGCTCATGTGCTCAGAGTGCACCGTAGTGCCATTCCGCCACTGAGGGCGTTTCCCAGCGGGGAAGGGTGATTTAGGAAGTTTTCGCTTTAATGGATGCTAGCTCATGTGCTCAGAGTGCACCGCAGTGCCATTCCGCCACTGAGGGCGCTTCCCAGCGGGGAAGATGGGTTTCAGGATGGTTTTGCGGTTTTTACAACTAGTAACTGGATTAGGAGGTCGAAGTACTAAGATGCCTACTCATGGATATTTCTGTTTTTCGAGCCCCTGGGAATATGGGCTGTTCTTTGTTTTCGCTCCTCATTAGGGCAGGATGTTTCATTCCGAGCTCTGGCCCTCAAGCTCGGGGTCCTAGATTGGCTTGCTGGACGAGTTTGTTTTTGTTCGCGCTTCTGGGGAATATGCGGCAGTGCTGGAGAGCAATTTGGATGCTGCTCAGGGTGCAAGGCGGGTTTTGCTCGCCCTTCGATATGTTGCGGGTTTTTCAACTTACTAGCTACTACTCCGAGTAAGGGCAGGAGGCTCGGAAGCCTCGTTTGGGAAGCCCTGTCGGGGCCAGATGCCTCGCTGTGCTGGTTTTTAGCTTGAGAGCAGCTACTCCCCTGCCGGGTCGCGTCTCTACTCCTTTTTACACCAGAGAAGCTTCGCTTCGTCCTCGGTCTCAATGGGTCGGTAGTATAGTGCTGCGCGGTGTTGTCAGCGAGTGTACAAAACCTCCAGCCGGGAGCGCATGGGTCGACAACTAGAGGCTTGGCACTTAGGGATGCGAGGTGGTGGGGCTCGCTGCAGTTCTATTGGCGATTGGTTTTACTAGGGTTGGCCCTGTTGACGGCGGTGAGGATACTTACTTTGTTTCGGATGCGCGTATAGCTCGCATTCCGTTGGGGGCGCGGAGCCAGTGTCTATTCTATCCTGCCTGTTGGCCGTTTCGATAGATTTATTTTAGGCTGGGGCCTGGATCATTTTACACATTGGAAGTTTTCCGTTCAGGGGCCCGTAGTGCTACCCTCTGCTTCGCTTTGTTGATACTGCGGTCTAGTGCATCTCTTTTCGCGGTGGAACTTCCCGGACCTGGGGCACTTCTGTTTTCGGAAGGCTGGCTAGATGCCTCACAGCGCTGGCACTTATCTCGGCGGCTGCCTTTTTCTTTTACTTTTTCGGATTGGCCTTACAGTCTCATCTGCACCACACCAGGGGAGCTCCGCTCTGTCCTCGGTCTCGCCTTGCTTTGGGAACAGGGGTCGTTTGGCACTGGCGGTACCCAATCCGTTACCCTTGCGAACTTGTTCCCTGGCTGGGGCTGGTGGTTTGGTGTCCCCTTCGTTCGCCCTCTGTTCCCATCGCGGGGCGGGGCCGAGGTTTTGTTTCGTGGATGATGGACCGCGCCAAAATTTGTCTGTGGCGCGGGCATTATTGTGGCGGGAAGGCCCAGCTGGGCTGGGGTTGAGTAGGGTGCGCTATTCGTGGCACCCTTGCGGGGTAGCTGGTCGTACTGGGGGTACGGAACTCGTCTTCGCGTAGACGTGCGTGGGGGTCTCCCGCTCGCTCGGGTCTAGTGGTTGAGAGGCCTACTAGAGGTTCTGGCCTCTTTTTTTTTTTTTTTTTTTTTTTTTTTTCTCGTGACAGGGTTAGGAGTCACGCCAGGCGCGTGCAACGCCTTTGCTTTTGGTTGCTCCCTCGCCTCTGAGTTTTGGAATTTCCTACGAGGATTTTCGGTTTTCTAGCAAGGTTTGCCTGGGTCGATTTGGATCGACAGCAGTATTTTTCAGCCGATATTCGGACTTCTTTCCTTGCCTTCCAAGCGGGATTGTTGCAGCCTCGCGAACGGATGGGCCTCGGCCGTAGGAGTAGGGCACTTGGCGATGCTCAGCGGCAGTGAGTTGCTCACAAGCGACGGCCTGCTCTTTGGTGTTCGGTTGGAGTTTGCCGTACCTGCAGCGGCTGGGTTTGTTTCATCGGGCCGCTTGCTATTTTCCCACCCAGACAGTGGCTGGGGGCACGTTGGAGGTGCGACGCTATTCTTAGACTTGGTTAACCGGTCGGGAAATTTTGGCTTGCTGCGTGCCCTAGGGAGGCTACTTCTTGGAAGTTTCGGATGGCCCGCTTGTCTTGTCGGGTCGGCTAGGCTAGAATAGCTACCGGGGGTGGTCGAGAAGGTTGTTTGTGTTTCCCTGGCGTTAGTCTGTTTAATCTGCTACTCTTGGATGATCGCATGGGATTTGAGTGCCACAGTGGGAAGCTAGCTTGGTGCTTGGCTGTTCTAGTCCGTCGCGTTAGCGCAGTGGTTTGTCACTTCTCGGGGGGAAGTTGCTGCTTCTGTTATGATGCGATGTGCTCTGCAGCTGACCACGCAACGCCTGAGCCTGATCGGGAATTCAGGCCGCCCGATTTGAACCTTGTTTAAGCTATTCGTCTCGCAATTCAATAGGCCCCGGGGTTGCCTAGCTCTCTCTCGCTCATCTTTTAGCCTATTTCGCTGTGTTCACGGTTATTGCCATCTGCTCTGCGACGTGGAATTTAGCCCGGGGGATTTTCCATGCTCCTCGACTTTGTGTTTGTCCTGAGAACATCGCTTGCGTTCTGCTCCGGTGGGAGCTTGGTTTTACTGGTGTAGGGTGCCGCCGCTCGGCTACCTCGCGGACGGTCCTCTGGCTCTGCTGGTCTTGTCCGTCCCCATGGTGGATAGTGCGATCCTTGTCAGGAGGTGCCGTCGGCTACATTTCGCAGTCAATATTCTCAGGCGCGTTTGTTGGCCTTGCTTCCCTAGAGGCGGAAATCGGATGTCCCTGGAGGGGGCTGCTAAGAGGCGGGGTCTCGGTGCTTATGATTGGGGGGCTGTAGCGCCAGCCTTGAGGCTGCACTGGAACAGGTTTTGACTACCCGGCGCGTGGCCTTTTCTTGCGTAAATTTTCTGGAAGGGAACTATAGGCGCCTTTTCCGTGTTTCTAAGCTTTTTCGGGGAGGCGGACTTCGGGTCAGCAGCGATGTCTCGTTGTCCCGGTTTAGGAGTTTCCCTTCAGTAGCTTCACAGGGGTTTTGGCCCGGATGGTCGCGTCAGTAGGTTATAGTGAGTGCTCGCAGGGGCGAATGCAAGTTGTGTAATGGAGTCGAGTTTTGGACTTTGGTCGCCGAGGCTTTTTGCGCCGTCTCTGGGATCCTGGCGGGCGTTGTTCGCCTATGTGGATATGTAGCGCATGCTACGGGTTTTGTTGTGGAGTTTTACACTGTCCCCCTGGGGACGATGGTTTCGCTAACGCTATAGGCTATGCTAGGCCGCCCGGCCGTGCCAGTCATGAGGACGGTGGATTTTGTTTTGCCTGGGGCGCGTGCTCCCTTTAGTATGGCCGCAGTACCCCGGGAACGGGTATCAGATTTTCCCCAGGTGGGGGCTCTGGTTTTGGGTCATTTGCCAGTAGCCATCGTTCGGGGGCAAGTGGCCATTCGCCTGGTTGATTGCTGGCAGGCGGCTTTAGGGTCCGTCTCAGGATGTTCTCTAGCTGAGTTGCGGGAGGAGGTAGGGTGCTCGTGCGGGTTTTGGGGGTACCACGTGGACAGAGGTTCCTCGCTTTCTTAGTCTGTAGCCAGTTAGGTCCTTCCCCAGGCCGGGAGGACCCGCCTCTTCGGTTCACCAGTCGGGAACCCGGAGTCCTAGTTCGCCTTTGATTCCGCGCTTCTTTTGGGATCATGTCCGCTTTCGCTCCCAGGTTTCTCTTTCTTTCTTTCAGATAGATCTCAACGTCCCGGGCCCCACCGGGCGGCGTTCGGAATTTTGGGAGAGCGGGCCCGGGCAGGGTTGGTTTTTGGAATTGCTTGCTGGCATGGGGGGGTGGTTGCTGCATTGGTTGGTTGCAGAGCATTGGTGTATTTGAGAGTGGCTCGCTAAATTCCGGCTGCGCCCGCTAGTGGGGTCTGCTGTTGTTGGGCGGGTCCGTGAGGGACCACTGTTCTGGACGTTGGGCAGGCACTGTGCTTTGTCTGCTTTGTTGGGCCCGCTTCGCCTTTGTCAGAGGGGGCACCTAGGGTCGCGTCTCGACGAGGATTGTTCCTCTGTGGCTGCTTTTCATCTTTCGCTACTGGACCACATGGAGTGTGGTAGTTACTGGTTGCTACTATGCAGCTTCGCCCTTTGCCTTATTTTCGATACAGGTGTGGAGCTCTTTTCCTGTTCCGCGGTGGTTTTGTGCCTCTGCATTTCTGCGTAGGTTGGTCTTGCGCGGCTGTTCGCCCGGCACCGGGCCGCGCCCTCCGTAGCGCCTGGGTCAATCGCTGTCAGATGGTCTGCTTGTGACTTTTGGAGTCCGACCTTGTTGTGCATTGCTGCGATGTTTCCTCGCCATTTCTCGCCGTCCTTGTGTCATCGCTATCTCTGTGTCGCGGGATTACTACCGGTTTTCTTCCGTGCCGCCGGGCAGTGATCGTTCGCGCGGGCAGTGCCTACTGCGTTTGGCTTTCGACTGTTATTGTCCATCCTCCCGCCGCTTGCCGCAATTCCGGCCCTCGGTCTTGTGCTAGTCTGCGCATCGCCATCAGTTTTCTCCGCCCGTGCCGGCGGGTTTTCCCGGTACGGGAGATGAGTGGCGTTTTTCTCTTGGCATTGAAGGACTTTCTCTTTCGCTTTTTGGGAGTGGCTTTTGGGCTTGTGTTGTATGTCTTGCCACCTCGCTTGGGTGGGGTGCTATCTGTTCCCCGGAGGTATCAATCCTTTCTACGTTTTGCGGCTCGCCACGGAGGGGCGGTGGATCGGCGCTTTCAATGCAATGCTCCTCTTGCGGGATTTTGGTCTTAGAGTGTATCTCGATTTGTGTCTATCTTGGTATCGATGGGCTTCCCCTCAGTGGTTTTCCGTGTCGGCTAGGGGCCGTGTCCGAATTTTGTGCCTTGCGGGCAGTTGTTTCATCAGGTCCAGGGCGCAGAACCTTTCGCGCGGGTTTTTGGAGTTTATCAAGAGGACTCTGCATGGGAGTTGGGTAGATCCCTTCTGGGAAATTGCCTCTTGATTGCTGCTGGAATGTGGGGGGTTCGAGTGCTTTCTGATGTTTCCCGGAGGTATCCTTTCTACATTTTGCGGCTCGCCACAGGGGGGGGGTGGACCGGCGCTTTCGATGCAGTATGTCTTGTGCGGGATTTTGGTCTTAGAGCCCATCGTGGTGCGTGTCTATCTTGGTGTCTATGCGTTTCCCCTCAGTGGTTTTCCGTGTCGGCTAGCGGCCGTGTCCGGGTTTTCTGCCTTGTGGGCATTTGTTTCATCCGGTCCAGGGCGTAGACCCTTTCGCGCGGGTTTTTTTGGAGTTTGTTAGTCAGCAGGACCCTAAGTGGGAGTAGGGTGGATCCCTTCTGGGGAAGTGCCTCGCTTTTTCGGGATGTAACAGCCACTGATCCTGGTTGACTTGGAGCTGCTACCGCTTCAAGCATTTTCCGGCAACTTCTGCGCTGCGTGCGCTCATTCTAGACCCGGTTACCCGGGGGCAGGGAAATAACGTGGTCTGCGTGCCCGTGGTTGCGAGTTTGGGTTGCAGCTGCGCTTGCTTTGCAGGCTGTGTTCAGTCTGCTCTCTGTCTTCCCCTTGGGGGCAAGTGGGGCTGGGGCTGGCGCTGTTCCCCCCATTCAACCACCGGTGGTGGGGTTCTGGGGGGTCTTGCCCTGGGGGCCAGGTGGTGGTGGAGTGGGCCGTTCCCCGCTACGGAAGCTGGGCACGGCCTGCTTGACCCAGCCCCAATAGGCGCGGTCCAACGGGCCGCTTGGGTGTGTGCTCTGGATAACACTCGGAAGGAACGCAATTAAAGACACATCTACCCTGGTAGAACCTTTTCGTGGAGTGACTGGAGGGAGTTTCCCCCCGTCCGTTTTTGTATATGGGCTGGCAGATCCCTAGAAGCTAATGCCTGGAGTTGTTGGTCTTCCACCCCTCTGAGTGGGGGCGGGGAAGGAGCCAACGCGGACGTAGTCCGCAGGTTTCGCGGGATAGTTTGCTGTGTGATGGATTCACATCGTTTTCCCCCCCTCCCACCCAAGTGGCCGCTCACGTCGTGCCGGTTCGTCCGGACAGACGTGTTGGTGGTGGAGTGGGCCGTTCCCCGCTACGGAAGCTGGGCACGGCCTGCTTGACCCAGCCCCAATAGGCGCGGTCCAACGGGCCGCTTGGGTGTGTGCTCTGGATAACACTCGGAAGGAACGCAACGAAATTTGATATCGAGATTGATTATTTCTCCGAGAAAAATTTTGAAATTTCGATGGGAAATCAATCGATTCATCGATGGGGGTTCTTGATATCAAATCTCGATTGAAAATCAATTCTTGATATCAAATCTCGATTTTTTTTTGATACATATCAATTATGAATAATCAGATCAAATGAGATAGAAACGATATTTTCTTTTCTTTCTTTCTTTCTTTCTTTCCATGCCCGGGCATGGCTTCAAATGTTCAAGGCCCTAAAAGTTCCGTTGCAATCCCAATTTCTTCTTTCTCGATTTGATCTCGCAATAAGACAACAGCTGAGCACGATATTTTCTTTCTTTCTTTCTGTTCGTGCCTGGGCTTGGCATCAAAGGATAACGATCTTATTTTCTGTGTGTGCCTGGCCTTGGGAAACGATATTTTTCCTGATGAGATTATATCTTAATTTTGGGATATTTTTCAATAGATTTTATTGCAAAGATAATAGAAATCGATCCGATATTCGAAGATTGATAATATCATGATTTTCCCGATCAAAATCCCGATAATAAATCCCAGATTTGAAAGAAAAGAGAAGAAAATAACAGAGATCCGATTTCTCGATATCGATATCATGATTTTCTCAGAAAAAAGATAGAAAATTCCATCATCATGATTTTCCATCCCGATCAGAATCCCGAAAATAAATGAAAAGAATAGAAAGAGAAATTAGATTTCTCGATATCATGATTTTCAATGAATATTCGATACCCATATATCAATCCCGATGGATCGATCCTGATCCTACCTTGTCTTCCTTCTATATCAATATCTTATTTTATCTCTTCCGAAAATAAATAAATTTTCGGATGCTTGATATTGATTGGATCTCATCCTAATTCTAAATTTCATGAAGAAATAGAGTCAATTCATCCCATTTGACAATTATGAAGATTTGAAATAATAAACCCGAAAAAATGAAGATTGCAACGATGAAAACACGAGTAATGAGTCTCTGGATTCGCATGTAATAATCGATTTTCCGCCGGTGATGTTTTCTCTTATCTTCTTCATTGATTGTCGTGTGGTCTGGGTCAATGCCAAGATCCACCGTTTTTTGTTTTGTGAATTTTTCTACCCTATCTTTCATGTCCTCAGCATGTTCTTTCATCAGATTCGAGTTTTCCATTGTGGAATGATAAATGTCGCGAAAAATGTTTGTGAATGAGTCCAGGTTCCAATTGGTGGGACACACAAATGATGGTTTTAGTTTTGAAGTTTTCGAATAGAATCTCAAAAATTCTCCGTGTCTCCTCCGTTGTCATGTTGTTCGTGATTTCGTTAAGAAGAAGAATGTCGAAATCTGAATTCCGGTTGTTGTCGTCGTTTTGGATTGATGAATTCGCATTGTTGTTTTCCATTTCGGAGTTCTTGAATGATTTCTCCCCCTCTGCAACAATTCTGGCCGCCTGCAGCAGTTGTTGTTCCGAATAGGACAATGCTTCTGCATCATCACCCGGCTCGACGCTGGGTGAACTTTTGTGATCGTTTTCATTTTCCTCTTCTCTAATTTCTTTTTCTCGATGAAAAAAGGCGCGCAAAACAGCATGCACGCGGTCCGCAGGGAGATTCTTCTTTATGTTGAGGTTATACTGCACCGAACCGCGCAGGATGACCGGCGTTTGCGGCAGCGCGCGGATGCGGTTGGCGCTCGTGTTCTTGTACAGAATTTCGCCCTGCTGTGGCAGAACCAGGCCGAGCAGTAAAAGCAGAAACGTCGTCTTCCCGCTCCCGGTGCGTCCCGTGACTAAAATCTTTTCTCCTCGGCGAATCTTCAACGAGAGGTTGTCCAAAGCGGGTCTTGATAGGTTGCTTCCAAAACCATCGGACGCCCTTCCTCCGGCCGCGTCCGTAGATGAGAATTCTCGCCCTGTGGTAATTTCTTGTTGGTAGCGCACCGTGACTTTCTTCAGCTGCACAAGAATGTCGCCTTCATGTGATGTTGTCAGATTTCCATCTGGAGGCAGCAAATCGAGGCCGCCGGCGGGCGAAAGTATTTTATCTTCGTCAAGTGACGAGCTCGATAGGCTATCTTGTTCTCCCTGTAGTTCCGCAAAAGCAGCGTCCCTCTTCGTAGTAGACATAACTTCAGACCTGCTCTTACTCCCTGCTCGTGCTTGGCTTGCTTCCTCCGTCAGTTGGCGCAATCGCTCCACACTGATCAATTGCGATTCCAGTTCCATTCCTTTTTGCGTTGAGTCGCGCAAAACTTCGATGCTTCCAATCACCGCCAGGGACAAGAGTGCGTACGTGCCATCGTTGACGTGCACAAAGTTTGTCACCCCGTTCTTCATCGCCAACAATTGCAACCCAGGGTACAAATGGACCACAACGTGACAGAGAAATTGCAAAACCGCAAACCTCGCGCCGAGCCACCACGCGCTGGCAATCGTGAGAAATTGCGCATTCCCGGCTTCCCGCAAGGCCTGAAAAGTTTCCGTTGCAAACTTGTCCGCGTAGTTGAAAGCACGCAGCACCACTGAGCCGCCGCGCTCGCACTCCGCGAATCCGTGAAAGACCTTTGCGAGAAATTGCAATCGGCGGACTTGCGCTTTCCGTCTGACCGTGCGGACGAGCGTGATTGCACTTCGAAATTGGACGACAAGGAGAGCGATTCCGATGAAAATCGCAACAAAAGCGACGATACTGGACGTTTGTGTGGCGGGAAAAAGGTCCTCTGAGCTTTCATCTACTACTTGCGCACCGTTTATCATTTTTCCTGGTGAATCCTCATCTTTTCCAATAAAAGTCTTTGGGAAAATGTTTCCCACATCGATTCCGGCCGCCCCCAGCAAACTCTCCGCGCCGCTCTTCGCTTTCCTCACCACTTTGCTCAGCACGTAGTGGTGCGCGAGAAACGCGCCTAAAACCAATACCGACAAAACGCACAGGAAAACGGGCATATATGGATTGCAAAAATGTCTGGGTCTGGAAGAATCCGAACTTGTGATGCTGCATTTGGATTCCAAAAAAAACTGCAATGCATGACCAGCAAAGGGAATGCAGTTTTCGCTACGCGCAGAGGGCATTTGTCATGCGGAATAGGAATCACGGAGCCCTCAAAAAGTCTGTGATGCTAGGGCATGCATCACAGACATCACGGCCCATGCAAAACGTGCATGACAAGTCTCAGAATCTTCCAGACCCAGACATTTTTACATTTGATAGGACAAGGAGGTACACCAAATCGGACATGGGGTTGTCGTCCAATTTGTCTACATCGTAAACATATGGATTGCAAATGTGTCTGGGTCTGGAAACTTGTAATGCTAAAAGTGAATGATAGACGCGCCGCAATACGCAGCTATGCATGACAAATCTAGTGGCTGCCATGTCTTACGTATTCCGCATGGCAAACTGCCTTTTCGCTTGACAGTTAAGAGGGCTCTTTCGTGCCTATGCAACGCAGATTCTCGAGTCATGCCAGACAAGCATGACAGACTTGCATTCTTCCAGACCCAGACATTTTTGCATTTGATAAAACAAAGTGGTTCAGAATCCGGCCACTCGACTGCCGGTCCCAGAAACGGTGCAAATCCGCCTGCACCAAACACTTGTGGAACAGGTTGTCACCAATCCTCACCGCTGCCTTGTTTCCACCGCGGAGTTGCTGCGTCTCCGCGATTGCGAAAAATACGATGCCGGTGAAGGTCAAGGCGATGAAAATTTTCGGGAGTTCGTCTTCCCTGAATCTTCCGAAGAGAAAGTGTAGTGCGTGCGTCTCTTTCTCCCGGCTGCCAACGTACGTGAGCAAGACGATCCCGAGCTCCGCCGCAACGACGCTGAGAAGCAGACTAAAGAAGAGCACAATTGTGGTGAGAAACCCAGCTTGACCGACGTACCAGTAGAGTGCGCGACTTGTGCTGTAAAGCTGGTCCACCGTGTTCTCGAAAACAGGTTTCTCATGCGTTAAATCGATGAAAGATTCCAACGATGATGTTGCACCGTGATCGGCGGTAATCGGAGAAGGTCGCGCTCCTGGCGATGTCGCGACGAGCGCAGTTGGTAATTCTTGATGTTCCTGTCGTGCAACAGCCGCAGAAATTGATGTTCTCCGGGGCCGCGTGCGCACCGTTCCTCTGTCGTCGAGTAGAAGCTCATGGGTGACGACGCGTGACAGAGGAGTCGAGTTCACCCAGTGCGTCCCTGGCGATATGAACACTACGGCACCACGATCCAGTCCCAAAAATGGCGACTCTGGATTTTGTGCCCCTGTTTGCTCTGGATCGGCGTCTGGGGAAGTTCTTCTTGATGTTTCGAGGTTCCAAGTAGAAGATGAAAACAGGTTCTGCAGAACTCTCTGCAAGGTGATTGAGTCGACGCTCGACAGCGGATTGTCTAGCAAGAGCAGGAATGGCCGACGTGCTCTTCGCCCGAGCTCATTTTCATTTCCAGGATCAACTTCAACTCTGTCCTGCTTACACAAAAAGGTGTAGTGGTACAGACACCGTGCGAGTTGCAACCTTTGGCGCTGTCCACCGGAGAGATTCCCAGCGTTGCCCCGCAGTTCCGTTTCCAGATCGAGAATTTCCTCCTTTAATTCACAAATCTGCAACACAAGGTCAACCGTTTCGTCATTAACCGGCAAACCGAAGACAACGTTTTCCGTGACCGTTCCGTCGAGCAAGTAGGGCTGCTGTGGTGCGTAGAGCACCACGCAGCTCGCTGTGACGAAGACGTCGGAGCCAGAAGCTGTGCTTTGCATGGATTTCAGAACAGGCGACTCTTCAGAGGATGCCGGGCAAGCGACGTACAGCTCCCGCATCAATGCAAACAGAAGCATGCTTTTCCCGCTGCCGGGCGGTCCATGGACTGCGCAAACATCCCCAAACTGGAGAAGTAGCCCGTCTCGTAAAAGAAGGTTGTGTTGATGATCCATCGTTTGATTTTGTTGCCACGCGAAACGCATCCCGCTTCTGATGCGGGCGACGCAGCCGGTGATCATGTGGGCCGTCGCGAAATTGGCGTCTGCTGTTGAAAAAGTTTCGCTCTCTGCTCCTGGAGACGACCGGCTTTTTCTGCCGGTGAGTTCACTTCCCTCGTCTTCCTCATCGTTTTGCGCCGCTTCTTCATGGTGCTCAATAGCTGCCATTTCGATAATTGGGACAACTGGCGTATTCTTCTGGCTGCTCAAATTGTAGCCCGACAAATTGCGTTCACCAAAACTAGTCGCAGGCACCTGCGGAACTGCGCGTTGCGTGTAAACCCAAAAGCTCATCATTCGGGCGTGCAAGAGCTGGAAAACCAAGCCGACGCGGATTCGAGACGCAAGGAAACCAAGAATGGAGACAAGTCGTTGGATCGAGCCGCGGAGAAGCACCAGCGACGCGACAGTGAGCGTTGGACCAGAGCTGCCGTTTGTATTGCCCGTTGATAAAACGTAAAACAGGGCCACCAGAAAGATGATTTCTGGGAAGATACGGAGGAGAACGTGCAGCAAAAGCTCCTGAAATCCACGAGCGAAGAACAGGTCCGTTTCGAGCCGGCGGGCCCGCAGAACTCGCTTTTCGGTGAAGAACCGGTCCCAGCGGAGAATGCGCAGGCCCCGAACGTGCTTTACAGCTTCTCCGACAAGATCCACCCGCAGGTCGCAGGCCCGAAGAAGTTCGCTCGATGTCTTTACGGCAGTCAGAATAATGCGAGCGCACAAGTAAAAAAACGCGACCGTTGCGCCCACCAAAAGTAGGAGCGCGAACAAAACGCCGTAAGACGCAAGAGCGCCCGTAGAAGATGAATCGTGCGGCTGCGGGACAGGCGGGTCTATGACTACCGTGTCACTGGCTCCGGCAGGGACTGTACTTCCAGAAGCACTACTCGACGTTGGCATTGCGGACACGGTGAGTTGCGAGTCCGCTGGTGATGGCGCAGTGCCTCCTTGTGAATGCTGCGCTTCTTGATGCACCTCGGTACTTGTTTCCGGTTTATTAGGGGGTGAAGTGTCTTTTAGATGCGCTGCGTCCTTCGCCTGCAGGGTGTGGAATGCGGCCGGTTGTATTGCAGCGTCCGCTATTCCGCCTCCACGATCAACAGCTGAGGAGTCAGGTGCTGTAGAGCCACGAAGATTTTTGTTACCCTCGTGAGCAGCGGCAGCGACAGCAACGTGCTCGGCCCCAGTTTGCCCCTCAGCGAAGTCTCCCTGTCTCGTCGATGCTTGCATTGCAAAGAAGACAAAAACGATCAGCAAGCGAACAGGTAACGCTGTCACGATGTAGGACGTGTCCATTATGCACTGGACGAGCAGCCGTGTGTTCCAGCGGGCTAGGTTGTAGATATTGACCTCTTCTGTGTTCTCTACCCAGTGCGTGTGCGCCGTCGGAGAGGAAGACGCGGCTCTTCGAGGCCTTCGCCGCTGCAGCAGGTCGTGTTCGTCCTCGAAGTTTGCGTTCGGAAGTGCCTCGCCGGCTTGTTTGTTGGTCGTTGGGATTTTCGTGCTCTTGGAGGTGGAAACATGACTGCTAGTACTGCCGTCTTCATCCTCCAGCACATTATCCTCCCGAAGATCTTCGTAGGTCGTCGGCAGCCGCATTGCAAGACTCGCGTCCCGCGCCGCAACACCTTCGCGACGGCCCTCCGGCGAGCCTAGGAGTAGCCAGGTGCGATACGACGGGCTGCTCTCGACCATCTCGACCTCTTGTTTTTCGGCTTTGCTGCTTTTGTTCTCGGGTGTGCTTGCTCCGGCCTCTGTTTCGAATCGTTCGCCTTCTTTGTGGAACCCGCCGATTCCTCGCTCGCGAGGGTGCTCCGCAGGGTCATCTGCAGTACCTATGGTCGTGGTCCCGTCTTCGAATCTTCGCTCATTTATTCCGCCGCCGAAGTCACTGTACCCGCGATCCTGGGCCCGGAAGACGAATAGGCTGTGCAGAAACAGGCCCCCAATGAGGGCGGATTTCATCTGCATAGCGAGGAACGCGGATTGGAACGACACGTGGACGCTCAGCGCCATGGCGAAGAGCGCAGCGGCTGTGTTCAGTGAGAAAAAGAGAAAATACGCCGCGGAGAGCTCTTGCAGCGATTCCTGTTGTTCAGCACCAGCCAGGTCCTCTGGTGTCCCTTTATTATTCGGTATAATTCCAGGAACACTTCTTCCGTGCAATGCGGTAGCTTGGCTCTGGATGTCGACGATCTGACTAGTGGTGTAGAGCACGAACGCAAACAAAAGGTCCCTGATGACGTGGAGGGAGTTCAGCTGCAGGATATTCGGCAAATACACCCGGATCAGGGAGCGTAACACCGCGGCCCGCTGGTCGTCGGTGGTCGTGTGTAGGAGTTGAGATTGCTCCGATCGCCGACTCAGCTCCTTCATCAAAAGGTCGGTGCAGTAGGCCTGTGTGTGATGATGATCTCCGTCTAATGAATGTGATTTTCTTGTTGTGCTTCTTCAACAAAATCAAAAACCGGAGCGAATGAAGATATCGATAGGCATGGCAATTGTTGAATAAATAACGAAAAAGGTAACAAGTACTTACCACGTCCGCAGGGGTTCCCGCCAGGCTCGGGATTGAATCTGACGACATTTCGACGCTGGGCGACGCATTTTCTTCCAGACATGGCGTCAACCAGTCGAACCACAAGTCGCTGCGGCGCTTGTCACGAAAGATGTTTCGCATTTTGATGAGCGAGTATCTGATTTCGAATTTGCCGATTGCCACTTGGATCCCTGCGGCTTCGTACGTTTACACGTGACGAAGTGGTTAACTAAGCTTCAATACATCGATGTCAAGGTAAGAACGGCAAAAACGAATTGTGGCGAATTGAGTGTCTTTGCGAGATGCAGCCACGAAAACGACAACGAAGGGATCAAAAGATGCGAATGTGGATTACGAAGACGATTCGCGACTTGAGTTTGGCACACCCCGAAACGAAATGACACCATCGACAGAACGATCGAAGTCGACGATCAAAGTCCACATGGCTTCTGAAAAAACGACTTTTTTTGCAGCCGCAGGCAACTGCTTGACTCCAACACAGTTCCGCACATTTTTGCGCGAGATGCTCCCGACCGTGTCTTTCATTCTGTCACCGCTCTTACGTTTTGTTTTGATTATCGAAAAAAGCTCACTACTGAATCTAGTATGCTTCCTTCTTCCGTAGTTCTACCAATTTCAGTTGCAGCATCTCCTGGCGACGAACTACTTTTTTTCGTATCCATGCCGGCACCCACCTCAGGATCGGCTTTTCTTGCTTTCTTCTTTGTCGGTCTATCTTTCGCACCGTCCACGACGAGGTCAGGTGATGGAGTGCTCTCCTGCCGCCCGCATTTCGCGGATGCGCAGTTTGCCTCGACAGTACTTGCGTCGGTTACCACTATTGGCGGAGGTTTCACTGCCGGCGGTGCTGTTGTTACGGCAGGTTTTTTCTGCTCTACTGCTGTCGCGGTCACTTGGGCGGGGGTGCTAGGTGGCTTCACGACTTTACCCGTTTTTGATGCAGGCTCATCTTGGAGAACCTGGTTGGTCTTTATCGAGAAAGACAGCGTTGTGGCAGTCTTTTTACCCCCGGCGATAGCTTCCTCTTCCGCTAAAGTCTGTTCCGGCACCTCCGTCTCGTCTTCAACGAGTGCTTGGCGGACAATGCGCTCGTCTATGGCCTTTTTCACGAGTCTCTTCGCCGGATCGACTTGTCCACTCTCCAGGTTCAGTTCCTGCGCCGACACTTTCTCCCGCGGCACCACTGGTGTTCCGGCAGCTGGGGTTGTGCTACTGCTGTCAACAGTGGCAGCTTCGGCACTCACAGCGGGCTTGCTTGGCCTTGTCTTCACCGGAGCAGTGTCCTTTCCTTGTTCCGCGGGCTCATTTATTTCGGTTTCCCCAGAACCGTCCTCCAGTGCGAAGTCCCTTCCCCTCTCGGGATAGCCGTCGCGCGCACCGAGATTCTTCCTGCGAAGGACCTCGATTATCGCGTCACCAGCGAACTGCTCTGGGTTGCGGCACAGAAAGGGGAGATTGTTCTCGACCGGGTTGGAATAGTGGATCTCCGCGAGGACGCTGGGGTACACGAACCAACAGCGGACACGGTGAATCTCTTCGACCATTCTGTCTAGCACGGTGGTGGGGATCGAGCGAAGATAGTCGACAAGTTCAGGCGTGACCTGGTAGTCGTTTTCGTTTAGGCATAGATTGCGCGACACAACATGCAACAAGTTTGAGTTTGGTTGCAAAAGTACAACCAGCAAGCATGGGCTGTACGCAAAAAAAACCACAAACAAGTACGATATTCGCCGGCCACTTGATGAGCATCTTTGAGTAGTCGATGAAATCTTCAAAGGGAAGCTCCCAGAAGTCCGAAAGTAGAACTGGAATGCAGTCTGCAAACAGCGCCTCGTACAGCCGCAGACTCCATGCAGATTTTCCCCGGGGAACGAAGCAGAACCTTTGGGGATAGAGTGCATAAGTTGGATTCTAGCTGTTTTCGTGTAGCAGCCGACGCTACAAATAAGTGCTGACAAAATAAAGACGAGTACGCCTGTGAATGAAACTGTGTAGAAACAACTGAATCTGATGAAAGCACAGTACTTGGAATCCCCCATCAAAAAGTGCATTTCGTGCAGCGAGGTGTAACCGACGTAGACGTCTTCTTTCTGCTCCAAATTTTCCATCACCCTCACGATTTCGTTTCGCACATCCGTTCCCCCCAGCGCCGGGTGCACGCCGCGACTGGGGTCGGTGCGGCCGAAAAACACCACGGTGTACTTTTTTTCCCCCACCGGCTTCGCTGCTGCGGTCAACGACGCAATTTCCTGGCGGTGCATGTACCCCGGGATCGCGATGTCCTTCCAGGAGGAGAACGGGGCTTTCGTGATGTGCGGGAAGTCGTTGTAGAGAGAGGTTTCCGGCGTCAAGAAAATCGACTCCGGAAAGACCTGTCGCCACGAGAAAAACACGTTGATCCCCATGCCGCTGCCGAAGGTGAAAAAGTGTTTTCGCTGGTTGTGCTTGAAGTAGGGCAGCTCGGTGACGAGCTGCCGGTAGGCTAGGTCGATTTCCGGGAGCTGGAGGAACCCGGACTCGAAAATGCAAATTGCATACCCCGGCACAAAGAAGTAGTCCGCCTCTTTTGGGTTTTTCGTCCTTAGTCTCGCGTGCTGCATCAACCAATCGTGGAAGTGCACCTCGGACGCCCACTGCCCCCGGCCGCAGAAGGACGCGGCTTGCGCGAGGTGGTGGAAGAGGGTGGGGATTTCGGTCACAGAATACACGTAGATCTTCAGCTGGGAGTTCTTTTTCGTTTTGTCCTGCTTGAAATACTTCGTCTGCGGGAGCAGGTCGAGCAGCTCTTTGCTCCGGTCGCACGGCGGGTTGGTTCTGTCGATTGGGCCGGTCAACGGGGGTGTTTCGCAAAGCCTGGAGCTGACCAGCGGGTTCTCCGGGCTGATAATATAGTCCTTCATGTTGTCGCTGGACCGCACGACCAGCTTCCCATTCGTGTGAAATCTCAACCCCTCCACCGCGGTTGTGAAAGACGTCGTGTAGGCATGCAACTGCTCGTTCGCGGCGGTCAAGAGTTCCGCGGACTGGGACACGAGGTTGTCAGAGATGACGCCTTCCGCGGTAGATGTTTCTGTTTTGCTGGATCTTTCATTTTCGCCAGTCGGGTCTCCGTTTTTCTCGTCTTCCGCTCGCACTGCCTGCAGTCCGCGCTCATACTTCCGTTCCAACAACTGTTGCCGCAATAATGTCACGTCTTGTCCGGAAAAGCCCCACTCACCCTTCTCGTTCAAGCTCGGATGACTGCCAGCGTAGAAAGCGTCGAATAGGCTGTAGTAGATAAAGGCGCTGTCCTATCCAAGAAAAAAACACCATCGCAATCACATTTAGGAGGTTTTGCATCAGAAATTTCTCTCGCATGACACATTTTTCTTGTATTGCAAAAACCCCAAGGGAGATCACCAATAACTCTTGACTGTGATGCATTTTTGCGCATAACAAGAAATTTTGTATTGCAAAAATGTGCAAAAGTGATTGTGATGGTGTTTTTTTCTTTAATATGTCCAAATCGTCCTCGAATTCCGTCAAATACTTAGTGTAGAAGAACAAAATCGTCGACACGCCAAACAAACAGGTGTTTGAAGCATGCGCCAGCACGTTCTGCATCGCTTCCAAACCCTGCTGCTGCGCTTCGCCGAGGATCTTCGTGAATAGCAAGTCCGTCACGACGGGAAGGTTCTTTGGGTAGGCCTCGGCGGCCAGTCTTGGCTTCTCCTCGCTCCACAAAACGGAGTCCGCGGGGAACGTGCCCTGTTCCACCGCTTCGGCGTTGACGTCCGAGCAGTCCGGTATGTTCCACACACGATTTAACTGCTCTTCCGAAGCTTTGAAGGCTTGGGAATCGTAGGAACGGACGACGGGGGCGAAGGCCCAGGCGAGTAACACGCGCACCATGATGAACATTCGTCGCTGGTTCATATGCATAGAGGTGTCAACATATGTTCTTAAAATTTGTAAGTACTCAGGCACGCGTACATGGCAGAAACCACACGAGAAATTGACGGGAGAATTTGCACTAAAATCAAGGACTAATGACCAAACTCACATTTGCTTCGTGTATCGCCATAATAACGAAAACCGATTACTGGAGCGAGTAGGCATCAAATCGAGCGAATGGCATCTTTAGCCACATGATAGATCGTGATCGCTTTTCTTGTCAGTAGGTCTTGGGCTTTCGGCTGCTCGAATAACTGTTACGTACACGAAGGTGGAGAGCGCCGGACCGAGTCCGAGTGGACTTCTTTTAGACGATCAGACCGACAGTTCCACGATATCGAAGAATGGTCCAAAAATGAAAGCAGGGCTGCAGCCGTTTTCTCGAACATCTACTTGTTTATTAGTTGTCGCCTGGGACAGCGTCACCATGCAACACCCCGAGTTATTGGTCAGATGATAGATAACGCACAGGAGAACTGCAAGCCCAGTGTTTCAGTTTTTAGATGCGCACGGCTTCCGGCGTTTGTTAGTACGCGCTGCGTCTCAAGAGTCACAAATACAGTTCTAGAGTGTGCTGCTGTAAGTTCTAAAGTCACAAACTCGGCTTGCTACGAAAGACGTCAAAGACTGTGTTAGTGCGGTTGCTGCAGAAAAAGATGCTGTCGCAATATCGAAGAGATATTGAAGGAAAACCGAAGGAAAAGCGTAGCTCTTGTGGCGCATTGAAAAGCTAGCAGGTTGATTGCTACAGATGTTTGTGTACACAGGATGGCCTGTAGTAGATCATAAAGATAAAGGATGGTCGGTACATAATAAGGATATTCACCAGTAGGGCTAGGGTATTTCTATTTCGTGGCTCAAGTTTCAATCTCTACCATGACTAGTTATAAGTCAGAAAACCCATTATTTAATGGTTTCCCGCAATAAAAACAAACAATAGAAACGAAAAACAAAAACAAATAATGGAAACGAAAAACGAAAACAAAGAATGGAAACGAAAAACGAAAACAAAGAATAGAAACGAAAAACGAAAGAATGAGAACAAAGAATGAAAACAAAGAATGAAAACAAAGAATGAAAACAAAGAATGAAAACAAAGAATGAAAACAAAAAACGAAAACAAAAAACGAAAACAACGAAGCGCAGCCAAAGTGACCAAGCTTCTAAGAGGCGAAACCTCCAAACGATGAGGCCTCGAAACGCCGAAGGAAGCCTCGAAGCAGCGAAGCCTCGAAGCAGCGAAGCCTCGAAGCCTCGAAGCAGCGAAGCCTCGAAGCAGCGAAGCCTCGAAGCAGCGAAGCCTCGAAGCAGCGAAGCCTCGAAGCAGCGAAGCCTCGAAGCAGCGAAGCCTCGAAGCAGCGAAGCCTCGAAGCAGCGAAGCCTCGAAGCAGCGAAGCCTCGAAGCAGCGAAGCCTCGAAGCAGCGAAGCCTCGAAGCAGCGAAGCCTCGAAGCAGCGAAGCCTCGAAGCAGCGAAGCCTCGAAGCAGCGAAGCCTCGAAGCAGCGAAGCCTCGAAGCAGCGAAGCCTCGAAGCAGCGAAGCCTCGAAGCAGCGAAGCCTCGAAGCAGCGAAGCCTCGAAGCAGCGAAGCCTCGAAGCAGCGAAGCCTCGAAGCAGCGAAGCCTCGAAGCAGCGAAGCCTCGAAGCAGCGAAGCCTCGAAGCAGCGAAGCCTCGAAGCAGCGAAGCCTCGAAGCAGCGAAGCCTCGAAGCAGCGAAGCCTCGAAGCAGCGAAGCCTCGAAGCAGCGAAGCCTCGAAGCAGCGAAGCCTCGAAGCAGCGAAGCCTCGAAGCAGCGAAGCCTCGAAGCAGCGAAGCCTCGAAGCAGCGAAGCCTCGAAGCAGCGAAGCCTCGAAGCAGCGAAGCCTCGAAGCAGCGAAGCCTCGAAGCAGCGAAGCCTCGAAGCAGCGAAGCCTCGAAGCAGCGAAGCCTCGAAGCAGCGAAGCCTCGAAGCAGCGAAGCCTCGAAGCAGCGAAGCCTCGAAGCAGCGAGGCCTCGAAGCAGCGAAACGTCGAAGCAGCGGAGCCTCGAAGCAGCGAAGCCTCGAAGCAGTGAAGCCTCGAAGCCTCGAAGCAGCGAGCCTCGAAGCCTCGAAGCAGCGAAGCCTCGAGGCCCCGAAGCAGCGAAGCCTCGAGGCCCCGAAGCAGCGAAGCCTCGAGGCCCCGAAGCAGCGAAGCCGCGAAGCCTCGAAGCCTCGAAGCAGCGGAGCCCCGAAGCAGCGGAGCCCCGAAGCAACGAAGCCCCGAAGCAGCGAAGCCCCGAAGCAGCGAATCCCCGAAGCAGCGAAGACCCGAAGCAGCGAAGCCTCGAGGCGGGGCAGCAACGTGCGAGACGAAACCGCGAAGCACGAGCCGGCGCCAGGTCGTGGCCAGAGGAAGCCTGCCAGGCCGGTGCCAGATCATGGCCAACCCGGTGCCAGATCACGGCCGAACAAAGCCCGCCAAGCCCGCCGGTGCCACACCATGGCCAAGCCGGTGCCAGATCATGGCCAGGCCGCCCGGTGCCAGGTCGTGGCCAAGCCGATGCCAGATCATGGCCAAGCCGGTGCCAGATCATGGCCAAAGCCTGCCAAGCCGATGCCAGATCAGGGCCGAGCCGGTGCCAGGTCGAGGCCAAGCCGGTGCCAGATCATGGCCAAAGCCTGTCGGGCCGGTGCCAGGTCGTGGGCGAGCCGGTGCCAGATCATGCCCAAGCCGGTGCCAGATGGATCGTGGCCAAGCCGGTGCCAGGTCGTGGCCAAGCCGGCGCCAGAGATATCATGGCCAGGCCAGCGCCTGATGAGAAAGATCAAAGCCAACCCGGCGCCAGATCATGGCCAGGCCGCCCGGTGCCAGGTCGCGGCAAGGCCGACACCAGACCATGGCCCAGCCGGTGCCAGATCATGGCCAGGCCCGTTCCAGGTCGTGGCCAGGCCGAAGCCGGCGCCAAGTCATGGCCAGGCCGAAGCCGGCGCCAGGTCATGGCCAGGCCGGGGCCAGATCATCTCATGACAAAGCCAAGCCGGTGCCAGATTATGGCCTAGCCGCGCCCGCCGGCGCCAGGTCGTGACCAAGCCGGTGCCAGATGAATCATGGCCAAGCCTGCCTGCCTGCCTGTGCCAGAGCATAGCCAAACCGGTGCGGAATCATGGCCATGCCTGCAAGTGCCAGGCCGCGGCCAAGCCGGTGCCAGCCAAATCATGGCCAAGGCGGTGCCAGGTCGTGGCCGCGCCGGTGCCAGGTCATGGGCATGACCGTGCCGGTGCCCGATCATGCCCAAGCCGGTGCCGGACCCTGGCCAAGCCGGTGTCGGGCCCTGGCCAAGCCGGTGCCCGACCATGCCCGCCCCCCGCCGCCAGATCGCCCCCCCGTCGGCGCCAGCATGCAAGATGACGGCAGCGGGCAACCTGCCCGCCGCGCCGGCCGGCGCCGGATCGTGCCAAAGCCGTTCTGGCGCTTTGAAAATCGCCGGCAGATGGGCCTGCCTGTGCTGAAGCGCCGACAACGATTCTCCACAGAGAGACGCTGAGCGCTACTATTCATCTAGCGGAATGCTATTAAGTCTGCAGGTTACTGAACACGGGAAGCGGGATAAGGCTAGTCTTGTTCTGTATAATAATCATAATTTTCGTAAGAAAGCAGAGCACGAACAAATGTCGCAGCTCAGATACTTAGTCCGGTCTCGCATCTTGTTTCTTACATCTCTAGAGGAGGTGATTGATAAACTACAGCAATGCAGGGCAAGGGATAGACTGACCGGATTGTTCTGCTTACTTTGTATCAAAGTGATACACAACGAAGCCCATGCCTCGCCGCTGGCCCCGTTGCGTGCCAGCCCCGCCCCCAAATCCCTGCCCGCGGCTGGCCCGGCTCAGGTCCTGGCTAGAAACCATCCACACGCTTTCCTCTTCGGTGTCGTCGTCCATGTTCCAGCCAGCCCCCGGCGCGAGCTCCTTCTCTGTCATCAAGAGAAAAGACGTCTCGCTGAGTTTCATCGCCTGGCCCGCGGTGATGAGCGCCGGAATACCCGCTTCCGCGTCCCCGTCACAGGTCACGAGCTGTTTGAGTGAAGTTTTGTTGTATGCATGGATCTTGTGATGTAAAATTCCATGGCCGCTGCTGCAGCATGAGAGAAATTTAAGTATTTTAGTGCGACCACTTTGTAGAGGGCTGAAGTAGGCGTATGCAAGTTATTTACCTCGAGGACTGCGCCCGTAATCGGATCGACGCGGACCTTTTTGTGATAGACATAGATCGAAGTTCCTCCGGCTTCGACCTTTTTACCGCAGTTCTGCAGCTCCAAACCCAATAAATTTTTATTTTTTTCCTCGACCACAGTGTTCACGACACTGCGCAAGTGTTGTATCAAATTCTTATCGACGGACGTCGATTTCTTTTCATACTTTCCACTATTGATGATTCCGATACTTTTCATCTGCGCATCGGTTCCGGAATAATAGCGAAAGTCGGTCGTCATCGCGGCGTGCAACACGGCGACGCCGCGGGTTATGGAAGAAAAGAAAACTGCTGCTCATTGCGATTTCCTGAATAAACGCTACAGAGAAAGATGTTTGCAAAACTGCAAAAGGAGAGAGAATCAGATGGCAATTCCTCGTGGGTGACACACGCAAGCCTTCCACACAAACGCACGGCAGCAAATGGCTTGCGGCAGACGCTTTCTTTCACATGGTACCGCTCTCGAGTGATGTTCCGTGGCTGCTCTTCGCCATCTTGGCCTTTTTTCTGGAACAAAGTCAGGTCTTCAGGGTTTGTAGTTCAAAAATACTGCTCAGTGCTTTCTTGTCGCTTGCAATCGAAAATCCACTTTGTTTCATAAATACAGGACTGCCAACATAACTAAAAAACTATGCCAAAAGACAGACTTACGCACACGTGGAACCGCTGAAAATCGAATGGAATGTTGGGTCGGCATTGCCTGCGTCGTGTTCTTCTTGATGCACGTTGGGTACGCTTTGTATATCCGTCGGATCGGGTTCGGCTGATTTCGCGCCATTGCGTTTTGACAAAACGGTTTTGCGCAGTCGAACACATTGGCCATATGTTTCTTCGGTCGGCCGTGCCCGAGCTTGGAGAACAAACCGCCACTCCTCGGGCCAGTTTGCTCTCCCGTGTCCTTCCCCCGAGCCCAACCTGCCAGGCGGATATTTTTTCAAGAAAAAAAACAGAAATGCGAAAAGTGGCACCAAAGTATACCGCTGCGAGCCCTGTTTTCGAGCACTCAGTGGAAGCGGGCCTGCATCAATCAGCTCAGTTTCATTTGTGTCTGGACATTTCATTTTCTGACTCGTCAGATACTTCTTCACTTCTACTTGCCATATCTTTCCCCCGAGCTCCAGGCGTCCGCTTGCTTACGGTCGGCAATTCGCTCAGCGCGATAGCCACTCTGGACGTTGTCTGCAGGCGATGTGATTGCCCTGTCTGAGTGAGGTGCCTTGAGACGCTTCCTCTCTCCACTGGCAGCGCCTGTAAGAGCGTTTGCTTTCGCAGGAGGAGCAACCACAGCGCTCGCTTGGAATCGACGACCAATCTGGTGTTGGCGTCAATCAAGTAGCAGCTCTAGAATTGACGGCGCCAGCTCCTGGCGTCGACGCGCCGTCGTTGCCCATTGTCATACCCGAAGCAAGTTGCTGGCCACTATTCCGCAAAACCCTAAACCCTAGGCGACGGCGGGGCCGGTCGGGTTGTGTAAGTACTTATTTCCGGGTATCGCTGCTGGTTCAGCTGGTGCGAAGTTTGCTTCTTCGAGTTCGAAGTGATACCGGACGCCATGACAAGCGCTGGCGGCTTGCCTCAGTCTCGCTTCGACGGCCGCATTGCGTGGCGGAAGAAGGGACCGCTGAGCGACCGATCATAGGTCACATTGTGATCCAGCACGGAACTGCAGCTCCTGAACGCCCGGCACCGCACCATCTTCCCTAAACCCTAAACCCAATGTGGAGCCACACGTTGTAGTAGACCTATTGTTCTCGAAAACTGTACTGGCAATTGCTTGAAACCGAAACTCGAAAGAAACAAAAATCTGATCTACAAGTGTGCTCGAATAAACTAATGCCTATCGATATGAAGAGACATCGCGAATGCAAATGAAAAGCACCAACGAGACTGCGAATCAGAATTCGAGATTGAAATTAGCAAGGTAAAGAACGGGTGTAATTCAATTGGAGACCTAGGATGAAGCATGTCGTGCACATAAGATGATCTTCAGTCTTTCGACATTATCCCTGAATAGAAGATCAATGTCGTTTTACTTCATGGAAACAGTCAGATCTCCGTCACGCTGTTGATCGATGCGACCGCCAGATGCCTAAGCCAAGCTGATAAAGATCTTCGAGTACGTGCCGTCCGTGTTGCTCGATCACATGGTCCAGAAACTGCTCCCTCGGAAACAAAAACACCAAGGTTGGATCTTCGGCTCTATCACATAAATGACCAAGGCTAGTCATGATCTTGTTTTTGAATCGTCCGCCTAACGTGATCAGTTGTGAGAAGATTGATATCAAGATCACTTCACACACACACACTGGCTGCCCTCCGCTTCGTCCTCTGCACGCACCGAAAATTTCCCGAAATGGTTTGTCCTCAAGGGCCAAGCAGAACAAATAGAGTGCATATGTATTTGCTGAAAAAGCATGAAAAATACCTTCTCTCAGCTTCAAGCGTCTTTGACGCCTTGCATCACTGTGAATAAAGGATAGTTGGTTGCGAATGGGAATGGGTAAAATATTTTTCTTGTATAAAACACGGCTTCAAGCTTTGATTGGACTGCGCGGCAATGCCAGGTCGTGGTAGGAAACAACGGCGGCTGATGTTTTTGTGACATCATTCGGCGGATGCTCGACAGAATCGCCAGTCGATATCGTCGTAGACTTCGTGAAAACGATAGACCTGTTTCCTTTCATCCGCCCAATCTCCACGCTCGTAGTCCCAGTCTGCCTCCTGTCCTATTTGCATTAATTCGCTACAAAAGTATTCCGCCCACCTCCTTGCCCGCCATCCGGATTTGTCACGCCATTCATGTAGCAATTGCGAGCCTTCTCGAAGCAGTTTGTTTACGTTTTGCGGGCACATTGCGGCGTTGATAGACTCCACGATCTGGCTCTCCTTTTCGTATTTGTCCCAGTTGCTGAGCTTTCTCCACGTCGGTAAAGCTTCGTCCAACCTCGGCACTCCAACGGCGCGATGCAATTTTGAACTACCGTAATCGTCGAGCCCAAGTTCAGCACAAGCGCTGCTGGTACAAAACTTCTTGTCGTAGTCCACATCGAGATCCTCTGCGTCGTGGAGCAGGGAGATTTGGTGGTCCCTGTCTTCGCACATTAGCCGCTGAAAAAAGAAAGAGTACTTGGCAGTTTGCTCATCGCGGAAACGGAAGCGCGTCACATGCTCGAATTTGCCATCGCGGTAGCCCTGTAGCCACTCGTTGATTTCTCGACGCGCAGCTTCATTTTGCGTGTCCATCAGATGTTCAATCGCGTTACGCACGCCACACAGCAGTCCCGGGACGCTAGAGTCGAAATCGTGCTTGAAGAAAGTTTGTCGCAAACTCGGAGCTACGACGTCGATCCTTTGTTCTAGGAAATCCGCGTATTTGTTCCACGTCATTGTCATGGCGTAGGCTCGAAACTTTTTGTGATCCCGAAGACTTCGCCCTTTGCAGAAAATGGTTTCGTGGAAGTCCCGTAGCTTTTGGCTTTTCGTTGCTGCAACTTCAGCATCGCTTTCGACCGGACGGAATATTTCCAAGAATGGTGAGTGTCTCCTCGGCGGCGACAGCCGGTCGTCATCACTAACACCACCGGGAGAAATCTCCAGAACGTCCGAAGTCCCAAAAAGCCAATTGTAAAATCCGCCGGTCGAGGACGAGCTAGGGACATGCATACCGATCCTCGTCTCAGATGTATAAATAACTTTCCTTCCCTTGCACACAAGCACAAGTGTTCTATCGGAACCAGAAGCTCCTTGCTCACGCTGGATCCCCGCCCCCGCACCGCCGGGCCTACGCCAGCGTCGGTACTCGTGAAGCAATTCGTTCATACGGTGCACGCTGCAGCGGTGAATCTGTGTCATGTCGGCACTGGGAGATACTACCACAAGCTGGAACAAACTCATTTTCGGGCCAATGTCCTCACTAGGCGAATAGCGCGCCGCGCATACTTGTTGGAAGATACGGTGTGTCGCGACGAGTGCCGCTTCGATGTGATGTGCACGATCGTCGCGCAGTGTAGATTGAAAATAGGGCTGCGGGTTCTGCAAAATCGCGCGAAGTCTAGTATCAGTGGCTCGGAGAAGGTCGGTTATAACTGGCGCTCTTTTGTTGACACTTTCGAAGTGGCGAGAATCCCCTTCGACGAAACCGACCTCATGGAGGGTGTAGATGACGTTCCCGCTACCTGCTTCTGGCCAGCTTTGATACACACCGATTTCCGGTCCCGTTGCGTTCACCGAGTCTCTGAGTTTCTTTGTCTCATAGTTGTGCTTTCTGCGCCGGAAGTCGGCGACATCAAACACCTGGTTACCCATTCTGAATGACAATGAGGACCAATACCAACAATATGCAACTCGAATATTATAAGAACTTGCCGTGCAGTCGTAGTGAGCAACAAAGGAATATTGCGCATGAAGGTCTGACGCAGTGCGGTTCCCGAACAAGGAATTTACATCAGAAGTGTAAAGATGAAAGCAAAGTCAGTGCTCGCCCTGTTCGTAGACGAGAAGTTCTTGTAGAACTGCGATGTTTCCTCGCACAGGGACTCCAACTTGTCCTCATCGTCATCAAATAGATTGCATTTGCAAAAATACCGAACACGAGGCACGGAAACGGGAATGCGTGCGATGATGCGGCGCACGCAACTTAATTATTGGGAAAAGTATGCATACTTGTACCCGACTCGGGATCTGCCGACGGGCTTTGCCCTCTGTCTCTATTATGTCTACAGTGAAATAGACACTACAATGTTGATCACATAATTAGCAGCTGTTCCTCGATACAATCGTGCAGTCCACGTTTCGATCTGAGCACATAAAAGTGCCTACGCAACACAGAAAAAATGTTGAATGAGCATTGTTCATTCGGTTTCGTCACGACGCAGTCACGATCTGCTGATAAGGTGGGTGTCAGCAGCAAAATGATAGATACATAAGTAGCCAAGAACTCTATGCGATCTGCTTTGTGCACCCTTCGGCTCACGCATTCCAAAAATGAGGTGTGAATAAAACCTCGCTGCAGCGGCATCTTCATAAAACACAAAGCATTTGAAGCGTAATTTACATTTCTCATTTACTAAGGAGCGTCCCTCATTGTTGGGGCGCCTCTACAATTTTCTCGTTACCTTTCGACCCGGGACACAAGGCTCTAGTATACCATGCGGATCAGGTATGGATGCAAAACTGGTGAAAGTTCGCATGCTACTCGGTGATACAGACCGCGCCATGCTACCACTCTCCGCCCAGCTGGCTTCCTCCGATCCCCAGTATGAAGGAGTGCATGCCGTGCTGTCTGTCTGGCTCGGCACGGCGTGCGAACGTCGCGAAGGAACCGGCGATGCGGGTGCCTCTTCCTCTTGCACCATTCCAAAGGGCGTCAATCTCGGCACCATAAAGCTATCGCCTGCTGCAGCGCTGGTTTTAGTATTGACAAGAGACGAGGACGATGCTGCCCTTGTTGCAGTATCATATCGATGAGAATTCCTGCAAGTCGCGGCTTCCGCCTTGCCACCTGAGGAAAGATCTTCATCGCTGCCAGTACTGCTATGGATTCCGACTCTACCCACGGCGGGCAAAGGTGCTTCTCCCAGTGGAAAATTGATTCCCGCTTGTCCGCCGGATGACGTGTTCACTTTAGTCTCGTCAAACTGCATTTCATCTTCGTCACCGGCTAGTACATCAACATCCGCGTCTTTCTTCGTCCAGAAGCAATAATGGCAATACGGACACGCTTCTCCACCTTTGCAGCCACCCTTGCGCTTTGCGTACTTGCAGGGGGCACTGCAGGTCACCGGGTGGCCGACGGAACCCCACGAGCCCGGCATTTCCATCAGGATCTCAAGCTGCCTCTCCTTGTGCCGGCCGCGTCCGTTCCTCGCACGTTGCCGACGTTTCGAAGTGGGTCGTTCAGGCGGGGATGGCGGCTCCGGGGGGACTTGTTCGACTGATGAACCTGGAGAAGACGCACTTCCCGCTTCGCTGATCCTTGCCAGAAGCGGCGTGGATAGAGCAGGTGGCAAGCCGGGAGTAGCCTCCGGGGAGGGTGTAAACGGTGTTGACTCCTCATGCGCACCAGCAGCGTTTTTCTGGTCGTCAGGCAATTTGGGCTGCGTTTGTGCAACGGTGTTCATAGTCTGGATTTTGCGAAGTTCGGCATCTAGGCCTGGAGGCACCAATCCTGGGGGAATCGGGCGGACATCAGTCGGTTGTTCACTGGGCGTGCCGCATGTGCTTTTGAATCCCACTCCGTCCGCGGCAGGGAAGTTGTGGAGAAAAAGAAAGGCTGTGATGGTGATTGATATGAAATCACACATCGGCGCCCCAGGGCGAAAAGCGGCCGAGATCATCTTTCTTGATGTGTGTTTGAAATTCAGAGATAGAAGTAGAAAACGTCGATAAAGCAAAATGACGTCATAACAAAAACGGAAGAATGGAATGAATGCAAACAAAGAGACCAAAATGGCGAAAGTTTGAATAATCTGTATCCAGTTCCGACAACCTCACGTAAGAATCTTCAACGTGCTCGTTTTGATTGCTACACTTAAGCGGAAACGAAGTAAAGGAATTCAATACGAAGCGAGGATTTGATGACAACTTCGTGCAGATAGTGATAGGGAAGGTGTCAGCGGGAAAAGGCGAATGCAGGGGTAATTGCAATTGAAGAGAAAAAGCAAAACGACTCTTGACAATGTATTGGAAATGCGGGCGTCGTTGCTTGATCTTCACAATAAAAAAGCGACGTACCAGGCACGTACTCAATGAGTCAGTCAAAAGTCAAAACCCGGATCCAGCAGAACATAAAACCTCAAGAACGGGATTGGCCTGTGAAAAACAAAAAAGAAGTTGTTTCTGAATCTCAGGAATACGCTTGATCTCAAGCACGGGTTGTGGAATGAGTATGAGGAGCTCTGAGCCATGTACGCTGATCGCAAATAATGTTTCGGATCCATGTTTTAGATCGTAGTAAGTTGCCAGAGATCGGTTTGATCTACTTTCTTTGTTGTCCTCGAGGGAAGGCGGGTGATCTCCTGTTCCAAGCATAAGAACAGGCTGTCGTTGGTACCTTCGTTCAATTCAAGGAAGCCTTTGACAGGTCATGCTCGTGCTCGATTTATTCTCCTTTGTACTGTTCCAAAAAAAGCTCCGTGTACTTTTTGCCATCTGTATCATACTTAGCAACCGCTGTACTTGTAAGGGCAACATGTGAGTTCACACTCACTCCTTCATGCACTTTGCACTGTGTAAATGTAAGTAAGTACTTTCAGTTCGATTCTAATTCTATGGATTTTCAATTTCAAGCGAGTAACCGAACCATTCGGTGTTGGACGCTGTTGGACGCCTCAGATTGCTAGATTGATTCCTTTTCTAGTACCAACACCCAAAAATTTTGCATTTTTGGTGCTAAAGATTGAGGTAAGATCGTTTTTGATACGGTATGAACTGCGGTGGTGGACGTAGCTCAACCTTTTTCAGGTTCTGGCGTTTTTTTCGAAAGCCTTCTGTCGTTCTCGTCGTCGAGCAGCGTTCTGCTGCCGTCGATGTTTTGCACTGACGCATCTTCCTCAGGTATGGAGGAACTCGGAGGAAACGAAACCTGTTGCGTTACACCGTTCGGATTCTGTTTCTGAATGATCGATCGAGCTGAGAATGCTGTGAAAAAGAAAGCAAAAGATTTCGAGTACAACTAGCTACGTATGCGAAAATTCAAACAAATCAGTACCTCTCTTGACGGCTCGTCGCCGTTGTTGAGGTTTATCGTGTTGCGGACGGCCTCTTGTGCACTGACGGTGAGAAAACGGAAAATGGTCCCATCGTCTGCTCCAGAGGCTCCTGCTCCGTTGCCTGCTCCGGGCTGCGCAAAGGCACTTGCAATACCGGTTCCCGTTGCGCTACTCGACCTACTGCCGCCCGCGATTTGTTTTCTCGCCGCGCCCGGCAGCGCGAAATCCACTCTACTATCGTTTGGGAAAGCTGGACTCTGCGCTTGCGCGTTCTGCTGGCCGATGCCGGTCCCGTGGATCAAGGAGTCGCGCAGGATCGCCACGCCGGTAGCGTCAAGCGGGGGCGCGGTGGAATTTCTGCTGGCCCGCCTGCTGGCCTGCGCGGCCTTGTGCTCCATCGCTCGATAAAGCAGCGTGATGTTTTCGGACATTCGCCCGTGGTCGCGTGGCTGAGAACCGCCCGCGGCCCCGGCAAGGCCTGCGGTAACCGCGTTAAACTGCACCACCATGGAGGGGGACGCGCCGACCGTGAAGAGACTGGGGCTGGGGCTGAGCAAACTGTGGATGCTGCTGCGGATGCTGTTCTTCTTGCTCCCCCCCGTTTGTTCCCATCCGTTTCCGGACCGTCGGGAACGGAAAGACTGGCCCCGGCCGTGGCCCGAAGTGTGCAACGACGTGGAATACTCGGACTCATCGTCGTTCGCGTCCGAGGAATCTTCCCGGGGATAGGAATAGCTTTTGTTTGCCGCAGGAGTCGTGGTCGCGTTCGCATTTTGGGCCTGGGATTGGCGGAAAAATTGCTCCAGCTTCTGGCTCGCGAGACTCCCCCGGAGCAGATCGTCGGTCGCTATTGCGCTGCGCCGCCCGTGCATCACCGCTGTCCGACCGCTCTGTGGGAAAGATTTATCGACAAGTTCATTAATATGCTGGGCCATCTGCTTTGCATCCACTAGAAATTGTCGGAAGAACATCGGGAAAAACAGGACAAGATCAACCCAAGACGAAAACGAATTGCAGAATCAATTAATATACTACTTTCTTCTCGACTTGGCAAGTGCGTTGGATCTGTTCTCCGATGGTCATCGGATTGATCCCATCCTGCAGCATCATGCGCTCAAAAACAGTATGACTCTGAAAGAGCCCACTGATGCGGGCACCAAGGATGGAGGCCAGCAAAATGGGAAATATCAAGTTTTCATCGACGGTCCTGCATGTTGATTTTGTATTTCAATCGCTTTTTCATGTTGACGACAAAACAAAAACCATGACAGAAAAAATGCGAATTTCATACAGCAGCTCGTCAAGCAAAAAAAAGAACAGAGGGAAAATACAGAATAGCCGACATCTCGCAGCTCAGGACCGTCGCTGTCAATGGTAGTCTGGTGAGTGCCGCAAAGAAGCTCGCCATGCCGAAAGCGACCGCTGTCTGCCCGGACTCGTAGCCCCACAAGGAAAATATTATGCCTCGAACAACGTACCTTGAGTTTTTTGAATGGATGCGACATAAAATCACAAACCGAAAATAGGATTTCTCCGTGAATTCACTCGCCCTTACGCACACAGAGGATGCCAACGTACTACCAAGACCAAAACTGATCCAAGCATGTTTCATACCCCATTGTTCCACCACAAATTATGATCGGCATGAGAATTCCGCCACTTCCTCCCGCCGAAAACGCGAGACTGCAGGCCAACAGCTTTCCGAAAAAGAACAACAAAGCGTAGCCGACTTCTGCTCCGTCCACTTCCCTCGGCTTTGCCGCGATCTGGTCAATCATTTTTGTTACCGAGTCGCTCCCCTGGCCCCAGACGCCCCGGTAGTCGGCCACGAGAAACACCAGCGCGCCGACGAGCGCTGCGGACACACCGGACGCCAAGCCGACGTACCTCTCGTGCACGTAGGGCTGTAGGTACCAGAAGGCCCGGAAGCGGATCACGGAGGTCGCGAAAAGCGGGAGGCAAATGCCCGCCAGGATGGAGGTGAAAAGCGCCGCGGGAAGGGTCCCCCACGGAATAGTGTTGTAGTCGTCCAAGTGGTTGGCCTCGATGGGGAAAAGGGGACCGGACATGGTAAGGCGCGTCAGGAGCGCGGAGCAGAGACTGGCGAGGAGAACCAGTGTCGTCACGATGCCCTCCTGCCGAATGTCCACGTATTCCTCAATCGCGAACACGATCCCGGACAGCGGGCTGTTGAACGCCGCGGAAAGCCCGCCGCAGCAGCCCAGCACCATACACAGCGGCACTTTCAGTTGCGGCAAGGGCGGCAGAAACTTACTGTTCGGGAAGTAGCTGTGCTCGATGTTGGTGTAGCTGTACACCGCGGACGCTACCGCCGCGGATAAATGAATCGTTGGGGCCTCGATCCCGAGTGGGTTGCCGCTGGCGACGTACAGGCTCGACAGGATCAAACGACAGATGCCCACGCGGAAGGGAATCGGGCTGCCAATGGCCAGGGAGATCTTGGTGGCAATGGTCCCCCCGCCGATGCACTCCGGGAAGAGAGTGCGGGTGATGTAGCCAACGACGCTGGAGCCCAAACCGGCGACCACGATCTTGTAGATGACGAAACCGGCGGTTTCGCTCGGGTCGACGAGATATGAAATGCAAATATGTCTGGGTCTGGAAACTTGTGATGCTAGTTTGTGCATTTTGGGCGCACTGCGTTACGCAGCCACGCATGACAAGTTTCTGAGCTCCTATGTGTTTCGCTTCCCGCATGACAAACTGCGTTTTTGCATGACAGGTAGGAGGCTGCTTTCCTGTTCATGCATGACAGATTCAAGAGTCATGCGAGACAAGCATGACAAACTTGCACTCTTCCAGACCCAGACATATTTGCACTTGATACGAGATTTCCGATGAAGTCCACCGCCTTGTCCCCGTAGAGGACCATCTTGTGAAAGAGCACATTCATCCCGCCAACCGCGCTGCCCAGGAAAATCACGAAGCTCAGGGTTACCGCAGTTTCGATGGCCAAGTCCTGAGATGAAGTTGCAATATGAAATTCATTGTGGAATAATCCGTGGGATTTGGAAAGCTTCTTCGACGGGTACGATAAACCGTTTTCATCTATAATTGACGCACGTTCTAATTCTACCTCGCGCAGTGACGGACCCATGAATTATTACCCTAGAGAAGAACCTGTAGCGACTTGCTCTCCTCTTCCCCATGAGAAGGGCCATCCTCCATGTTCAGCGAGTCCTCGGCTTCATCGTTGTCTATGCCGGCCGCCCGAAGAGCGCCCTGGAGTGCCACCCGCGTCTCTGCCCCAGCGGTCGCGGTGATTTGCCGGGGGACGTTCTCGCTTGACCGCCGGGCCGACACCTGCAGAAAATTGCTACCAGCACCACCCGAGGTGCCGTTCGGGGTTGAGGTGCCGCCGCTGTCTGCCGTCATGCCGGACCCTGGCGTAGGTTGAGCTCTTCCCTTTGATGGCCCTCTGCTGCTTAACAAGGTGAGCTACCGCATGTTGATCAATGGGCTGCAGCGCTATGAGGCACTATCTCGCTCATCGCGCAAAGCCTGTGACCCCGTTCAGACTGCGAACGGAGTTCTGTCTGGACTTTCGAGAAGATACTTTTTTGCAGAGAATAGTTGCACGTGCACTCCACGGTCACACTGAACTCGTTTCTTCACGCATGCCGATACTCAGATCAGATTGTCGGTCCTCGTCTTTTCTAAGCGATTATTGGTGCTCTCGTTTTCTTGTCATGATCGCTCAAGGAGAATTTTCTAGACCAGAGGTTATCATCCTCGAGCCTGCGTAAGTAAGTACTTTTCTTGCGCAGGGGAAACGAAACATCCGCCCTACAGGCTTTCTTGGATGCACCAAATTGGCCAAGCCAGCTTACGCACCCCATGGTGACTCTGATGATTTTCTCAATTTGCTTGCCTGCGTCGACGAAGTACAAGTAGTCCCTCCATGTATAGCACAATGTCCATAACTTCTGTTTATCTATCAATCACTGATTGACCTGCTTTCCACATTTCCGATGCAGAAGCCAGTCGTCAACTTCTGCGAGCCTTTGGAGTTCCAGCTTGTGGAATTTTTTCCACAAGTCCAAAGTGGGCGAGCTGCACCCGTGTGAGAAGCAGTAAGCCTGGAACAGATCCAGCCAAGCGTACAGCAAGTCTTCCTCGACCAGCTCTTTTTCCCTGTACTGCTGCCGCGTCGCAGCATAAGCGTCAACCATCGCTTTCTGGACGTCGTCGGAGAGCTCAAAGACCGGCGAGGCGTCTGTGAAAAATTTCTTTGGGTAAGCGGAGCATGATACACACAACAAATTCAGAATTGCCGCAAAGATTTTTTTGTCTGTAGTCGAAATCTGAAAAAAAGATCTATCCAAAGAACTTCGGATCATGGTGATTGGCCCGACATCTAGCTTCAGCAATGAAACTAAAATACCTGCTGAATTTTGCTTCTTCTCCCTTGGTTCGGTTTGTATTCTGTTCACCTCGTGGAAGTAGAAGCGCAGCTGATCTTATCAAAGAAAAAAAGTTCGTCACGATCACTCATGCGCATTCTTGCAATACAAAAACAAAATTGTTTGTCATGCGTAAAAATGCATCACAGCCAAACTTCATTAGGGATTTCCCTAGTGTTTCTGCAATACAAGGAAAGTTTGTGATGCTGAGAAAATTTGTAATGCAAAACCTGCAAGTTAGTGACTGTGGCAAACTTTTTTCTCTCCATAGATCTTCGATCTTCTGCGCAGATGATGAAGATGTCGATCCAATTATTTCCATCTTCTTCTCCTCTTCACCAGAAAGTTCCATGTCTGAAGGTGTTTCGTGAGCAGTTACTGCCGCGCTACTCACTGGCGGGATAAGCACCGCCTTGCCCATGGCCAAGCAGCTTTTCGACCCGGGGTTTTTCACCCCCGAAAGAAATGCCGAGCGGGAGTCTTTGGAGAACACAATTCCCTGGGCCTCCGATGCAAACTCCAACTCGTAAAACCCAAAGAAGATCGGGACTTTCTGCGTCCGCAACACCTTCGTCAGCACCGCGGCATTCACGACGGCTTCGTCTTTGAGTTGCCCGGACTGCAGTTCCGTCTCGTCCACGACGAGCACCGAGCCGGCGGCGAGCTCGAGGAGTCCCGTCTTCATTTCGTCCGTCTCGGGGTCCTTGTGGCCGCGGAAGGGCGCGCCGTTTAACCCATCGAGACTCGCGTCCAGGTGATACATATCAAATGTAAAAATGTCTGGGTCTGGAAGAATGGAAGGCGTGTCATGCTTGTCTGGCATGACCCATGATGCTTGTAATGTATGATCCAGCATCACAGATTTTTGGAAAGCTTCCTGATGCCATTTCCGCATGACAAATGCCCTCCTCGCGTAGCACAAATGTGGCTCCTCTTGCTGGTCATGCAATACAGATTTTTTTAGATTCCAAAGTTAGCATCACAAGTTCCAATCTTCCAGACCCAGACACTTTTACATTTGATAATACACGTACGGGTGCACCCTGCGCAGGGTGGTGGTGATGTTTTTGACGGAACCCGGAAGCGCGGAGAGTGCGGACGCAGTGTCGGAGGTGGTGCCATCATCTTCCTCAGCCGCGAGCACGAAGTTCATCGGCGTCATGCCCAGCGGCGACTCCTCCGTTTGCTGCTTGCTCTTCGTGGAGCACAAGGCCATCAACAGGTACTCACTGAACAACCTGCCGCTTTTTCGCATGATCGTTGAGGAGGAGCTTGAAGAACTGCTGCTAGTAGTATGTACGATATTATCGCCGATGTACTTCAACGCCGCTTCGCGCAAAGGTGCCAATCGTTCCTCGACCGATTTCTTGTCCACACTACCACTCCTCATCGATTGAAAGTGCCGACCGATAAAATCTATCGGCAATCGCTGGTTCTTGTGAATGACCTTCAGCACGTGCAGCCTGGGTTTGCTTCCAGCTAGCGAAACGACCGCGACAACGTCGACGACGTCATGGATGGCAACGCCGGCCTCCTCTTCTTGGGAGTCAGCGAAAATGAGCTCAACGCACTCTTCTCGACGAGACGCGTGCAGCTGCTCCTGTTTTGTTGGGGTGGTTTTGATGTACCGTGCTGGCATTGACTTGATTTCGTTGTTTTTCTTCACTAAACAGCAAAAAGTACTCGCAGATGCAACAAGAATACCGGTTGTACAAAAATTTTACGTTGTTCACCACAAAAAAAAATCACTGTGTTTACCTCATTTTCCGCGCCCACGTCCTGCCCCAGCAAACCCCCCTCCACTGGGCTATCTTCCCGCGTTCGTTTGTGCTTGGATTGCTGCAACCCTGCCTCGACCCACCGGCTTTCGTATGGGACGGGAATGGCGTCACATGTTGTGCGGTCCCAGTAGTATTCTTGTTCTTCCATGCGGGGGTCTTGCACCAGCTCCACACTGCCCGTAAAATTCGCCTGGACGTTCAGCTCAGGGGTCACCATTTCATCTCGGTACTTGAACAGCGTGAAGCCTGTGCGGCTCTCGTTCGACCGGAAACCGTTGAAAATTTCCGCCTCGCTGCCCTTGTTGATGACAAACCCCCGGTAGCGTACCAGCTGGCCATCGCGCGAGTGCTGAAAAGAGAAGATCGGCAGGTATCAAACGGAAAAATCCCCCCTCCCCATATCGAAATGGAAATCTGTGATGCAGGATTTGAGGCACCAAATCGACTTGTCATGCTAGAAGGCCAAGAGCCGCAGTCGTGGTCCCTTTTGCAGGCAATTTGTCATGCTGTTTCCCACTCTCAGCTGCCTCCTATCATTCTGAAGATGCAAGGCTCCCCCACGCCACCCAGCACTACAGTCCGCATCTTTTCCCGTGTAGCATGACAAAGCTGATTTGTGACAACAAATCTGCATCACAGATTTCCGTTTCGATATGGGGAGGGGGGATTTTTCCTCACAATAGCAGGAGGTCGAGCCTCTCCCGGTGTCCGGGAACGACTAGCTCCGGCGTGTCGGTGGTCGTCAGCTCGATGGATTCTGGGGGTCGAGACAGACAAAGGTTCTTTGAAGAACATTTGATTCCGACAGGAATGAACAATTGTAAGTGCTGTGTGCTTGTAGAACTTTGTTGACAACAAGAATGCTTGATAGGGACATGAACAAATGATCACTCGTGGCTCGTGCAGCGAGAGCGACCGACACAAAATAAACAAGCAAGCTACGAATAGATGTTTACTAAAACAAACTTACCCCACTTCCCTTCTTTCAAAAACGCTTCTTTGGCCGCATCCGTCTCGAGCAATGCGTACTGCTTTTCGAAGTCCGCGTAGAGCGCTTTGAGCAATCCGCAGGTTGGCCCGCCTCCCACGATCTCCTCGCAGAGCGGCGGAGGGAGAGAAGATGGAGGCTTGGTGTCAAGTGTGGTGGCGGTTTGCGCTTCTTCCGTTGTCTTCAGCCGCTTCGCGGAAGACTCACTTTCGTCGACCATACCCATCTTAACCACTGTAAAAGTAAATGGCACGATTGATGTTTTTAAAAGCGGGTCGCAAGAAGTAATTGGTGCAATAAAATCTCAAACACTAGTAGAAAAGCAGCGAATACGTAATTGTTGGATTTCAAGTTGTTCAGATGTGTTGACAACCTGAAAAATGCGACAAAGAGTGAGATCGCCTGTAATTCGTGCTTAGCTTTTGCTGAACTGGAAGCGGAAGTAGAACTTTTCGTCGAAAGGAGACAAAATAAAGGCCAAATCGGTTTTTTGAAGCCGTTTCCACCTTTGCGCATCAACATCATCTGTAGTTCCAAATCCGCATAGATTTTCACACATTAGCGCAACGATGACGATGAGCAGCACCAAAATTCATATATTTGAACAGTGACTAGACCCACATCGAAGTATGTGTCAGCTACACCGGAGTAGCCGTATCAAGCTCGAAGACGAGAAAATGAATCCATTGAGAACTACTAGAGAACGCAGCTGCTGCGACACGCGCAGCCCACGTAGCAAAATAAGACAGTTTTTCTCTTGGGTTGAAAACGCTTTCTTAGTCATGCATTTGGCAAGCGTCAGAATTGTTGTTGAAAGTTTTCTTTTTGCAAACGACAAATGAGAGTAGAGCTCGAAACGTTAAGTGACGGAAGGTAGGTTCGTTTTTCAGACTATATCTACAAAAAGTATTCATTTCTAGCTCTGCTTAAGCGAGTGTAGAAGAAAAGAGCCTTTGATAAAGCAAAAACTTTCGTATGGCTCATCTGGTGCAGAGTGTCCTCATTTCCTAGAAGAAGTGACGACCCAGGAGAGATCGATCTCTGCTGGAATCGTCATAACTTAGTGGCTTCGTCCCGCAAGTTCTGTTCATTCTGTCCCAGGATACATTTGAAGAAAGGGAATGCGAGATCATTGCTAACAAGTGACGGACCGTCCCTGTTCTAGTCTTTTCGCTCATTTGTTGTTTGTCGTTGTCCTCCCGCATTCGCACTGCAGGATGACTTTCTGATTCATATCGTTATCGCATTTTTGTCTCACATCGGTAGTCCCACCGTTCGCATTTTTCTTGCACCACCGGAGCGCTGCCGATTTGTCCGCGCCTGCTGCGCTTCGGTCGTACGCACCCGTGCCGAGAAGGCAGCTTCCTTCATGACGAAATCGGTTCCGCAGTACTGCCAGGGCTCCAAAACCCCGTACTGCGGGGTTTCCACCCGTAACGGACTATTGGACAAGACGTGGCCCTGGCGGAAGTCACTCAGCAGGCAGCTCCGCCCACTGTAGGGGCAAACCTTCACATTTTCGCCGATGTTGTAGGGACTGCGCTTCACGCGCGGCTCGTTGACGGGCGCCAACCGGGGGCGCAGAACTGCATAGTCCTCGAATTCCCGTTGCTGGAGTAATCTCTGTTTGGTCCGCGGGTCCGGGACGAACTGCGGTGAAAACAGTTCCTGCTCCAGCATGCCCGCTTGCGCTTTCGCCCCAGGAACGTTCGCCAGCACGTTCGGGTGAACGTCGCAGAGCTTGATGCGCGGTCGCAGTGGGGACGGTCCGTCGATCTGGTCTTTCGCGTACAGGAGAGACAGAGTCGTGTTGGGACTCAATGTGCCGACGTCAACAACCACTGCACGGTGCTGTGAATGTAGATCATGAGGATAACCTTTTTCTGTTTACGTTCGATATCGGATCATGAAAAAAAATATCGTGTTCAAATAGCAAAGCAGAATAAATAAAAGTTTATGTTGATAAGAAAACACCCCTATACTGAACAGAACAAAATACCCATCGCACCGCCGGCACTGCGTCACTCGCAAGACTTCCCACTCGTGGTCCTTTGGCGAGTACCACGTCCACCGTGTCGCCCGGCAAATACTGCCAATCTTCCAGCATGCGCGTCCCCTCCGATCGGTCCGATTGGACGAAGCTGAAGACAGGCAAGCCTGGCCGAACGGAATGGAAGCGGAACCGGTAGGCGGACTGTAGGTCAATGGACCCCAACGCCTGCAACCTGTACCACCCGCGTTTGTACAAACTCTCGAACACCCGACCGATGGACGAAGAAATGCGTTTTCCGGTTTTTTTGTTCTTCCCACCATAGCAAACACTGTCGAAGAGAATCAGGTTCTTGATCTGCATCTCGACATTCGCGGGTCGGGCGACGTCCAGCTGAGCGAGCTCCGCAGCGGTGCGGTTGTCATTTCCACTAGCAGGCGTAATAGTTGTACTACTAGCAGCTGCACCGGCTGCGGCGCCCTGATGTTGATCCCCACCGCCCGCGAGGTTCGTGTTACTCGGCCCGGCACCAAAGAGTGCCTGCTGCTGCTGCTGTCCCGGGGCGCGCACGGCTAGGTTTTCCAGCAAGGGCGCCAAGCCGTAGATCGCGATGTCCTGAATGTTTTTTCCCTGCGTGGCCGTCATGAAGCCCGCGCCGCGCTGGTATCCGTGGAATCCGAAGGAAACGTGGCGGAACTTCCAGCTTTTCCCCATATTTGGCGGACCGATCCACGTTTTCTCCCAGCCCTGCCAGGCGTCGATGTTTTGCAAATCACGGACCACCGCGGTGCCGTCGTCCCCCGGACCCTGCAGCTCGTCGTTGAGCATTTTGTACACGAAGTGCAGCCGGCGGCCGAACATCTTGTAGTAGGCCGAGGCCCACAGCTGGCGGGCCACGCACTCCCGCCACTTCATCTGGAACGCGATTTTCTGCGTCTTCCCCTCGTACTGCCGGTAGATCAGCACCGGGTCCACACTCTGCCGGAAGGACTCCTGGTTTGCGGTAGTACTACCGTCTTTGTAGAAATCCCGCGCCCAGCGCTTGTAGCTCATCTCAGCCGACGTGGAGGCTACAAAGTGCGCCCGCGGGGTTCCGTTGCCGGGAGGGGAAGAGTCTTCTTCCTCGATATTAGCGGAGGAGGATTTCTGGTAGCCCTCCTCGCCGTTCATCCACGAACTGTAGTCATTGAACTCGCACACCTCGTGCGGATTGTTCACGTTCATGCACCGCAAACACCCCCGCAGCGTCCAGTACTCCGGGTCCTGGTCGCTCGCACAGTCCTCGCTCAGCTTCCCGGACTTTTCGGGAAACTTCGACAGCATCTGCGCAAAATTGACCCGGTCGAATTGCTCGGTGAAAGGCGAGACCTGCATGCAGATGTTCTTATTGATCGTTGCCTTCTGCGCCACGAAGTTCGGGTAATCCAGGTACACGGGGTGGCGGACTAAATGCATGTCCTTCCACCCGATGGAACTAATGGTGTCGTACCAGACCCCCTTCGCCCCGCTGGCTTCGTACATGGACCAGCGGGCGGTTCTGGGCAGCAGGAACCGCTGCCCGTGCCGGCAGGTTTTCCTTTTCGTTTTGGATTGTAAGTACACAGCCAGCCGCTGGTAGCACGGGCCCATCACAGTGCCAAAGTCGCAATTGCCGACCGTCGGACGCCACACCAGGCACATGTCGCCCGACCGGAGCGTGTAGCTGCCCCCCAGCTTTTCCAACTCGCGCTCGTGCATGGGGATCAGCGCATCAACCGACTTCCGCAAATCTTCCGACTCCACGTTGGGAGCCTGGAAAATCCGCTGCAGCTCCTGCGGAATGCGGTCGAAGTAGCCAACATCGTCGCTCTGCAGGTACTCGCCACCGCGAAGTCGCGCCTCGGTGGGGAAAAGGTCCTCTGCGATCACCGCCTCCGGAAGCGCGTCGTTTGTGGACACCTGCGGTAAGAGGAACACACTAGGTTGTAGTTCTTCGCCGCTTTCGGGGGAAGACGCGAGTGGAGTCGCGGTAGTGTCGCTTGCTCCGTCGCCCACGACCGGGCTCGCGGCTGCGCTACTTTCCGTGCGTGGGGAAGGGGAGAAGTGATCCCTTGGGCTGGCCCACGCTGTCGTTTTTCTTCGCTTCGATTCAGTGCCAGGCAAGGTCGCTTTTCTCGTGGCGGAAGAAAGCTGAGGCAAGATTAGGGAAGCAAGAAATGCGGGAAAGACGAGGCACGGGAATGTCGGCATCTTCTTAATTAGCGCTCTATTGATTCTACAACAGACACCCGGCACGTTATGGCCCTGCAAGACCTGTTTTTGAAAGCGAGTATTTTTTTTGGACAAGAATAAATCCGTGATCGATCAAGAAGCTAAATATCCTGTCGCCCGTACGGACTTGTGTGGGAAAGTAGAACCCTTGTATCGATCCAGCTTATTTTAGAAACCAGAGTGTCGGTAGGCTATACTTCGAAATGCAGACGCACTCCGCCTCAAGACTCAAACGGTGCAGTAAATGCATTGATTTGAAGAAAGATGGGAGTATCGAACTATCCGGCTAGATCGATCAAGCCTCGTAAAGGCAGAGGGCCATGGTCTTTAGACCAACAAATGGAAGATCAGAAAAACGCTAGATACGCGCGCGCACAGACTTGTTCGAACTGAACCTTTACTCTCAACTCTACAGACTGACTCACTCAATTTGCGGTGAACACGCTAACATCAGAGCTCAGACATGGGATCAAAATACTCTTATCAGCACACCATCGCGGCTCTGTGCAGAAAATTCCGGAATAACACATGCTCTGACGACGCTCTCGTGATGCCTCAAATTACTATACCAACAAAAAAAGCTAGAACCTGGCCACACGCACAAGTTGAAAAAAGGCAGCACGCCGTTGTAAGAGCACACGCTCGACTCGAGCAACCGTCGTAAGAGCTGGACCGAGTAAGCAGTCCAAAAATTCTTCTCAATCTCTTCTATCCTCTAGCCAAAGAACTCAACGGCAAAACAAACAAATCAGTTCGGTTTTCCTTTTGCGACTCCGATGTGAAAATCACGGTAACAAAATGGGTTCTTCATGATGCCAGCGACAGGCACGCCGCAAAACTGCATCAATGTCTTCATCGAGATATGTTTTCCTCTCAGTGGTCTCCTGGAGCCTTCCATGAGCAAGTCGCTCTCACGAGTTTACGCTACGATTTCTGTAAAAGAGTATCTTGTTGTTTTGTTGTTTCGGGTGGATGACGTGTAATAAGTGTCATCTTTCATCATCTGTAATACCGTCGTATGAAAAAGAGCATTCTCCTTTATAGTATTAATAGGAGTATTTCTTCTTTATAGTCTTCAGCTTCTTCTTGTGCGATAGACGCAATGATTATCCCATGGTGAGGTGTAGGTGACAAAGTTAAATTCCGTGTACTGAGGAATTACAATCTTGTTCTTGCAGTAGAAAAAAGATGATTGTTCTAGCACAGGTAAAAATCATGTTAAAGCGTTCGTATTTCGCTTTCGCAGTCCTGAAATTTTGTGAGAGTATCTTCTGAGTATAAAACATCAGAAGGCCATTTCGGACAGGCAAGACTGACGAAGCAAAGTAGAAATGGCAGTTACCCACCCGGATCACTTCGCTTCTACAGAATTCTAACCGAGTCTGGAGGCTTCGCTCCTGGCACATTTTATGCTTTTGCTGTTTCTTTATTCTTTGTTTGCTTCCTCTCGTACCTATTCCGCAGAAACGGTTGTATGATAGAAAAACATGGTTGATTGATACTATATTACTGGTTTCTCAAAAGAAGTCATGGGTAGATTCTTTTCTAGATATCGGAGTAGAAAAGCGATCGTTTGAAAATATTGTTGTCATGGTAGATTGCCATAAACTACCTGTTTTATGAATCGAGGGTCACTTGAACTAAAATAGTTGAAAAACTTTGATGTTAAGAGCCACTATTGATAGATGTTTTGACGCATTTTCTACATTCTCGCAGGATGTTCTGAATTTTCTAGGTTTTCGCGGTTCTACTTTCTCCTTTTCTCTTTCTTTACTTTTCGTAGTGACTTCGTCGCCCTTTTTTTGTCGACACCAGTCGCCCGCCCTTTTTTTCATCGGCGCCGGCCGACCACGCACCTCCGTCGCCTGCTACCTACCCCCCGCCAAACAGCGCCGGCGTGTCCCAGCCTTCCACCGCTTCGCCCGGCAGCGGGGGGTGGTCCTGGTCGACCTGAAAGCGAAGGAACTCGGCGCCGACGGTGGAAGTGGGTAACTCCGCAGCCAATCCGCGGACCTCCTGCAGAAAATGCCGCAGCTGCGCCGGTCCGTCGGGCACCGCGGTAAGCTGCTCGCGCATCGACTCGAGAAGGCTCGCGCCGGGGAACAAACTTCCGGCAAAGAGATGCAGCGCCGCCAGTTCTGGCCGCTCTCCGTCCTTCTCCAGCGCCAAGTCCCGCGGAGTCCTCGGCCGCTGCTCTGCTTTGTTGGTCGGCGCGAACAACCGAAGCGGTCCGAAGGCGCCGGTCCAGCCAAAGACCTGCTCCGCCTCGAAGTTGCTCACGAGCAGTGCAACCTTTCCCCCGGGGTCCGTGTCGATCTCGAGAACGAACTCCGGCATCTTCGTATGCAAGAAAAAAACTGTATAAGTGTAACTCTGTCATGCAGAACATCCAACAGAGTTACGCCTGTCATGCCAGACAACCATGAAGTCCTCTTTTCACTTGTGTTTTCCCTTAATACAAGTTACACATGACAGGTTGTCTCTGTCATGTAGAGCAAATTTGTGTTGCTGTCAGACAAAGAGAGTTCTTACACTAACACAGTTTTTTTCTTGGATACTTCGCTGCTTTCGCAAACGGATCGCATCCCGGCGCCGCGAGTGTGCACGCAAAGTCAAGGGTCGCGAGCACGGTGATCTCCGAAGTGCTTCGACCCAGCGTGCGGGGCAAGTCGACGAAAGCAACCTATATTTTTTCGTAGGAGAATGAAAGTGTCCTTGAAATGTAGAAAGTAGGTTTGTGGAGATTTCGGAAGCTGGCTGGCAGGTAGGAGCAGCTGAACAAGCAGGCACTTCTTGCGCAGCTAGGCATAAAGCCATAAACACAACTACGTATATCAATCTGGAAGTAACAGAGGTCGGCAGGCTCTGGTCATGCACGAGCCCGCCACACATCATTTCTGAAAAGTACGCCCATAGAAAGCCACGCACTTACCTGGGAGAAGTCGCCGTACTTTTTTCCAGCGTTGCCGGGCTGCTTCAGCCACTCAGCCAGGTCGCTTAATCCGCTGGAGACTTGTGGCGCTGTTGGCTGCATTGACGCAGACTCCTCGACATCGCGTTCCTCCTCGAGCTCCTGCTCGAGCTCTCGCTCATGCTGGTCGCTGCAGTTCGCGCGGTGTCCGGGTTTTGCCAAATTCGGCGCGACCTTGTTGACACGGTCAAGCAGCTTCTCGGCGATCGGGTCATGGTTCTGTATCTCGTGGCGGAGCCGTTTCTGCGTTAACAAGGTAAGCTTCTCGGGGTTCCGGGGATTTCCGTACAGGTCCGACAGCAGCGCTTTTTCGGTCTCCACCCCCGCGTCCGCGTAGAGCTCAAGGAAGCTGGCTAAATTACTGTCCTGCGCCTGTGCCTCGGCCTTGGCGTTTCGCAGAAGTCTGCTCTTGCGGATGCACAGTGCGCTTTGACTGACAAGCGGGCCCATCAACCTTCCACACTCTTCTACCGTGTTCTTGCTATGCATTGCAAATACGCCAGAGTCAGGACTTTTGTGATGCAAACTTCATCTGGATGAGGGAAAGAACACCTGTAAGAGCAGACACGTACGACAAGGTTTATTGAGAATAACTGCTCCTGCGTTTCGCGCACTAAAAATTACGTCTTCGCATGACAAAAGAAGCTCTGCCTTTGTTGATGACCAATAGACCAGAGATATTTTCCAGAATGCCAGAGAAGCACCACGCGTTCCACTTTTCCAGGCCTGAACACATGATTTGCATTTGATAATTCCTTGCCCACTGCAAGACTGCGTCAATGTCCTTTACATCCAAGTCCGCCTGCTCGACGGTGCCCGCACTGGAAGCCGAAGCTGGCGCGTTTCGCAACTGCTCCAGTTGGCGTCGACAGTTGTCGCGTTTTTTGGTCAGGGAGCCATCCGCATCGCCATCGTCCTCGATCATTTCGTCGAGGCTTTTCATCGTTCGTGTAAGCTTAGCCATGTCGCCCTCCTTCTTCACCTTGTCTGCGTTCTTGACTGCATCGAGCTGCTTCGCCACTTCGGCCGCAGCGATGAAGTTCACGATCTGCCCGCGGCCGACCTGGCGGGCGCGAAAGCAGGTCTGGCGGAGCTTGTCGAACGTCATGCCCTTTCCCAAAGTTACAGCGCACTTGCAATTTGGGGGCAGCGCGTCGAAGTTGGACCCCCGCAGATTCTCGTCGCTGATGTACAACAGGCACCCCTTCATGCTGGCCACATAAGGCGACTATGCATTGCAAATAGGTATCTCTGGGTCTGGCTGGATGCGAACTGGTGATGCTTCAATAATGGATGACGCAAACTTCTGATGCTTAACATTCGGATGCAAACTTGTGATGCAGACTTGGGAAGAACGGGCAAAAGTCTGTGTTGCCCTATCAGCAAGAGAAGACAGGCGATCTTTGATCGCCAGGACACTGCATTTCCCATGTAGACAAGAAGGTGCGAAAAAGTGCATTGCAGGTCCTCTACAGACGCAAGATATGGCACAACGCACTTCTCTGTTTTCTCCCAGACAGAGACCAGTGACAACATATTTCCAATTGGTAGCGACTCACTGAAAGCCATTTCTATGCCGCTACGGAACAGCACCCGGCGCTGGTGCTTCTCGTCGAAAAAGACCGCGGCCTTCGCTCCAGTTGTTTCTCTCAGTTTCAGCCAGGCAGCGCAAAAGTCTCGGCTTGACTGGTCCAAGATGAGTGCGCCGCCATCTAGCAAAACGTCGAAGGCCTGGAATTCCCCGCCCAAAAGTTGCAGCACCTGGGCCGTTACATCCTTCCCAGTGGCGAGCTCCTCGCAGCGGCTGTTTGCTTTTTGTCGCAGCCGCAAAAGCTGGAGGCCTTTGGTTGCCAAGCCCGGCAGGTTGCGCTGCTCAATGGTTGGCGGCGCCACTACCTTGAGATCATCGGTTCCCGCAAAACCCAAAGTGACGCCCTTGCTCCCCGGCGCATGCGGGTCCTTTACCAGGTCGCCCGCCGTTGCGCGAATGCTTCTTGGAAATTGGCGCGCCTCTTTGGGAAAAACCCGCTTGCTCAGAAAGAAGTCCACGACGGCCATGCTTTTCGAGAAGACCTTCACGACCTTGCGGAGGCAGAGCTGGTCGTCGAGGTTGATCTGGTGCAGGTGCTGGAGGTCGTGCGCGTAGCTGTAAAAATGGTCACCCAGGACCTCCATCCACTTGTCGTAGTACCGCGCGCCCTCGTGGTCAGGTAGGCACTGGAGATCATCGAAAACCTCGCGCAGCTGGTCCTCTTCGAGTCCGCGGTGGTAGTAGTGCGCGACAGTCAACATAATCCCGGTGTCCGGATGGGCGTACTCCGTCCGCTCCGCCGGCTTTCCCTTGGCTGCAAAAGGAACCGCCATACGATGCGAGGGCCGGCCAAGGTGCGCCCCGTACTCGACCCAGTGACGCTTGACCAATACCGTCCGCAGCACTTCGTGACTAAGGAGTCCGCAGTAGATCCGCGCCAGGTCGCGCGTCTCGTCATCTGGTAGCCTGGCGAGGTGTTCCGTGGGATCTTTCTCCAGCACGGCTGCCTTGAAATCTTCGCAAATGTATTGACTGTTGACGTCATCGAGGTACCGGAACCTTGGCGCAATCTCATCCTTACAAACCCGCGAGGCGACATCCTTCTTCAGCTGCTCGTAGCATTCGTCCTGTTTGGCATGATCGAGCAGTCGCCAGGGCAAGAAAAAAGCGCTGGTTTGGCTCTTCCTCCGAATGATCTCCTCGTTCGCGGCGGTGTCCACGTGCACGACGTCGGGGCCGAACCTCTCATCTTGCAGGTATGAGATGCCGAGTTCCGATATCCCACAGAAAAAGACCGACAGGTCATATTTGTAATGCAAAAATAAATACACAGGAAAATCTGTCATGGGCGAGGCCATAACATCCTGTTTAGGGCACGCAATACAGATTTTTTTGTCTATTTATTTTTGCATTACAAATATGACCTGTCGGTCTTTTTCTGGGGGATATCCGAAGCAAAGCGCAACACGTCCATGGCGGCCCGGTACCTATCACAGTGAAAAATGCCCCCCACCCCTGAAATTGCAACAATTTGTGATGCGAAGTTTCCAAATGAAAGCTTTTTGTCATGCATGAAAGGAGTAAGAATCTTTCTGATGCAGATTCTAGTCGTGTTTCGCATCGCTTGCATGACAAGCACCGCTCTTGCTGGGATCTTTTGCAATACAAACTTTTGCTATTCACGATCGGAAATCTGTGATGCTGATACACGCAAGAGGGCGAATGTTTCATTTGGAAAGATTTGCAATACAAATGCTTTCAAGTTCGGGGGTGGGGGCATTTTTCATTGTAATAGTACCGCTCCTCACCTTTGGCAAGTGTGCGCGGCTTCCCAATCGTGTACATGAGCTGAGTGCGGGGTGCAAGAATTTCGTCGCTTTCGTCTAGGTAGTCTCGTGTTTCATCTTCCAGCAAGCAAAAAATCTCGGTCAGTGCCGCCAACGTTGCCTCGTCACCGCGATGCTTTTGTTGCCCGACGGGTGCACCAGGACTAGCATCAGCATCTTCGATCCCGGCGACCAGTTCGATCACCTTGTTCTTCAGGGACATGCAGTCGGACTATCCACGACAAAAATGCCTCTCCGGTATAGCGACCTCGCTCTAACGTAAAGTCCAGGGAGCAGTAGGTGAAGAAAACTAATCATACCAAAAACTCCTGCTGCTCCCTTTGGGTAAACAAATAGCACTGCGCCACTGCAAAGCCACTGTAGGTGCAACCGCGTGACGCGAAAGCGCCTGTCACTGATGCATGTCGGTCTGGTGTGCTTTTGCGCGTGTACGCGAGTGCATGCTTTTGAGCGTATGTGTGCGCTTTTCCGACAAAGTCAGACAGACGGCAACTCAAGATCGCTATACCCAGTTGTATGCTTTCTGCCTCGGATACTGCTGGGGCCATTACCAAAACGCCTTTCTGCGTGCGCAGCTCTCGAAGGTCGGAAAGGAGCTCAGCCAGTTCGTCTGCGCTGCGCTCGTGGTCTCTACGGAAGAATAGCGACTTATCGACCTTAAAACAGCCCCCACGCCAGGTATAAAAATTTTTTGCGCTTTTGTTTCCAAAACCACAGTATACTCTTTTTTTCGTATAATTCCGCCTTGATAAAGTAAACGCAAAAACTCATGCGCCGACGAAGATGATGCAAATCATAACGGGATTTATTTTGGGCACATTGTGCACCGTGGTGGGCCAGCGTGTTGCTGCGCCATTTATTTATTCCTGGGGAACAAGGGAGCTGATTTGAATCGGATAAGGCACCAACCTCCTCCGAAGCCATCCGCCGAGTTTATGCTGCCAGTCCTTCGCGTTCGTCGCCAGCTGCGAACCCAGAACAATAGCCCGCGGTAGGCATTCCGTGCCCTTTCTCGACGAGAGCAGAAGCACAACGGCCATGATGACGCTGGTTTTCCCTAGTCCCATGGAGTACTCAAGCAGTCGGCTCTCCGTGCCTGTCACAAACTCCACCGCGATTCTCTCCTGCAAGGCCCGCACACGCAGGTCATTTTGCACCTCAAAAGCGAGCACTTCCGGCCATTGCTCCAGATCTGACCAACCCGTCTCCTTCAGTTCTTGCAGAAGCGGGTCATCCCATTCTCCCTTCCGCATTTTTCGCAGGATCTGCCGCGAGCGCTGGAAGTTGCGAGCTGCGATCAAAAACTCTCCAATGCTGGTTCGCTGACGAACAGAGAGGGAGAACTGCTGCTCTTCTGTGCCTGCCGTCGGGAGGCAATCAAGGTCGTCACACCACATCCCGATTAAAGACGAGCGCGCCGCGGTGGATACCAGACCACACTTCAGAGCAATCACATCGAAGATACTCTCGTACTCTTGCCGGACTTCCTCCCATACCCGGTCCATTTCGTTAGCGTAGTCTAGTAGAGCCTTTTTTGCGACCTCCAGGTACTGTGCGCGAAGTTCTGGCCTACTGCTCAAAGTGTTCTCTTCCTCCTGTCGTTGAATTTGCAGCGCAGCGTCTTGACTTTCGTCTAGTTCCTGATGAAGAATTTCGGCCAGCCCCCGGTATTCCTCCTTGACAGTGACGGGCGGCAGCTTTGCAGGTATTTGTGTCCTCGGCGAAGTTCGATCAACTGCAAATACGTCTGGGTCTGGGAAGAAGTTATTATAGTGTTTTTAGCCTCTCCATATATGAGAAGCGGACATCTGTATTACCTGGTCGGGCATGACACATTATTTCATCTTGAGGGATTTTGCACAATGAGAAACTACCATAAGAAGTCGTATTTTTGCATGACAAAGTTCGTGGCGGTTATTTTCGGCTTCATGCCTGACAGATAATTTAGTATTGGTTTATTCCAAACGCGCAATACAGGTTTGCAGTCTCCCAGACCGAGACATGTTGGCACTTCATAACTACTGCCACTCGCCCCGGTTTTCGAAGTCGCAGAGCATTTCTGGTTGAATGCAGTTCCGCTAGAGGTGGCGCTTTTGCTCATTCGTCGTCTTTTTCTAGAAGGCGATGATCCAGCAGCAGGCGACTCGCTAGAACCGGACAGACCGCGCAACTCCGCGAGTGTAGGCTTTGCGTGTGTGATCCCATTGCTGAGCCCGTGCATCGCGCGCTGATTGTGTGACCCCATTGAAACAGAAAGTTCTGAGCCCATACCACTCACTGATTCGTTGTGAAACAAAAAGTGTTGTCCGGCTTGCGAAGTCCCAACATCTTCTTTGGAGTCGCCAAAAAATGCGTCGACTTGTTCGTGCTCAATCCGCTCCTTCGCGCGCGCAAACGCCTCTTCGCGCGCTTTCGCATTTTCGGGCGACGCTGGCTTCCTGGGCGCCGAGCTTGCGGCCTTCTGCAGATCGCGGAACCACTTCGACAGCTCCTTGTTTTGCCGCCAGCGGGTGACGAGCGTGTTCACGCTTGCAGCAAGTTGCGACCCTGTCTCTATCGGCGCGTGCAACAGAAGGGCGCCCGTGACTCGGGGGGGAAGATTCTTTTCCGTCAGGATGGAGGGCGGCTTTTTGCTGAAACTGTCCTTCACTTGCTTCGCCAATCCGTCCCGCAGTAGCTGCTCCGCGAACTTTTCGGGTGTGAGGGAGGTTGTAGTCGAGGAAGCTGCAGGAGCCTTTTTGTTTCCCTTGGCACGTTTTCCGGACACAGGCACAGTTTTGCTGTCGACTTTTTTCTCCGGCTCGTCCACCCCAAAGTTGATGTTCTCGAGTACAGTAATGATTTCTTTTATCACAATGAAAAATGCCCCCGCTCTAGGACTAGTTCAGCAGAGCAGTGGTGCATTCGGGTTCGCCTACGGAGAATGCGACGCATTTGTCCCTCGGAAATCAAAATGTCAGGCAGCTCAAGCAGGACAGACATACCGATCGTCTAACTAGCGTGTACCGCCGGGCAACATAACTTTGCTTCACTACTCTGACCTAAAAATTTGACACGCTAATCCACGCATGGCGGCAAGTGATTCTATAGGGACTTTTGCAATGCATAAACTAACTTCCACGCGCCGGGACGTGGGCGTTTTTCAGTGTGATATGTTTCCGGAGTTCTTCTTCAGAATACTCGTGAGCAGCCGGAACGTCAAACTTGCGATGTGCAGGCGCCGCAGGAAGTTTCGTCGGGCGGTTCTCCCCACCGTCTTTGAAAGATCGCAACCAGAGCAGCACCCTGAACATCTTGCGAAAGCTCTCTGCGTTCCGAGGGTAGTCCAACTGCAACCGCGCGAAAAGTGTCCGCAGCCGCAGGGTGCTCGTGCCGGTACTGGCAAGCGTCAGATCGTACAGCTGGATAAAATATGCATTGCAAATATGTCTGGGTTGGAAAACCTGTGATACTGAATGAGCATGATAACAATTGCAGCGGTTGCATTGGCAGCTAAGCAAAGCATGACAAGTTTTGGGAACGCTCTTCGATGCCTAGCACGCATTGGTATTCCAAATTGGTTTTTTGCATGACAGAGGAAGCTGCTCTTTTGCTACTCAAGCAACACTTGCTTTTCAGGAATGCGATACACGCATTCATACGCTCCACTTTTTAACACCCGAGCATATTTATTTTTCGCATTCGATATAAAAAAATCAGCAGCACCAGAATGCCCGCCTTCCTCGTCGACACATAGCTCGCGACGCCGCGTTTGCAGCTTTTCGACCAACTCCGGAATGGGCGCCAGGAGCAGGCTGGCGGTGCTGGCATCTTGCTCGTCGCTGGTGTCCAGTAGTAGCTGGCCGCCGAGCGTCGTCCGGGCCTTAGCGTCGGCAATTATGCTTTCCAAGTCGTCCTCGGCCGGCCCTTGGTCCTCGTCAATAGCACCGTGTGGCGAGTCCGGTAGCACTGGAGACCAATGGCGGAGAACAGACACATCCTGCCCGTGGTCACTTTCTACTTTTATTTTCCCGCCAGCAACGAAATACGCGACGGCCCCGCACATTCCGGCCACGTTCTCCAGGGTCACCCGCTGCAGCTATCCTGATTAAAAGTGCTCCCACCCGATAGTCAAGATGCCAATTTTGCAACACAAATGCAGACATTTTGCGGATCACGCGGCCTTAAAAGCTCCTATATCTGGCGTAGCGAAGGTTAGCAGCAAGGATAGCCGCATCACAACACCATCAGCTTATCCTTTCTGATGCTGCCATCCTGATTCTGTAAGAAGGATATTTGTGTTGTGATGCTAAAGAAGAATATAATATTTCTTTGTGTTGTTGTAAGACGTCTCTGCATGTAAGAAGAATATTTGCGTTCTTGCGCCTCTGTAAGAAGGATATTTGTGTTGGTGTAAGACGGACTCCTGCTTGCAGTATCACAAATTCCGATTATACACGACTGCAAACGCTTTTCTTCTTGATGAGGATACACATTTCCAATCTCTCTGTAGACACACTTCTGCATGACAGCTCTGGGGTGGGGACAATTTCGCTTAGGATAGCAGCTCTTCCGGTGTCATCCGCTCAATTGGGGGCCGGCTTTCTACTCCGACCAGGTACGCCCGAAGGTTTCTCCCGTTCACGCGCGAGGCAGAGACGTCACTCAACTCCCGGGGGCGGCTCGCTTCCAAACTGTTCGAACCCACGCGACGGAGGGTTTTGGTGATTTCGGCGAAACAAAGCGACACAAGGAACCCAATCGCCGGCGTCAAACACAGGGGCTCAACCGGGGACATCCACACCCGGACCCGGCTGCGCTCGCTTCTGGCATCGGGGGCGCCCGCTCCTCGCTGCGGGGAAAGCTTCAAAACCACAAGCAGGACCCTGCGCGCGTCCTCGATCTCCGCGCCGCCGAGCTCCACACCGTGGCCGGCACGCAGCAGCTGGAGCCCTGTCGCCGTGCCCGTTAGCCCGGTCAGCCTGTCGGGGAGAAGGCGGGACGTCAGGAGGGACAGGTAGGCCAGGTAGTAGGTGGCGGCCTGGCTCCTTGCCCGCGGTCGCAGCGCTCCCAGCTCGTCGACGACATCGATCACGAAGTAGCCCCGAACATCATCCAACATCAACGTCGTTCGCCCGCTCGCGTTATCAAATGCAAATTATATGTCTGGGCATCGAAACTTGTAATGCTGAATGGTCAAGATTGAGCACGCCTTGAACTTGAAGTGCAGTGCAAAATGACAAATTTTTCAAACGCTTTCTGATGCGCAGCACGCATTACAGGCTGCGACTTTGCATGACGAGAGTGTCGTGGTGCTACTTTTGGTTCTTTTGCTCCTTTTTTATGCAATACAGATTTTCTAGAAATGCGATCATGCAATACAGATGCAACCTTTCCAGACCCAGACATATTTGCAGTGCATACATGTCCCGCTTCGCCTCGGCATCCGGCAGCAGCAGTACACGGTTGCTGCTGGCCCCTGCTTCATCCCCGGGCGCTGCAAGAACGAGGCCGCTCCGCAGCCCCTGCAAAGTGCCTAGCCTCTGGTCTTCGGAGACGCACCGGCCGTCGAGCTCGGGCACGCTTACGGCGTTCCGCTTTCTTGGTCCAGCGCCTCCTGCTCCGCTTCGCGCGATGTCCCCCACATGGAACGATATCCCGGGATACTGTGGAAGCTCCACGATCAGCAGTGGCGTCTCGTCTGCGACACCTCCTTCGCGCTCGTCCGGTGCAGGCGCATAAACGTGTAGCAGCTGGCGCGCCGCCAATCTTGAAAAAACCCGCTCGTGCAACGTTCTCACGGCTTCCGCTTTCGTTGATAACAGCCGCCGGTTGGTTCGCAGTTCGAAAAGGGTGCCGGATTCTGGTCGGAATTCGAAAGCTGCCTCACCTCGTGCGAAGCCGTCGGCCTTGAAAGTCCTCGGGCGAAAGCTGATTACCAAATCCTCCGGGTCCGCGCCGCTGCTTTTGGACAGCCATAGAGAGTGCCCCGCGCTGATGTCGGAAGGCTATCAAATTCCAGAATGTGTCTGTGTCTGAATGCAGCTTTCATAAGCATCTATTTCACGATCACGGGCTTTGTAAATTGCCATGCAGGGTCCAAACATATGAGCATACATTTCAACTGCTTTTATACAGCCGTGAAATGTACAAATATGTATGAGTCCTGCTTTAGAGTAAAGTGTTCCAGCCCGGGGGTTCGAGCGGGGTGTCCCGACCCTCGGGATTCGGGATTTGCAGCACGGCCCGTCCCGTGTTGCAAAAAGAACCCGAAATCCGTATTTTTTGCAGCATGGCCTGCTCTGTACTGCAAGTCGGGGCTCGAGTGGAGTGTACCGTCCCCCGGTTTTCGTGATTTGCAGCACGGGCCAAATAAAAAAAGCCGATACTTTGCGGTTTTTTTGCAGCACAGCGAGGGCCATGCTGCAGATCGGGGTCTGAGCGGAGTTTCTCGTCCCCTGATACTCGTGATATGCAGCAAGGCCCGGCCCGTGCTGCAAAAAGAAACCGATCTTTCACAATTTTTGCAGCACGGCTGGGGCTGCGCTACAAATCGGGGCTCGAGCAGAGTGTCCCGTCCCCCGGGAATCGTGATTTGCAGCAGGGCCCGAGCCGTTCTACAAGAAGAAGCAGATATGCCGGAATTTTTGCAGCACGGACCGGGCCGTGATGCAAATCGGTGTTCGGCCGGAGTGCCCCGTCCCCCGGGACACGTGATTTGCAGGTACTGCAAAAAGAAGCTGATATCGCAAAAACAAACCGATCATACTTCTGATTATTTGCAGAACAGCCCGGGCCGTGCTGCAAATCGGGGCTCGAGCGAAGTGCCCCGTCTCCCCGGGACTCTGATTTGCAGCACGGCCCTGCCCGTGCTGAAAAAAGAAGCCGACATTCCGGATTTCTTGAGGAACGGCGGGCCGAGCTACAAATCGTGGCGTGAGCGGAGTGTCCAGTCCTCCGGGCCTCCTGATTTGCAGCAAAAAGATCCCGACATTGCAAAAAGAAGCGCACATTTCAGAACTTTTGCAGCACGGCCGGGGGCGTGCTGCAAATCGGTGTTCGAGCGGAATGCCCCGTCCTCGGGGACTCGTTATTTGCAGCACGGCCCGGCCCGTGCTGCAAGAACAAGCAGATACTGCAAATCGGAGCTCCGGCGAAATGTCTCGTCCCCTCGGGCCTCGTCATTTGCAGCACGGCCCGGAACCTGCAGTAAAAAGAAGCCGATATTCAGGATTTTTCGCAGCACGGCAGGCCGTACTGCAAATCGGTGCTAGAGTGGAGTGTCCCGTCCCCCGGGACACGTGATCTGCAGAACGGCACGAGGACGCGTGCTTCAAAAATACGAAGGCAATATTTCAGATTTTGCGCAGCGCGGCAGACTGCAATCGCTGCGCGCGCCTACCAGACGCCAGCCTATGCGCCCGCACGACCGGCACCATAGCCGCGCGCTACATCTTGACACCCCCAGACACAGACACGCCCGCACTTGATACCGGTAGCCCGGTTTCTCCATTCCCCTCGTCCTCTGGCTGCTCGGCTTGGTCCGGGTCGGCGATTTCAGCAG